AGGTTATCGGTATGTTGTTATGCATAAAAAGTAGGATTTATATAGTTCTTAATTTATGTATAGTTTATATCATCTTATTAACAAATAACTGAAAATTACCATTTAGTAGTAACTAATTTGTTTTATGAAAGGTGAATAATTTGAATATATTTAAGCATATTTGTCATTTAAACAATTAAAAGCTTATGAAACATTAACTTACTAATAAAAAATTAAGACATATATGAAAACATGCAACTTAGTTGAGTTAGTCCACTGTAGCTGTTTGCAGATATTTTCCCACACTGATGGTCAGCTGTCTGAAGTAGTGCTGTGCAGTACAGTCAACTCTTAATTATCCATGTTAATGGGACACCTAATATAAAGATAATCCTAAAACAAAATATTTTATATAGTACCTTCTTGATATCTGTTGTGGCCTGTGTATGAAGGAGATGTGGGAGTGGGTCTCAGGCTTGCAAGGGAGCTGGGAGCAAGTATAACTATCTCAAGGTGATGATAAGAGGTGTTCTAGGGTTTGGCACTGCATAACTTGGCAGTTGCTACAATGAGAAGGATAGAGAAACAAATTAATAATAATAATTAATATCACAGTTGCAGTGATATTACTTGGTGTGTTTTTTGGTTAGCAGGTAGGAACAATAATGGTGTTTATTAGAAGTGTACTTTCATTAGTTTTGGTCTTTGCTAATTAAGCTTTTTACTTGCCATGGATAAGCGCTATTCTTAAGATCTCTACTAAATAAGAATAAATTTATTGTCATATAACTAGTAACTTTAAAAACCCAGGACAAATTTGGAATACTTTTATTTTACTATTAAAATTCTTCGGGCAGCCCGGGTGGCTCAGCGGTTTAGCGCTGCCTTTGGCCCAGGGCGTGATCCTGGAGACCCAGGATCGAGTCCCACATCGGGCTCCCTGCATGGAGCCTGCTTCTTTGCCTTTGTCTCTGCCTCTCTCTCTCTCTCTCTCTCTCTCTCTCTCTCTCTCTGTGTGTGTGTGTGTCTTGCATGAATAAATAAAATCTTAAAAAATAAAATAAAATTATTCCTAAGCATCAGTGTTGAACTTGTACTTCCACAATTTAACATTAATACATTTTAACTTTTTATAACATCAAAGAATATAATGAAGGCAAATGCAATGGTGGTTAGTGCAAGCAATGAGTTAGATTTAGGAAAAAACAGAGTAGTTTATATATATATATATATATATACACACACACACACACACACACACACATATATATGTGTATATATATAAAAGATTTTATGTATTAACTCATGTTATTTTTAAATTAAAAGATACATCATAGGAGCTTTACAAAAATTCTTTTAAAACTGACAGTTTTAAGTTGATAAATGCTGATGTTAGCTATATATAGAGAGGAGTGTTCCTTCTATTATTCTAATTTGAATATGGTTTTCCCCAAGAGAAAGCTTTGAAAAATTTGAAGTAGATGATTGCTGAAAATTTCATAATCTTATGGACCAAACTTTCTCTTCCTTCCTAATGGAGTAGTAGATTCATTGTTCTCTGTTATTATTGAGACTCCACATAAAAACATAGCTATTTTCTGAATATAGATATGATTTTGTTCACAAGAACTCCTCCAGTTTAACTTAGTGTTGTAGTAGGATGGCAGGAATACATATTATGCTCTTTGGTTTTCTTAACCTTATATTTTATTATAGATTTTTTTAAAAAGTTAATAACACCAACTATCTATACTTAGTCACTAGAGATACTAATCTTAAGTCAGCTCTTGTAAGAAGTTTGGAAGTAATTGATATTGATATTTCAGAGTGTGTAATGTAAGGACAAGTGAATTAGTACCCCCGCTAAATCATGGTTCACTTACCCTCATGGAGACATTTGGTAATGTTGGTTATCACAACTTGGTTTGGAGGAGTGCTACAGGTCTACTGGGATACTTCTTCACATGAGCAATACTCAGGATAGCCTCTCACAGCAAAAAATTATCTGGCCCAAAATGTCAAGTGTGTCGCTATTGAGAAACCCTGGTCTAGTTTTTCTAAGATGTAGGAATTCTTTTAGAGTAAACAACTAGAAATATTATATAACCAAACTAAATTCTTTTGATTTTCCATGGATGTTATGCTCTTAAGATTTATGTTTTAAAACATGCCTTGAGTTTTTTTTTTTTTAAACTGAGAATATAAGAAGCAACATTTTTCTGTTCAAAATTCCTCCAGCCAAAATTCCTTTTAGTTTAGTTTAGTGCTGGGAAAATTGTCCCTTCCTGATGAAGGGATGTATTTTCTTATAGTTCATTGTTTGCACTTTGCTTTCCCTCTCAGGAAGTTGTAAGAGCCCACTTTAGACTTATAATTCTGAGATTTTTTTTTTCTTTGCTATATTGGTTTTTGTTTTATCCTTAGTGTAATGGTCTGTAGGTTTGGGCTGTGTTTGTGCATATATAAGAAGAACTTAAAAGTAATATGTAAGTGCCTCCAATCCCTAGACAAATGATCAAATGTTTTCAGTGCTTTTTAAAAAAAAGTCTTAATTTTTTCACAGTTAAAAATATGTGCTTATTATAAAACGTAACTATATTAATGCAGATATGGAAACTTGCTTTCCCATTTTATTTTATTTTTTTAAAGATTTTTAAATTTATTTATTCATGAGAGACACAGAGAGGCAGAGACATAGGAAAAGGGAGGAGAAGCAGGCTCCATGCAGGGAGCCTGATGTGGGACTCGATCCGGAGACTCTGGGATCACACCCTGAGCCAAAGGCAGACACTCAACCGCTGAGCCACCCAGGTCTCCCCCTCATTTTATTTATTAATACAGAGATGTATTAATAATTCCACCATTAAAATTTGAAATTAAAGTTTCAGTTTGCAGTAAGCTTAGAATTCTATGGTTGGTTGGGTTTGCATTCTTATGGTTTCCTTTTTGAATAGTATTAACTACATTTCTAAAAACTGGAGTAAGAATAATGTCTCAAGACGATTACATTCTCTGATAAATTTTCTTTTATTGACATGGTGAAGACCAGTTATAAAAAAAAATAGGTGTCAAAAAAAAGTGCCATATTTTCTTTGGTTTTGTTTATTTTGAAGCATACTTAAAACATATGAAATATTTCTAAGTGCATGTTTTTAATGATTCAGCATGACGCATTAGAAATTATTTAAAATGAGATTTTTATTTCTCTGAAGTTAAAAATAAGTAAATACCAATACTGTCACTAATGTATAAATGTCTGTTTCTCTGTTACAGCTCTCCTGTAGTAGTTGAAAAGGAAGGCAGGTTTTGTAATTTTTACTTAACGTGCTCAGGAAAGCTCAAAGATTATTTTTGCCTTAAAAAGAAATATTTAAAATGATAAAGTTAACTACCTTGGCCAATCTTTGATTTGATGCTTCATTTAGATACTAGTTGTGAAGCTTATAGATACTGTTGCTTTTAAAATCTTTTGGTTGAAATAGGAGACTTTTGTTTCAAGTTCCCTTCATACCTTGGATAGTTTAGAGGGATAATCAGCTTTCAGATTACTTATAGTGATATTTAATACTGTCATAATGGTTATCATCTTTTCTTTCCATTTCTATGTTATTACCTGGTTCTGTTTTCAGAAAGGGGAAAATGAAGTAGGACTGGGGAGGAATGAGTGTCTGTTAATTGCTGCTTCGCCCAGGAAGAGTATGAGAGATGTGAACAATTTTAGTGAAGTGTTTTCCAACTTTTTTACTGCAACTCACAGTAAAAAAATATATTTTATGTTGCACCCAGTACACAATTCCTGTATCTTTATATATATAACAAATATTTCATATATATAACAAATATATATATAAATATATAACAAATATTTCAAGAAAAATACTTACTATGCATATATAGTCTAATATTTCTATTTTTTTTTATTAAAAAAATTGCCTTTTGGGACGCGTAGGTGGCTCAGCAGTTGTGCGTCTGCCTTCGGCTCAGGTCGTGATCCTGGAGTCCTGGGATCGAGTCCCACATCGGGCTCCTTGCATGGAGACTGATTTTCCTTCTGCCTGTGTCTCTGTCTCTGTCTCTCTCTCTCTTTCATGAATAAATAAATAAATTTAAAAAAATAAAAAATTGCCTTTCACATACCACTAAATTACAACCTGCTGTTTGAGAAATGCTTTTTAGGGATATTAATTATCTATGTTTATACAGAAGTTCACTATCAACAAATAGAAGACCAAGTAAAAACACATTTATCCTATGTGAACATTTAATAGGATAAATTAATGAAATATTTTAAGTGTTGTCATGATAAAATATACACAAACTTAAATTTTTTTGTAAAAAGATGATAACATTGTATTTATATTTTAAGCCTCTCTTTTTTAAGAATAAAAAAGCATTTGAGCATCAATGGAAATTATACTAATAGGTTATTTAAAAATGTAACCAACATAATAGCTGGAGCTTTCTTAATCATTATATATTAGTTTGAATATTAATGGAGCAATGGAGCTTGGGAAAAAATTAGCATGCTTTAACCCAGAGGTTGGCACACTTTTTCTGTAAAGGCCCCCCTAATATTTTAGGCTTGCATGCCATACAGTCTTTGTTTTAACTGCTTATCTCTGCCCTGTAGTATGAAAATATGTAAGCAAGTAGAATAGCTGTGGTCCAAAAATTTTTCTTTATGGAAACTGAAATTTGAATTCGGTATGATTTTCACATGTCATGACATTATTTTTCTTTTGACTTTTAAAAACCATTAAAACATGTAAACACTACTCCCAGGTTGTAAAAAACTTCAGGTTGTAAAAAACAGTTTGTGGACCAGATTTGGTTGGCCAGCCATGATTTGCCAACCTTAGGCTTTAGCCTAAGAATGGAGAAAGCTAGTAGATCCAAAAAGAACAAAATTTAGCAGTTGGGGCTAAGTATATGAATAATGATGTTAGATGTCTGAGCATTTATATTTTGATTCTTCTGGGGATTAGAACTATACATTTTTGTCTTGTGTTTATATTTTGCAGACCGTTGATATTCATAAAGAGAAAGTTGCAAGAAGAGAGATTGGTATTTTGACTACCAATAAAAACACTTCAAGGACACATAAGATTATTGCTCCAGCCAATCTTGAACGACCAGTTCGTTATATTAGAAAACCTATTGACTATACAATTCTAGATGATATTGGACATGGAGTAAAGGTAAGTATAATTTTTGTCAACCTTTTTAAAACAGCAGTCCATAATGGAACTAGCTCTTTAGAAAATTAAGCTTTTGTCTTTTCTTTCCTGGAGGTCCAGGTTTTGGCCCAGTTGTGGTTCTGAAGTTTCTTTAATACTATAATTATTCTATCCTTCTTGCTTCTTCCTGATGCTGTGTTTTCAAATTTTAAACAGTAACCTTTAAATGAATTGCATTTACTTAATCAGCTATGAGGATACCTCATCTAGATTGGGCAAATAAGTGTGGTTTAATTTTTCTAATCTTTTAATGACTTAGTATGACCGATTAAAAAATTACTCAGCATGTTCTTTAAGTATCCACCTTATTTCAAAAATTTATCAGCAACGCTTTGGTGTTAGTTTTCAGAAGGAACATCTATAAACAAACATGTACTTTGAATCTTTCTAAAATAATTTTATCTTAACATTTTGGGTGAGAGTAGTGTAGATGAAAGTAATATGTGAATTAATATTTCCACTGCTTTTGAGTATGTAGCCATTATATATTTTGGCTGTCTTTTAAAATGTATTGGAGTGTCTGCTGCATATGTAAAAGTACCATAATCAAAACTAAGGTTCATATAAATTTGATTTAAATTGGTATTTATACTTAAACTATTTGGATCTTCAGCTAAGTGTTCAGTTACTTAAAGCTTTCATCTTAATCAGTGATTTGAAGGGCAATGACTCTTCAAATGTGACTTTGAATATATACATATGTATGAAACTACAGTTTATGCAATTGATTTATGTCTATATAAGCAAATTTAAATTAAAAAAATATCCTACACTAGTATCCTGGAAATCAGTTAAATGTAAATCTAATGTAAATCTAATGTAGACCTAGGTAAAAGAAAACATACAGTGTAAATTAAGTTTTTTTCTTTCTCAGAATTTTGATATAAGCACTGTTATCTGGAATTTGATATTTGAATTTATGAAATATTAAAAATTTTATAATTTTGAGATTTATTCTAGACTAATAACTGCTAATAGATAATTTTAGGGTAATGCCAGAATCTAATTACAAAGGTACTTAGAATATAAAACATAATATTTGTGCTTGCCTACTTATACAATAAAAACATGGTTTCCTTCCCACTCTAATTCTTAACTTAATTCAAGTAAAATATTATTCTTTTGGGACCCTGGAGTCCTTTTTATTATTTGGGCTTTTAGAGTTTAGGGGTCACTAATTTGAAGAAATCTTTATTAAAGTTTTTGAATAAAACAATGTCATATAATTTCATCAAAAAAACCCTCCTGTTCATGACACATTCTGCTTTGACCACTCTTTCTATGATCTACTGAAACATTATTTTTTAATGCTGAATGCTTAACTTGTTTTTTCTTTGTTTTTTTTTTCCTTTCTCTTCACATCCTGAAGTTCCAACTAACCTTTCAATGCTTTTTTTCCTTACCTCTTTTATTTGCTCCATTTATGCATTAAGTGGTTGCTTAGATTTAAGGTAAGAGATTCCAGGGCTGGATTTCCATTCTTTGTTCTTATGTAGAATATTACATATGGGGAGTGAAGAGATATTTGGCACTTGGCCTTCTAAAATCAACAAATAATTCCTCTTTAATTTTTAAAAAGTTTTGTCATCCAACTTTGTGGTGTGTCTTCATGTTCCATGAGGGCAGATTTTTTTGTCTGTTTTGTTCACAAAAAAGTTTTGTCCTATGTGCCTACAACAGTGCCTGATGCACACATTAGGTGCTTAGTAAATATTTTTGAGTAAATGTGTATTTTGCAATGTTCATATATTTTGTGAAATTAAAATTAAGGTTACCTGTTATAAAATGTCATTATGAATAAAATTAGCTGGACTTTTGTAAATGTAGGATTTATGTTATGGATTGGAGGGCCAACTAATGTGCTTTATTTAACCCTCCCCCTGTGTAATAGCCTTTTTATTCTATAAATGGTGTGCTTTATTATTACACCTTGTGGCCAGTATGTCATTATCTCTTGACTCTTAGTCAATGTAAAGAAATTGAGAAATGGAAAATATTCAATGTTACAGGGTTTTTTTTTAAGTTGCAGTATCATGTAGTTTGCAAAAAGCAAAATTAGTTTCTCATTTTCAAATTGCTATATAAGATATATATTTCAACATAAACTTACTTTAAGAGTTTTACTAGTTGAGTATTAATTATATCAAAACTTCAAAAGTTCATGAGTGTTTAACAAAATTCACATTAAGAATTAGAGAAATACTTGTTTCACTAACATTTTAGGGATTTTTGTTTATATTTTAGTATTTTAGAGAATTAATGGTAAAAGACATTCAAGTGTATTCAAGAACATTTAAATAGAAAGTTACTAACATTTTCACCAAACTGAGCACAAATTTCCTTTTTGTTATTTTCTTAGCTGAACTTTATAAATTCTTTTCAAATACACTATCTAAAACCCTGTTATCTGTCATGTCTCCAGTATAGAAAGTGATAAGAAGATAACTGAGATCTGAATCATTAACTAGCTACTAATACTAACCAGGGCCACAGAGTTTTCAACAGATCCTGGTAGAGAGATGTGACTAGAGGAGTCGAACGCATGTACTTCTTGTGTTATTGAGTAGAATGTCTCAGTCTTGGTAAGTGGGGGATGTGGAATTGTGAGGAGATTCCTTTTGCATAAAATACAAAGAAGTAGACCCAAAGCAGTGTGTAAACTAGCTTGGCTCTTTTCCTGTAAAAGCTGCATTCAAATTTTGGCTATTGATGGGTTTTCTTCAAAGTGATAGAAGTGCACAGAAAGATTATCTGAAGGAAAAAACACAGAAATGGACCAGTTCTTTAACCCTTTAAGTTTAGACCAGTTTGTTTAAGCTACTTTCCTATGCTCATGCCTCCAAACTGTACTGTGATTCCTTTTTGACCTTCTTGGATTCAGGATCTGTTCTATGTGGGAGATACACCAAAGTGAGTAGGAAATAAGCCCCTAGAAAGCAAGGAAATATACCACACTTGGATAAGATTCCTTAACATCTTTACAAATATACAAAAGCTTCACTCCTGAGTACTGTGGCTCTGTGTAGGTGTTTCTGCTCTAGGAGTGGTGTTGCCTGGTGAGAAGAGTACCCTGAACTCATTCTAGAAGCTAGAATGTACCAACACTCTGTCTTTTCTTTCTTCCTGTCCCTCTTTGTGAATTTTTCTTCTCTGTAAACCTGTAGCACATTGCTAATAATTTTGGGTAAACCAAAACAAAGTAGAGTGAAAAAATATTCAACAAATATTCAATATTTGAAAATATTCAAATATTTCTCTTTTTATTCTGGTATTTAAAAAGGAGTGGTTTTAGTAGGGTGATTAATAGAATAATTTAATATGTTAAGGTAGGAAATAGAATTAACGAGAAAATATTATAGTTGGAAGGAACTGGATAATTAACTTGGATAATTAACTAGTTCAGTGGTTTCCAACTGATCTTGGAGACTTGTGGATTATGTCAAGTGCCCTAGAGGTCTCCTGATGTTTGTTGGTAGGATTATCTGCTTCTTTGATTTCCTCAGTTCTTTGTGAACTCTGTTTTTGCTCTTTATTGCTGTCAGACTTTTGATGTCTTTCAGACAGACTTTAAACAAAGATCATACTTTGAGGCCAGACACATGGGATTTGACTTAGAAGAATCCTCCATACTAAAAGTTGAATTTTTAAAATTTAGGTTTTTTTTTTTTCCTTTAGTTGATGGGAGAACAAGTTGTAGAGGTTTTTTTTTTTTTTAATATTTTATTCATTCATTCATGAGAGACACACACAGAGGCAGAGACACAGGCAGAGGGAAAAGCAGGCTCCATGCAGGGAGCCTGACACGGGACTCAATCCTGGGTCTCCAGGATCACACCCCAGGCCAAAGACTGCGCTAAACCGCTGAGCCACCCAGGCTGCCCACAAGTTGTAGAGTTTAATTCGTAAGACCTTTGAAAATAATATGGTGATATATTTACAACAAAAGGCATAAGAATAAAAAGCTGAAGGGTGGAATGCCATAATGGAAGTGTTTTAGTGTATACCTGAGGCCATATAAAAGTAGAATTTACCTTGAACTGGGATACCCTTTTCCCACTCTTTATTTTATTTAAAAATTTTAATTTAAATTTGATTAACATATAATGTATTACTAGTTTCAGAGGTAGAGGTCATTGATACATCAGTCTTATATAATATCCAATGCTCATTACATCACGTCCCACTTTTTTTTTAATAGTAAAAAGAATTTTAGGACCCCATTACTAATGTATTTGAAATGGATTTTTTTCTTTTGAAAGCAATGAAGTTGTCATTAATGAAGCTAAACTTCAGTACTTTTAAAATAAATATATTAAACAAAAGCAGTAAGGACTCCTAATCTGTTAGTGTAGTATTTATTGCAGTTGGACATGCTGTGCAAGCAAATTCTAAATAATTAATGAGGAGGGGTTATGGATTTGTTTTACAACCAACACATTAAGAATTGAACACTTCTGAAAATTTTGCTTGAGATCTCACTTAACTTATTCCTGTGTAAAAAATAGCTGTAGTTTTTCACTTGAGTGTGTTCCTTAACAAGTGTTTGTCATTCCCTGCAGGAGGATGATGAATTGTGTCTCACATTTCCAGCTCTAAAGTGCAGCTTAGGGTTCACTCTTGAGCATTTATCTGACTCATCATTTGGAAGGAAAGCTCCATAATCACAGCAACCTTTGGGGACCCATCTGTTTTTGCCTTTTAGTTCCAATCTTGAGCCACCAATTCTATTTGGGCAAAGGCTGGTTGTCAGAAAGTATTTTCAAAATCAAGCAGAAATTTGCCCATCTTTATTCCTCTTTTCTTGTCCTCCTTTCTTTACCTGTTTCTCTTTCCCATTATTCCTACTCTTTTATTCCCTTATGTCTGTTTTTGGATTACTTTAGGACTCTTAGTACCTTAGGCTTTTTGTCTTGCTCTTACAAAAATTTTACCTCTTCTGAATTCATACTCAAACCCCTGATTTCAGCTTTGATTTCCCTCAAAGGATCTCCTGGTCCTTTTCCTCCTAGCCCTGGTCATTGCAGTCGGAATATATATTTTCTGAAGGGAGGGATAGAGATCTCCAGGAAGCCAAAGAATTATGCATTGGATGGGACTAGTGAGGAACAATACTGGACAGTGAATGAAGGCCCAGAGGTGCTTGACCACGGCTTCTGCTCCCCCTCACTATTCCATAGCCAGATACAGGCTATCCATACTACTACTACTCTTCTCTTTGTATATTTAAATCCTGCTTTTTTTTTTTTTTAAAGCAACAGTCCAGCTTAGATTTTTCTCTGAAACTTTTTGTAGTTTTTCCCTGTCATATTGATATTTTTTTGGAGATTTCTATATCATTTGTAGATAATTCTGTTTTGCCTAAAACATAGGAGGCTTATTTATTCCAAAATATTACAAGTTCCTTAAAAGCAGAGGAATCATTTTCTAGGCCTTTGTGTTCCATTTTATCTCTCCTCCCCCATCCAAATGTCTCCCTTAATTTTCATATTCCTTTAACTTTTTACCTAGTAGTCTGGTAGGTGATAAGTGGTTGATAAATGAAGGATATACCACAAATATCATTTTAGAATGTGTCTGCCACTATTCTATCCTAGCTGGTCATCTGTCAGTGGGAGATTTCTCCGTAACAGAAGTGATGTCCTCTGTGAACTGGAGATATGTGGCTAGCCAGCTTTATAAACAATACTGAAGTTCACAGGGTACTGGAAAGCACTGAGTTTGGTAATGAACATTATATTATGATATATCAAAGTTCAAGGAGGTATGGAATGTACCAAAAAAGTATAGAGCAAGAAAAGTAGGAGCACTGTAGAAAAAAGTATTAAAGCATTAAGAATGGGCCTGATGCTTGTTGTAGTTGTAGAGATCTCCAAAGCGTCGGAGATAGGATCACTCTTTGAACATAAAGGAACTTTTCTACTTATAGTATTATCAGCATTCCTTAGTCACAGACCACTGGCAAAGTATTGTGAGCTTAATCACTTAAATGAAATATTTCTTCTGCTTTTGGTAGTTTCTTTTTGAGCAGGAAAAAAAGGATAGGGGGATGTTTCCTACTGTTTCTCCTTATACCTAATACCTGCTTTACTTAGTTCTCAGTGATGATTTTCAAAAAATACCCACATAATTGAATGATTGTTGCAATCAACCACCAAAGCTTCATTCTGATTCCCAAATAAAACTTTGAAAAGTATAATGAGCATTATACTCATAGTACTGGACCATAATACCACTCATGGTCCAGGACCATTAACTATATGTTTATATGCCATATATAAATCAAATATAATTAAACTCTAATTATAATACAGATTCTACTTATGATAAATTGTTTTATTTTTTAAATGAATTTTTTAAAGATTTTTAAAAATTATTTATTTATTTATTTATTTATTTATTTATTTATTTATTTATGATAGTCACACACACACACAGAGAGAGAGAGAGAGAGAGAGAGGCAGAGACACAGGCAGAGGGAGAGGGAGAAGCAGGCTCCACGCACCGGGAGCCCGACGTGGGACTCGATCCTGGGTCTCCAGGATCGCACCCTGGGCCAAGGGCAGGCGCTAAACCGCTGCGCCACCCAGGGATCCCTAAAGATTTTTTATTTATTTATTCATAGAGACAGAGAGAAAGAGGGGCAGAGACACAGGCAGAGGGAGAAGCAGGCTCCACGCAGGGAGCACAACGTGGGACTCGATCCCGGGTCTCCAGGATCACACCCCAGGCCGAAGGCGGTGCTAAACCGCTGTGCCACCTGTGCTGCCCAACAAATTGTTTTATTTGGCAGTTATTCCTGTTCTGTTCATTCCCCTTTTCCTCATATTAGATGACAGTACTTATATACTTTTTTTTTTTTTAAGATTTTTAGAGAGCATGCACACAAGCAGGGGGAGGGGCAGAAGGAGGGAGAGAGAAAGGGAGGGAAGCAGACTCCCCACTGAGTGCAGAGCCCCATGTGGGGCTCAATCTTACGACCCTGACAGATCATCCCCTGAGCTGAAACCAGGAGTGGATAGCTCATCTGATTGTGTCACCCAGGTGCCCCCTAATATTTATAGTCTGCATCGCATATTCATTGTTTTACTAGCATAGAAGCATTTTTTACAAAGGAAAACCACCTTGAAGATACACTGAAAAACTCTTTTAGCTTAATAGAAGGGCACAGTATCAGTGATGTATAAAAATTATAGATTTTTTGGACATTCTATATGGTCTCTTTGGTTTCCTAAGTGATTTAAGTTACTTATCCAAACCCAATTATCCAAGCGGATACGATTATTTGATCCCACAGCTCATAAAATGTATCAAGTTTTGTGTATGGAAATGTGTGTCAGATTTTAATTTATAGATTGTTTATATTTTTTAACAGATTAAAAGATTTCTAGAAGATACTGCAATTTAAATAAAAACACCTTAGATATCAAAACTTTGAATCAGAGTTCAAAAGCTGTTTTCAAATATTTTAGCTATTCCATGTATAGAATAAAATTCTGTTTTACTTTTTCTGTCCCTGCTCCTTTTCCTTCCTGTTTCTAGCAAATTGATGTAGTTTTAGTGTTGGCTCACCTACTTCTCCCTTGTCACTTAAAGTAACTTCGGGTTTTATGTTGTTTAAGGTTGAGCTTAAAGGACTTTGGTTACTACTATAAAAAATCTTCTGGTATCATAAATGAAGATTTACAGTTTGAAAAGCTACTGGTTATTTGTCATATTACTCCTAAAATTTTCCCCAAATGTGGATTGATTTTTTTTTTCAAAACTCTTTCTGGCATTTTTATTTTAATGTATGATTAGCATACCCTCTACTTATTAATGAGGGGGAGAACAAGGATAAGTTAATCTTTATTCTTACTTAATAACTGGTTTGTTTTGTACTTATTGTTTAAAAGTAACAATAAAAGGATTATAGATAAATGTTTCATTTTTAAAATATTGACATCTCAAAGGTATCATTTGTCATTAAAGATTGTTTTAACATCACACACAACTTGTTCACTGGACTATTCATTTGAAGAGTTTGTTTCTTGATTTATTATTTCTTGCCTGTTCAGATAACAAGTAGTATTTTAGGAGCTTTAAAAATTTCATTTAAGCCACATTTAATTTTGGCAACCTCGATACTCTGTATACAATTATATGTTTTCTTAAAATTTACATTTTGAAATTATAATTATAAATGTACTCATTTCAATGGTGTAATGTCTTGCAGTTTAATTTTATAAGTATAATTTGACTACTCCAGACAGTAGAAAAGTTAAGATCCTTTTTTTTTTTTTTTTTGAAGTGTTTGGCAATCCAGAACAAAGGGGCTTAAAATAGGGTCAGGCGTGAATCTATATGATGAGCATTTACTCTGTCTAACCCATTAGTAATCAATTTGAGATTACATTTGAACCAAATTTGTGAATGACTTCTCTTACCTCTTTAAGACATCCAGAGTTCTAAGGCTTTCTGTATAAGTGCTTATATACTTCTTAGGCATTGTTTCCATCAGTTGTTTCCAGATTATGTACTTTCCTTACCCTTGCATTTAGTGAGAAGTCCTGGCCCAGCTCTGATTTAGGACTCTGTTACATCTTTCCCATAATCATTGTTTTGGGCCTGAGTGGGTCTAATTCCCAGTAGAACTAGGACATCGCCAGTGTGCCCCCTGTATTGCTCATAGTTGAATGGGATACCTCAGCCCTAACTCTCTAGTTCAGATGTTTAGGAACGTGACTTAACATCTGGCAGTTTTCAGGTAGGTGATTCCTTCATAAGAGAACAGTTAAGAGAACAGTAAAGAAATCTGAATTGTAAGGCTGATAACTATTTTAAAAACTGAAAATTTTTCTGATATATCATACAATTCAACATTTTATATTTTGTAGTTACAGTGAATCAAAACTGTACTACATATTTTGTTGGGCAACATATTTTTATGATCTACTTGCTATCTCAAAAACAAGGAATTGTTTAAAGGCATTATTATTTTATTTTTATTTTTTATTATTTTTTAAAGATTTTATTTATTCATGAGAGACACAGAGAGGCAGAGACATAGCAGACGGAGAAGCAGGCTACTGAGGCAGCCCATTGTGGGACTGGATCCTGGACTCTGGGACCACGCCCTGAGCCCAAGGCTCAACCACTGAGCCATCCAGGCGTCCCTAAAGGCATTATTGTTTTAATTGAATTTCTCTTTATTAAAACTAAAGTTCTTGTAGTTATCCTTTTGAATTTCAATTAAATATAGTATCAAATAGTCTGACCAGTGATCTGTTGGTGTGATGGCCTAATGGCAAATACAGTCTTTGCATATAAGTTTAAAATCATTTGAAAATCTGTGTTAGGAAGAGTCCTTTGAGTACAACTGTAGAATAATAGTAGAGTAGAAATTGCATATGAAATGCATGGCCTCTAATTTTTTTTTTCCTACTTAAACCTTCCCCTCCTTTGTTAATAAATAGTATAACATTATTTCCCACAAGTGGCATTTTGTTTTACTACATACAAGTTGATTGTTCCTCAAAATTTTTTTAGGTGAGTACCCAGAATATGAAGATGGGTGGGCTGCCGCGTACAACACCTCCAACTCAGAAACCCCCCAGTCCCCCTATGTCAGGGAAAGGGACACTTGGGTAAGTATGTAACTAAGTAATAATTGAAAACCATTTCTTGTAGTGTTGTTGAAAACTAAACACTACGTATATTTAAACCATTTTTAAATATTTGAAACAATATTTTCTTCCTAAGATTAACTGTTTTGTGTATAACTTTTCCTTTTTCTGGGAAACATTTTTATACTTTAAAAAGATTTTGTTTAAAAGTTATTTTTCTAATCAATTTTAAATTTGAGGTAAAATCATAACCTAAGTTCATGGTTTATTATAAATTGCACTCTAATTTCAGAAAATATTTAGAGTATTTCATATTACAGTTGACTGTGCTTTTAGATTGCTCTTATGAAGAACACTGTGTAGATTACCAAAATCTGTGTATCTTGTGGTGTTCTGAGAATACCAAGCTTAATTCAGTACAGCAGAAGTAAGTTCTGGGTTTGACTTTTGGCAGATATGGCCAATTAATGAAAAAGTTTATAATATTTTTCTTCTATAGCATCATAGTATAAAAATTTGGTTTATTGCGGTGTCTGGCTAGCGCAGTCAGAAGAGCATGCAGCTCTTGATCTCAGGGTTGTGAGTTCCAGCGCCACAATGGGAGTAGAGATTACTTAAATAAATGTTTTTAACATAAAAAAAGGTTTTATCATGGAAATTTTGATCAGGTGGACATAATATGTCCCAAAGCCAATGACTAAAATTGTGGTCCAGCTCTGCTTCTGCTCTGTTGTCTTGCATAGTCAGCCTCTTAGCAATTCAGTTTTTTCATCTGTAAAAGGGGGGTAATATTTGTTCTCTATCAAACTTTTCAGTCATTGTACTGCACATTGGATTTTTTAAAAATGTATAAGACAAAGACAAAATGCTTTGACAACCATTGGCTTTATGATGTGTGCTTAAATTTTTTTAAATTGACAATGCTGGTTTTGGCCCCCTCACCAAAAAAATACATACATACATAAATAAATAAATAAATAAATAAATAAATAAATAAATAAATAAATAAATAGAAGGAAGGAAGGAAAGAAAAGAAAGAAAGAAAAGAAAAAAGGAAGGAAGGAAAGAAAGAAAGAAAGAAAAAAGAAAAGAGAAAGAAAATGACAGAAAACCTAATTAAGCACCAGAGGTCAGGACAGGACAAAGATGAATTAGAATTAAAAAAGAGAAAAAAAAGAAAAAAAATTATAAAAGAGGATAATGTTGGAAGAGGAGTTATAGTTAGGACAGTGGGAAGTAAAAGAATAAAAATGAGTTCCAGCCAGGAATAGGATGATCTTATGTGGGGTAAACAAAACAAATTCTGCTTACATTAGAGAGAAAAGCATCTAGTAGATCAAATAAGGTTTAAACTTCAGGAGAGAATGTTGATGACATGATGGGGTATAATTATGCAGATGTAAGAGTAGAGAGATCACGAGGAAGTATTTACTCTCCTATGGAATGGCTAGGTTTCTGTCATTGCCTAACAGATTTTTAAAATTTTAAGTCAAGAACGTTAGCATGGTAACCCACTGTTGTCTCTAGGAAAATAAAACTGTGTGTTGCTCTAAAATTTTGAGGATTTATTTATAGTCCAGTATTTGTTTCCCTTGTGTATTAGCAAGGGTTCTGCAGGATCATTGGAGAACAGAGTTGTTGAACACCACAAACCAGTTGATGGTCGCAATCTGGCTTCTTTGCATAAGCTTTGCATAGCCATCATATTTTGTTTCCTTTGCCCCTTATTTTTTACTTTGTTTTTATCATTGCCTTCATGGTATTGTTCTCAGTCAGCAAAGGGTTTTTTCTTGCATGAAACAGAACATTTTTATTGTCTGGGAAAAATTGTCTGGAAATCAAATGTTTGGAAATTAATCAGTTTCCTATCTAATTTTTAAAAATATTTACATAATAATTTCTGAGATACCTAAACTTTTTAGTATTTTAAATCTAAGTTCCTGACATTTTTTTTTCTTCCTTGGACCCAATATCTCATGCAGTGTCTTTTACTTATTTTTACTTATTAATGTACACATGTATTTATGCAAGATTTTGAAGGTAGAAGAGTGGACAGGGTCAATTCAAAGTGCTCTCTTCCAAAATCAATGAACCATAACTTGAGTAGCCCAGAAGAGCAGTATTTAAAGGAACCTTGGGACTTTGTGGTGAGAGAATTATTGAGAAAGTTGTAAGGGAGCAACATCATTTCAGGAAAAGAAAGCTTTTTAATTTTCACATCTTGAGATTCCAATTTTTATTCTTTTAGAAATCAGAATCTTATCTGCAAAATGTCAGTTTCATGTCAGTTTCATGTCAGTATCATTGTCATAAAGAATTCAGAAACTTAGGGATGAGAACTAATTTAATAATCACTAATGTGCCATTGTGTATCCTATTTCCTATCCTATTTCCTTTCTTTCCTCATTCTCTCCTTTTAAAAGGAAATTTTGAGAAGGAAATATATTAATAAAATCCAGTCCTTTTTGTACTTTGCAGTTCGAAAAAAATAAGGCAGAAAGACTTAGGTGGTCTTTTCTTTTTATATCCCTTTTAAATGTTGAATTTGAGGAGGATACGAGGTAAAAGAGAGCAAGGTGAAAGTTGAAGGAGGAAGTGAGATGAGAATGGAAGGAGATGAGACTAACTTGTGTATGAATATAGTTCAGTTTCTTTGTATTTACTATATAGAAAGGAAGATGACTTGTTATAGTTGCTACTGATTATCAGTGTGGGGGGTTGTGGAGCCAAATTCTGGATTTATTTATCTGATCTTTGAATATCTTTGGTTAGGGAGAGAGGGGTGAGGAAGATAATTAGTGCATTCGTGCAGTGCAGTTGGGAAATTTTGACATGGTACTAAAATAATTTGAACTCATCCCTCCCCCCTCCCCCGCCCCCCAAAGGAAGAGTCTGGGAGACACTGGCTTACTTGGTGGGAGAGTTGAATCTTTGTACTCTCTGAGAGTGAGTGAACAAAATTGCCTTAGTACAGGGAAATGAGGTTGGGGACGAAAGAACAGCAATACTCATCAAAACCCTAACGGCAGAGAAGCGATACTTAAGGAAAAACTGAAATTGGTAGCTGGGTTATGTTAAAACATTTTCCTATCTCTGAATACAAATTGTATTTCACTACTGGCAACTCTTTGAATTTATTGTGCCGAAATTTGCTAATCACACAATACATACGCTCTTCTTTTTGTAGGCGGCACTCCCCCTATCGCACACTGGAGCCAGTGCGTCCTCCAGTGGTACCAAATGATTACGTACCTAGCCCAACCCGTAATATGGCTCCCTCGCAGCAGAGCCCTGTGAGGACAGCTTCTGTGAATCAAAGAAATCGAACTTACAGGTATTTTCTCTACCTCAGTGCAAAATGTGATGGTCATAGTACCATAATTTGTTCAGATTACTTCAGTTAAATCTCTCTCATTTTCCAAGCACTAAGTTCTTTTCCTCACTCTACTCTCCCAAACCTCATCTGATTCTGCCTCTCTCTCCTCATGTTCTGATGCAGCTTTGAGGTCAGGAAGTTGGAAAAAAATTAATAAACCCAGAAAAAACAGACATCTTAAAAATACAAACTTCTCTAAAAAATTAATAGTTGTAGTTGACCTGAAAGAAAGTTATGGACCAGATGTGGGAAAAAAGTTATGGATTAGATGTGGGAAATTGCAAGTTGTTTTTTGGTGGAACTTTACAGATGAAAAACTACACATGGTAAAACATTAATATGAAATGGTACACCAAGATATCATAAATAAAATTAATCAAATAACCTGTTTAGGAAAACTGTGTTTTTTATTATAAAACAAGTTTCTTCAGACAGTAAAAGTAATACTATTTTTGTGTGTTGAGTCCTGTCACTTACCACTTATATTTCTACAGAATTTTTCCTTCTTTCTCAATTTCAATTTCTTTAATAGATGCTTATTAAAAGATAGAACGAATTTCTTGAACTCATGTTTTTTTCCTGTTTTACTCAGAAATTAATACATGAAATGGAGGGCTTTTGAATAATCTTTGTTTAGCTGTATTCATTTCAGAAAATTTTGGGAAGTGCTGGTGGTATCTTATATAAATACTCATGTTTTGGTGGCTCTTATTTCTTTAGCAGCAGTGGGAGTAGTGGAGGAAGTCACCCAAGTAGTCGGAGCAGCAGTCGGGAGAACAGTGGAAGTGGGAGTGTGGGTGTTCCCATTGCTGTTCCTACTCCCTCTCCTCCCAGTGTCTTTCCAGGTAAAACATGAATGGTGCCTCATCTTTACTTGTCTTTTTTGAATTTGAATTCAATTTCCAATTTAATTATGATGGGCTTTCTTCATAATGAGGTCTTTTTTTCCTTTTGGACTCCATAAATGTTGGGAAATCTTTATGCATTTGTTATTTTTAACCAAGTGATTTCTGAATTTATGCTCACATACCTCTCTGTTATTTGGCTTTGTCTTTGGTGCAGTAGCTCAGTTGGTGCTTTGAGGTTTCAGGTACCTCCTGGGTATGAGTTATATGTTTAACTCCAGCCAGTGTTATGACATTGCGTGCATTTGGACACAGTGTGAGAATCACATAGGTAAAAAAAGGACTGGACAAATTTAAAAGTAGTTTTGGCAGTTAAATTTAGTGGACTGTTGGAACTTAATACTCTGAAATGCTACCTTTTTTTTTTTTTCTGAAACAGAAAAATGTGCTTATTTAATTTATTTATTCATCAAAGTTGAACTTTAGTTTTAAAAGTGTGACACAAAAGACCTATACCAAATAGATAATAATTTTTTTGATAATAATATTTTTTAAATCATGAAAAAGATTTTTCTGATTTTTTTACCTAATGTTTTTGTCTAGAATATGTTTATTTTCTGATTTTTGTGTTTCAAAATGGAATACTGTTTCCTAATGTATTATGTTTAGTTTTGTATACTGTTTACAAAATACTATGCTAAAAATTATAATGTAAAAGGTACAATACAGTATAAAAGTTACTTTTCTTACAGAGTAGTGGCTTTCAGGTAAAACGGAATGCTGTTTATAATGAATTTAAAAATCTGTACATTGCCCTGAGCATTTTGAATTATTTGCTGCAAACCTAATAATCCTTTAATATAAGCTTCATTTTTTTCCCCTATTCTCTTCTTTTCTTTGGTTAGTGTTAAGCATTGAATATTTAACATTAGGTTCTCTAATGCCTTTTCTAATCCTGCCTAATGGGTCTGCCTCATTAATGCCGCCTCTTACTCCTCTTTCCCTCAGCCCCCGCTGGCTCTGCCTCTGCTGGTACTCCTCCCCTTCCTGCTACTTCTGCATCTGCCCCTGCCCCTCTTGTTCCTGCTACTGTCCCTTCCTCCACTGCCCCAGACGCTGCTGCTGGGGGGGCCCAGACCCTTGCTGATGGCTTCACTTCTCCAACTCCCCCTGTTGTTTCTTCCACTCCCCCTACAGGTGAGTATGGCTTATTCTTTGGCAGGCACATCCAGTCATCTGGCTTTTATCTGGAACTCTGGCTATATGACTTTTGTTTGTGCTGTGTGTGTGTATAAAATCTGAAGAATAATGGACTAACTAGAAAATGGCATGTGACCAAAGAATAGAATTTCCTGAGGAAATCAGGGTAAAGTTCACATGTGTTTTTCCAGTAGAGTAACACAAATACACATTTTTTTAATGCTTGAATTTCATTTACTGGAGCTCTGTGACTTTAATGTGGAGCCATCTTCTTACAGTTTTGAGACGTTGTTTTTAGAAATATTGTTACAGATTAAGACTTTAACAAAGAGAAAAGTCTATGGAAATAATATGGAAATAATTATAAGGCATATTTTATAGGAAATTTCTGATAAAACAATTTGGAAGTCTCTAAGTCTGTTATAGCAGCACTGAAAACATATGGACAATGGACTTTTTAAAAAGATTTTATTTATTCATGAGAGACACACAGAGAGAGGCAAATACATAGGCAGAGGGAGAAATAGGCTCCCTTTGGGGAGCCTGATGCAGGACTTGATCCCAGGACCCTGGGATCACGCCTTGAGCTGAAGGCAGGTGCTCAACCACTGAGCCACCCAGGCGTCCCTAGGTAATGGACTTTTAAAGAATTTCATGTTCAGTTAAGTGTTACTTAAGGTTAACTGGTGTTTCAGTGTTTTAAAATAGCAACCTAAAATCTGTTTTGATGGGGAGGGGGAAGAAGATTCAGTTGCTACAAAATGTATTTGCAAAGTTAATAGTGATGCTGGTTAGTAAACAAATTCTTTATCTATTAATAAAAATGTGTATGTTTGGACACACATCACCTTAGCTTGCCAAATATTTCATAGATTACATATTTAGCTCTGTGGCTATAACCAGATGTTTAAATGTGTTAAAGGATACTTTTAGCTAAAATGGATTTTGGATGGTGTTTTATGGGATAGTGTCTATAATAGCACTTTAATTTTTTTTTTTTTATTTCTTTATGAGAGAGTGAGAGCACGAGTGGGATGAGAGGCAGAGGCAGAAGCAGACTCTTGCTGAGCAGGGAGCCCTGACATGGGACTGGATGCCGGAGTCAGGACTCTGGATCATGACTCAAGCTGAAGGCAGATCCTGAACTGACTGAGCCACCCAGGCACCCCTGTGATAGCTTTTTAAGAAAAGCTTTCCATGTAAATGTAAACATGGGCTATTCTTTGATCTACACATATCTCTATTAGGCCAGACTGTCTGGTTAAATATAGGAATCATGTTATGCTCCAGAATCAATGGAGTAAAAAATATATCTTGAAGTTGGTTATAGGCCCAGAAGGAACAAATCACTACCACCCGAGTCAACATTTTAGTAATAAAATAATTTAATAGGTACTGCTTCATAGTCTGCATTGAATAAACATTTGTTATATGAGTGGATAATTTTAGTTTTTCTTAACAAAAAAGCAAGGTAAATACCTTCATAACAATTTATATCAATCTCTTTTATACACTCTTTGAATCACCAAGTACTTTTTTCTTCTTATTAAGTTGTAATTTACATACAGTAAAATTCACCCTTTTTGGCATCTACACTTGTGACAAATGTATATAGTGATGTCACCACAACTTCAGTTAAGATGTAGAATAGTCCTATCTTCTGCACATGTCCTCCATGTTCTTTGTAGTCAGTCATTCCCTTTCACTCCTAGCCTCAGGCAACCTTTAGATCTGTTGTTGTTTTGTTTTTTGTCTCTAAAGTTTTGCCTTTGTAAGAATATCATGTAAATGGAAGCATATGATACGTAGCCTTCTGGGTCTGGCTTTTTGGCACCAGTGCATTTGATATTTATTCATATTGTTTCATATGTCATTATTTTGTTCCCTTTTATTACTGAGTAGTGTTCTATCATTTGGATGTACCACAGTTTATCCCTTTCCCAGTTGAGGGACATTTGGAGTATTTCCATTTTGGGGTTATTATGAATAAAATTGCCATAAGCTTACACACACACAGACTGTAAGTGTAGGTTTTCAGTTCATTTGGGTAAACACCTTAGGGAGTAGGATTGCTGGGATTGGATGTAAATGAATGTTTAATTTTATGAGAAACTGTCAAATTGTTTTCCAAAGTGGCTGAACACCCACCAGCAGAGTGTGAGACTTCCTGTTGTTGCTCAACTTGTTAGCACTTATTGTCAGTTTGCTTTTTTCTCTTGTTGTTGTTTTTTGTTTTTATTGAAGTTCGATTTGCCAACATAGAATGTAACACCCAGTGCTCATCCCATCAAATGCCTTCCTCAGTGCCCACCACCCAGTTACCCATCCCCCCCCACCTCCCCTTCCACAACCCTTTGTTCATTTCCCAGAGTTAGGAGTCTCATGGTTTGTCTCCCTCTCTAGTTTCCTTTTTCCCCCCTTAAACTTTAGCCATTCTAATAGGTGTATAATAGTTTCTTATGTGGTTTTAATTTGCATTTCCCTAATGACTGATGATGTAGAACATCTTTTTGTGCTTCTTTGCCATCTGTTTATTTTTTTTTTTGTTTCTTTGTTCAAATTTTGAATTTGACAAACAATTTGGTTTTTTTGTTTCTTTGCCCTCCCCTTTTGAATTGGTTTGTTTATTCAGAAATAAAATCATTTGATAAGAAAACGTAAGTCCTTCATTGGTTATATGATTTGGGAATATTTTCTTCCATTTGTGACTTATCTTTTTATTCTCTTAATGGTGTCTTTTAGAAGGGGAGTTCTTAATTTTGATTGAGTCTAGTTTATTGATTTTTTTTTCTTTTATGGATTGTGCTTTCAGTGTCATACTTTTAAACTTGTCACACAAGGTCATAAAGATTTTTTTTGTTTTTTCCAGAACTTTTTAGTTTTATGTTTCATAGTTAGGTCTGTGTTACTTTAACTCTAGTTTTGTTTGCTTTTTTAACCCAAAGCAAAGTAAATGTCTTATTAATGGTATGAATAGAGAGTCTTTTATGTAGTGTCTTTGAATTACTGAGTATAATATTCGTAATGGTGTTAATTATCAGATGTTTTGAACTTGAAGATGGTTGGTTTATATTAGTTTGTTACAGATTGATTACTAAAGTGTCAGTAATGTATTTGTACCTGGTGATTCAAATGACAAAACGTACCTTTGAATAATGTATTAGTTTATATATTTTTCTATTTTTTATCATTGTTACAGACTTGACAATAGATTATGTTTAAGCTTGTATACTTCAGATTTTCATCCAGCAGAATTGATTTTTAGATTTTGATGCTGTCATATGTAGAATTAAATAATATAGCCGATCTTGAGTACTTTTATAATATTCATTATATATGAGTTCATATGAATCCAAGTTTGATAAAGGTGTGGAGTTCCTGGCAACCAGTTTTACTCTTCTAAACCTTTTTTTTACAATCATGGATGAGTTAAAAAATTGCAAGAAGTGTTTTTCTTTCTTTTCTCCTCTCCCCCTCCCTTTCGTCCTCCTTGCACTTTCTCCTCCCTCCTCTTTCCTTCATCTCCCCACTCCTTCCCCTCTCACTTCTGTTTCCTCCCCTTCCCTCTCCCTTCTCTTTCCTCTTTCTGCTGGAGTAATCTCATGAGTGCTCTAGTGCTCTGTCTGAAATAGTAGGCCTTCAGCTGAATGATGTTAAGTGAAAGTGGAGTCAAGATACAATTTAGGAACTGGATTGCATTAGGGAACTGCATAGATTAAGAAAGAATGTCTTTAGTTAGCATTGGTTGTTGAAGTACTCAGCAAAATTGAGTGAAATTGCTAATAAATATTATAAGCTTAAAGATGGTATTACAAGCAAGATATATTTTGATTCACTTTTTGTATCTTAGATTTTTCCTTAATTGTAAAATTCTTAAACTCTAATTTTAAGACAAAATAATCTAGCTTTGGAGATGGAGATTTTTGATTGAATAAAGATGTGTTTGAATTGGAATAATATCACTTGATCTTTTGCTGGAATATTTTGTTTTCCTTTAAACTAATTGCCACCTTAAATTTACTCCTGCTATTATTATTATTATTTTGATAAGACTGTGTGTCAGACATTTTTTCTTTTGCTTTTCCAGATGCCATTCTTATGTAATATATATTTAAAGAGACAGAAAGTGAGAGAGAGTTGGGGGAGGAGCTGGTAGCAGTGGGGAGGGGCAAAGGGAGAGAGAATCCAAGCAGGACATAAGGGCTTGATCTCAGGAGCCTAAGATCACTACCTGAGCTGAAATGGAAACCAAGAGTGGGGTGCTTAACCAACTGTGCCATCCAGGTGCCCTTTTTCCTACTCTCTCCCTTTCCCCCTTCCTCCCCCCCTTCCCTCCCTCTTTTTTTTTGAAGGAGGAGGAGAGAGAATCTTACACAGGCTCCAGGCCTGGTGCAGAGCCTGATGTGACACTCAATCTCACAACTCATGACCTGAGCTGAAATCAAGAGTTAGATACTTAAGTGAGCCACCCAGGCACTCCTTGTCTTGTTTAGTTTTTAGTGGCCATTTTTGGAGGGTGGAAGAGGAAGTAAGCCATAAATTTTAATTGTGATGATTTTGAAACCCTATCAAATTATATTAGTAATCTATTTAGAACATAGCTTTTCCAAACCTAATTTTGTTTTTTTTTTTACCTACTTTCCTGCTTTTGCACTTTGATATGTCAGCTGAGCAATAACTATGACTTTGCATGATGTTTATCAGATAGCAAATTAACTAAACATTGTTATTTTTAATAATCTTATTAAGATTCAGGAAATGTACCTAAAGCACTTCATTGTTTGATATAATTTTCTTTTAATGACAAATTTATGCTCTTTTCCTTTTCCAGGTCATCCTGTTCAGTTCTACAGTATGAATAGACCTGCCTCTCGCCATACTCCCCCAACAATAGGGGGCTCGTTGCCCTATAGACGCCCTCCTTCCATAACTTCACAGACAAGCCTTCAGAATCAGATGAATGGAGGACCTTTTTATAGCCAGAACCCAGGTTAGATTTTCTTCTGCATTCTGTAGAATATATCTGTTTAAAAATTTCAATTATGGGCGGGGGGGGGGGGAGAACCTTGAATTATAAATTACTATCACATAACAGGTGTTTAGTACTATTTGTTGAATGATTGGAAGAATGACTATAAGGTTGCTAATACTGTATTATTCAGTTCTCTCTCTTTTTTTTTTAATCAGTACATGATTTCCATATAAACTTGTAGAACCTAATTTTTCTGAACAGAATCTTTGTGCTGGTGATCATTTGCTTTTAAAAATAATATTGTGGTGAGCAATATTTCCTTATTAATCAGATAACCTTGCTCTATGAATACCAAATAATGAAAATTGAGTGTTCATGAACAGAGTTTTGTAAATGGTATAGTAAAAGAGAAATGGTGGTTTTTTTTTTTCTTTTTGGTGTTTTTTTTTTTTTTTAAGATTTTACTTATTTATTAGAGCACAAGCAGGGGGAGGGGCAAAGGAAGAGGGAGAAACAGATTCCCTCTCTGCTGAGCAGAGAGCCCTATATGGGGCTCAATCCCAGAACCCTGGTATCATGACTTGACCCGAAGGCAGATGCTTAACCGACTGAGCAACCCAGGGCACCCCTGGAAATGGTATTTTGTTTTGTTTTTAAAGATTTTATTTATTCATGAGAAACAGAGAGAGAGAGAGGCAGAGACACAGGCAGAGGGAGAAGCAGGCTCCATGCAGGGAGCCCGACGTGGGACTCGATCCCAACCACCTAGATAAATGCAGTTTAAAGAATGTTTTTACATATATTATCTCATTTGATTCTTCCAATCATGTGATCATCTTCATTTGTATTTTATAGGATGAGAAACTGAGGCTGAGGTAATGTCAGGTTAGGATTTGAACTTAGGTCATCTGTCTCTAAGTTCCATGTTCTCTCTTACTCTCCTAGTCTTCTCTTTGGTGGAAGGTGGTGGGGGTGAGGAGATGTCCACATTGTGATATAAAATGGATGAGAGACAGAGACCTTCCTTTATTCAAGTCCCTTCACTCTTTTGGATCCTTCTTAAAATTAAATGCCATGTGTACACTGTAGTGTGATTACCCACTGCCTTAATTGAAATATATTTCTGTTGCTGCTGTCCTTGATTACACTTACTGATTTTGGCTGTGTCATTCTTTTTTTTTTTTTTTCAATTTTATGTATTTATTCATGAGAGACAGAGAGAGGGAGAGGCAGAGACACAAGTAGAGGGAGAAGCAGGCTCCATGCTAGGAGCTAGATGTGGGACTCAGTCCTGGGACTCCAGGATCAAGCCCTGGGCCAAAGGTGGGAGCTAAACTGCTGAGCCACCCAGGGATCCACTGTGTCATTCTTTTTAACTCATTTTGAGCTTGCCTTTTTAAAATATTTATTTATTTATTTGAGAGAGAGAAGGTGCACATGTGAGTAGGGAGAGGGGCAGAGGGAGAGAATATTCCTGACTTGGGCTTGATCCCAGGAATCATGAAATCATGACCTGAGCCAAAACCAACAGTTGGACACTCAACTGACAGAGCCATCCAGGTGCCCCAGAGCTTAATTTTGACATATCTGCCTATCTTTTAAAAATACGTTCTGCTTTTAAATCATGTATTCCTTTTTTTTTTTTAAAGATTTTTTAAAGATTTATTTATTTATTCATTCAGAGAGAGCGAGAGAGAGGCAGAGACACAGGGAGAGGAAGAAGCAGGCTCCAAGCAGGAAGCCTGATGTGGGACTCGATTCTGGGTCCCCAGGATCGCACCCCGGGCTGCAGGCGGTGCCAAACCGCTGCGCCACCGGGGCTGCCCTTTTTTTAAAGATTTTTATTTATTCATGAGAGACAGAGAGAGAAAGAGGCAGAGACACAGGCAGAGGGAAAAGCAGGCTCCATGCAGGGAGCCCGATGTGGGACTCGATCCCAAGACTCCAGGATCACTCCCTGGGCCAAAGGCAGGTGCTAAACTGCTGAGCCATCCAGGGATCCCCTCAAATCATGTATTCCAAACTCATTTTTGTACAGGTGCTATTTTGTACCTAAATGCATTTTTTTTTTAAATTTTAATTCGTTAGATATGGCCTGTTTCATAGTTCTGCTGAAGATAAGTTCTCTCTCTTGCCCTCTTGGAAGTCTAGACAATTAATGCTTATGGCCCTCATGCCCTTCCTTATCCTTATGTAGAGTTTGAAAGATGTCAGTCCAAATGGTGGTTCCGTAATGGACCTGAGAGATGTTTCTCTGTTATGACTGTATATGACCAACTGTATATGATACTTAGGAAATAGGTATAAGGATACTTTTTTGTGTACATGTGCAAAATATTAGTCTTTTAAAGAACCCTGTTGGTGGCATTTATTTGAAGGCTCTTTAAACACATACTTAAATGTGTTTTAAATACATGTTTCAATACTTCTTTCTTTGGAAATCTGATTTTAACATACTTGAAATTGAAAGTATGTGTTAAAGTAGAAAAATACCCTACTCTCTGGAAATGATTTTAATGAAAGTATTTTCACACTCATGGATATAAAATGAATTGATATTTTTGAACCTTCAGTATAATTCATTTAGTTTTTTTTTTCCCCTCCTGTACTCTTCTCAGTTCTGCCTTCTTCCCCAGGGATTTGGTAATTGTTTAAAGAGGGTGGCTACAGCTTTGTTTGCTTTTTAATCATAGTGCTTTTCCTAAACATTTTTTTTTTAACCAAATCGTGTTTTTTTTTCTTTAAAGATTTTATATATTAGAGAGAGAGAGAGAGACAGAGTATGAATGGGGAGAGGGGCAGAGGGAGAAGGGAGTCCTCTCCACTGAGCAGGGAGCCCAACATGGGGCTTGATCCCAGAACTCCGAGATCATGACCTGAGCCAAAGGCAGACACTTAACTGACTGAGCCACCTGGGTGTCCCTAAATCATGTTCTTTGAAAATCTTTTTTTCTTTTTTTGCAAGAATTAATACTTTGCAAACCAGTGTTCTAAGGCTACTAGATCCACCTTCATTTTATTTGCCTTAGAATATTATATAAGGGATCCCTGGGTGGCGCAGCGGTTTGGCGCCTGCCTTTGACCCAGGGCGCGATCCTGCAGACCCGGGATTGAATCCCACGTCGGGCTCCCTGTGCATGGAGCCTGCTTCTCCCTCTGCCTGTGTCTCTGCCTCTCTCTCTCTCTCTCTGTGTGACTATCATAAATAAATAAAAATTAAAAAAAAAGAATATTATATAATGTCTTATATTACTCCCACTGGTCTTATAGTCATCCCTGTTTATTAATATTTAAGATAAAAAAGTGTGTGTTGTGCTTTCTAACAAGCTAATTCCCTGATTTAACAAAATTATCTCAGGTGTTTGTTTTATCAGCCTGTATTTTATAATCAGAGACTTGAAATGTACTTCTGAAGAAGTGAGCTAAAAGTCTGGGATTCATGGGAATCTATAAATTCAGTATTTTTTTTAAAGATTTTATTTATTTATTCATGAGACACACAGAGAGAGGCAGAGATACTGGAAGAGCGAGGCAGGCTCCCAGCAAGGAACCAGTTGTGGGACTCAATCCCGAATCCCAGGATCTCGCCCTGAGACAAAAACAGATGCTCAACTGCTGAGCCACCGAGGAGTCCAAAATTCAGTATGGTTTTCTGTGAGATGGAAATCTAGCAGCACTGTTACTATATTTTGTTTGAATTTGAAAGAGCATTTCAACATAGGAATTAAAATATGGAATACTCAGTGTCTAGTGCCAAGTCCTAAGAGTATATTAATTGTTTTCTAATGATCCTAAGGGTACAATAAGTGTTTTCTAATGAGATTATTTCAGAAGCAAGTTAATGAAAGGAACACTTTGGGGCATAAATGAAACCCCTTTGGTTCTCATTGTTTCTTAATAATCTAGCCCAAGAAATAGGAATAACAATTTATCATTCATCTTGTCAGCAGCAAAGAGGGTCACTGAAATAAAGAGAGCTAAGCATAAGTTAACAGTTTTTACCTTAAATATAAATGTGAAGCTGAAGCCCCTTGGTGGTAAAGAAGTATGTGTATACACATACACACACACACATACACAGATATTTACATTTGCATAAATCTAGTTTGATTAAGTGTCTTAGTTTAGGCTATTCTCAGAAAGTGCTACAGACTGTGGCTTATAAATAACAAATTTATTTCTCATAGTTCTTATAGTTCTGGGAGTCTGGAAGTCAGATCAGGGTACTAGTATGGTTAAGTTCTGAGGTCTCTTCTGGTTTGCAGACTATCTTCTCATATCCTCACATGGTGGAAAGAGAGGGAGTTATCTAGGTCTCTTTTATAAGGGATTAATTCCATTCATGAGGGGTCCACCTAATTGCCTCTCAAAGACCCCCACCTCCTAATACCATCACATTAGAATTTCAACATAGGAACTTAGGGATGCATAAATATTCAGTCCATAATGTTAAAGAATCAGTAAGGTGGTATTTAAGTACCAAGGTCTTTTGGTAATAGGTAATCCTATATTTTACTGTTCACGTTTTCTTATAGGAAAGACTTTAGGGATCCCTGGGTGGCGCAGCAGTTTGGCGCCTGCCTTTGGCCCGGGGCGCGATCCTGGAGACCTGGGATCGAATCCCACATCGGGCTCCCGGTTCATGGAGCCTGCTTCTCCCTCTGCCTGTGTCTCTGCCTCTCTCTCTCTCACTGTGTGCCTGTCATAAATAAAATAAAAAAAATTTAAAAAAAAAAAAAAAGGAAAGACTTTAAAAAGTCTAATTCATAAAGTGAAATGTTGGTTCCAAGGAATGTGACTGTATATAGACAATGAATTTTATTAAAAACAACTAAAAAAGTAAAAAAATAATATTGGGTTGGTGATATTACAGAAGAAAAGCCACTAACGTATATTCTCTAAGTGATAGTTAAGTTACAGCACTACCATAAATTTCCAGAAGACTACAGATGTGGTGGGGCTTTAGCAAGTTTGAATAAAGAACAATAGCAAGAAGCAATTTTCAAATCCTTATAGTAGGTAATCTTTAGGGTTTGTTAGAGAATGCTTACTCTTTTTTTTTTTTTAAAAGAATGCTTACTGTAATGAAAGCAAAAAGAGCAAGGAAACAATTGAAAAGTGTTATATTCTCAGATGACCAAGTAAGCTAGATAGACTCTTTACACTGATATTAACATAAGCTATGTTTTTAAACTTTGTGTTAATCTGCTACTTTTTCTTGGCATAACATCTTACGGTGATTTTTTTTTTTTTTTTTTTGCTTGAAAAGGAATAACAATAATGATCCTGAATTCTTTTTTATCCTGAATCTATAGAACTGATAATTATTTGGTAACTTTATTCTTTTCTATCAAAAAAATCTTCCTTGCTGAGTTTGATTAGTCAGGTTCACTTTTAAATATTCCTTGCTGTTCCTGTTTAGGAAACATTTCACTTTTAAAATGAATTGCTTAAATCATTTCCCTCACTGCAATGTAAAATATAAGCAACTAAACTTGAATGGGTGTCAGATGTCTATAACCTCTAAAGGTGGTATCTTTTTTTTTTTTTAAGATGTATTTATTTATTTTAGAGCTGGGGGGAAGGGGGAGAAGGAGAGAGAAACTTAAGCAGACTCTGCACTGAGCATGGAGTCCGATGTGGGGCCCTGACAACCCTGAGGTTACGACTTGAGCTGAAACCAAGAGTCAGATGCTTAATTGATTGCACCACCCAGGTGCCCCAGGTAGTATTCTTTAGTGGTTTTAAAAGTAGTATTTAGAATGTTTCTTTAGTTTTATTTTCTCATGATATTTATAAATCTGTGGAAATAAGATGTAAAATTCCAAGTTATTTTTCAAAACTCTTTGAGGTAGACATTTTAAAACCTTGGGAGGCTGGGTGGCCTAATTGGTTTAGGTTCTGTCTTCAGCTCAGGGCATGATCTCAGGCTCCTGGGATCAAGCCCTACATTGGGCTCCCTGCTCAGTGGGGAGTCTGCTTCTCCCTCTCCCTCTGCCCCTGCACATGCTTTCTCTCGCTCCAATAAATAAATAAAATCTTTTAGGAAAAATAAAACAAGAAACCTCAAAGATTATGCTTCAAAGGATTTCATAAATAACCTGGAAGGTCATGCTTGGGAAGTCTATATATTTCATCAGCACAGACTCATCCTCTAAGTTTGGTTTGCTTACTGAGCTTTTTACTCTATACATATCTACTTGTTGCTGTCTGTAGAACATAAGATCTCTTTATAAACTCCAGTCATTTGGTGAGGTCATCTCTTCACATTAATGTCATTAGTGTATATTATGAATATAAAACTCTTGAATCTAAGTTTGGAGATCTTTCGGTTGTTATAGGGAAAGAGTCTTATATGAAGAATCATCTTAGCTAAGTGTAGTGAAAACAAGTGTCTGGTTACTTCTGTTCTTCCCTATTCACAAGATGCCTAGGACTAGAACTGAATATTGCAAATAATTCTCATAAAAATCCTGCTTAAATCTCCTAGCATAGTTGATTTTCAACTCAGGAAAATAAATCTAGTGTAAAGTAGGATGTTCTGGTTCACAGGAGTTCTGGTCAGATACACTCTTAATATGGTCTAGAAAGAAAATACTGTGGTATTTGAATTAACGGAACTATCACATAAAAATTTTTCCCTGGAGAAGAAAAGTAGCATTTGGGGTGACCTTTGTAAACTCAATTTGGAACTGAATTTTTAATAAAGTAAATCTGTTTTAGAAAGATTTGGAATTGTTTTTTACCTGGGCTGCTCTTGGTGGACTTCCTAAAACCAGTATGGTTTCAGATTTTCACTTTCAGAACTAGAAAAGAAATAGAATATACTCATCTTAAAAAACAATAATACACTTGACTTACCTACAGAAAGACTGTTCTGAATTAAGCACCTAATCATTTGGTTTAACTGAGCACCAGAAGGTTATTATTATTATTTTTAATTTGGATGAGAAACAGTGACTGAGGTGGGAAATTGCCCACTTTTCTTTTATAGGGGAGGTTGGGCCTGGTGCTGACAGAGGAGGAACATTTTCCTTATTTGATATGAACATATACCCCATACACCCAATCTCTACTTTTCTAGAATGCCAGTTGCTGTCTGCTGCTTTTTTCTTTTATTATTTGTCTCTGCTCCTTCTGTGTTCATTACATCGCCATCTTTCTCCAAGTTGGAAATACGGGGTATTGGGAATGTATCAACAGTTGTCCCTCCCATGCCTTTGCGAGGGGAAACACACTGCTGAAGGGTTACTACCAAGAAATAGGACTTAGGGAAAAACCTAATCAAAAGATAGCTTTTTTTAAAAAAAGGTACCCATTTCTAGGGTTATTCTGCTCTGTCTCTTACATCTAGATATTCTTCAGTATTAACTAATAGCTTAACTCTTGTCTATACATTTATATATGTTCCTCAGTTACCAAGTGGTACTTTTTCACACTGTTACTAAGTTCTGTTCTTTGTGTTTTTGCTATCTTGATATTTTTGTGCCAGGTCCTGGGTTAGGCATTCTGCATGCAGTAGATTTTTGGTTTTTGTTATTACTAACTTGGTGTTTAACAGCAAAAAATAGTGAATCAGATATTTGACGCAAGTGACTGTAAATTCCAGTCTCTTTGTACTGAGCACTCTTTCACCTAAGGTACTTCCCTATTTCATATCTACCCACTTAACCTTTCCAGGTTATTTTCCCTCAGGGCTATTTTGTGCTAGCCATATAGAAACATTTCCAGTCCTGTGAACTGGTCATGTTGTTTTATACCTCCAAGCCTTTGCCCCTGACTTGGTTCTCAGCTGGTCTTTCTCCATTCTTGTCTGCTTGAACTCTTTTTCTTCTGGTGCCTGTTCAGAGAACATTTCTGTGTGGCTTTCCTTACTACTGGCCCATCCCTGTGCCCCCACCACCTTCACCATTGCCGACTCTCCCACCACAGCCACCTCCAGGGAATTGCTACAGACATTGCTGAGTTAAGGTTATTATTTTGTTTTGTATTCCTAATTAGAATGTGATATCTTTGAGGGCAGTGACTCTCATTCATCTTTCCAATTGTATTAGTCTTAATTGTAACTTGGAATTAAGAAAAGGTGTTCTCTTTTTATAAGAAGATGCATACTATACTTTATACCCATTCTGAGGGAAACTATAACTGTAGAATTAATCTTGGGCAGTTTTTCAGCCTGTACCTGGTTTATTTATTTACATATGTTAAACACTTGCTGAAGACTGACTAGTGCTAGGCACTGTGCCAGGTGTTTGTGATGGAGAAAAAGACACTTTGGGGAGGAGAGGATGACTTGAATGAGTCCATTGTTTTTTGTATGAATTGAGATTATGAAAAATTGTAATGACATGGACCTAACTCTCAGAATGGTTTTGATAACTGGTCTCTCCTAGCAAAGTGCTTGCCACTTACTAGAAAGTCAGTAAATATTTGTTTAATTAATGAATGAAGAACCAATTAATTTGCCTGTTAATGAAGTAATGAAAAGTATAAATTTAGGATGTGGGATGCAATGTTTTTTTTTTTTCTGGTATTGATGAACATTTAAACTTATAAGCTTTAAAATCCTGAAAACCAAATTATTCATGATAATCTGAAGAAATTCTGTGAAAAGACATGTTAGTGATATGATCAGTTTGCCATTTCATGGTAGAATAGATCTGTATATAATAAATGCTTCCTATTGCAATTTTTAGAATTTTCTTTAAACTCCCCCTAATACTTTATTTTTTGTGTTAATGTGTTATCTCTCAAAAGAGGATCTTTAAGATAGCTTATAAAATATTTGTACATAGTGGTTTCCCTCCTTATATGTTCGTTTTATTGTATTAGCCTTTCCTTTTAATGTAACTTGCCCTTACCCCTTATCCTCCACACCTTTTTTGTTTTTGCAGTATCTCTTGCTCCTCCTCCTCCCTCCATCCTACAGGTAACTCCTCAGTTACCTTTAATGGGATTTGTGGCCAGAGTCCAAGAAAATAGTAAGTTTATGTCTTCTTTATGCTGTAGATCAGATTATAGGCATAAAATGTCATTTATATATGATTGGCTGATTTGTCAGTCATTTGCTGATACTTCACATACTTGAATATTATGAGCAAGTCACTGTGTGAGCAGCTAGTGTGAATAATAAAATAATTAAGGTGAAATTCTCTGATTTCAGATAACTTAAAATCTGGTAGTGAAGATAAGACAAAAATAAAGCACATATAAGAAATGAACGACCACATCTAACCAAGGAGATGCTGTCTAGTCACAAGATATCCCATCTTTTTCTCTGAGTTCTTCAAACAAGTAGTAGCCTAGTTTCCTATCACTGGAGTTGTAGAGTTTTGTGGCTGGCTTGAGAATCTTCCTCCAGTCTTGTGATTCCAGGTGTAAAAATGGCCGTGCTGTGGTAGGTCTCAAGGGACCAAATTGCCACCAAGTCTCCCAAGAGGCCTTGTAGATTGGCAGTGAATTTACATTGGCCTGTGGTCTGGGATCGAGACATGCAGGATCAGATAACTAATTTTCTTGACACATTCAGCTTCTCCTAGGTAAGCATTAAAGGAAACTCAGGAGACTGATGTCTACTAAACAGGAAACCTGTATCAATATTCAGTGAGGAATTGCTATCACAGAGACCAGTGAACATAGTGTGTAAGATAGAGGAGTTCTCTTTATGTGAGCGGTCTATACGAGGAGCCCACATCACAATCAAGGTTGCATCATGGGCATGGAATCTGAATTAGGGGAATTACATTAATGAAAGTTTTAATGCTATCAGTATGAAGAAGCCGAATGTACACATCTCGTAACAGGGATGGCCTCACCAGACAGATAGAAGTATTTGCACTCTGCTGTTTAGGACTCCTGCTTCTTTGGATATGGGTATTGCCAATACTAGAATGTGAGCTTTCACAAGAGTAGGAATTTTTGATTATTCTGTTGGCTGGCTCTTTCCCCAGCACTTAGAGAAGCATCTGACACAAAGCAGACACTTTAGTCCCTGTTTTTTTGTGCTTCTGTAGCTAACCGAATGCCTCCTTTTTATGGACACATTTCTTTGTTGTATTTTAACTGGTTATAATCCAGTCTTACTTGCCTGAGGGCTCAGTGTCTTTCCCAAGTGCCTTTGCATCTCTGTTAGCTTCTGATAACACTCTAACTTATGTTTATTGGAAGGTAAACAATGAGCACCTCCAATGTTTAGCAGTGTGATTGCCTTTTGGAATAGTCTTTTCTTTATTTCCATAGTCCTATACATTTCTCACCTACAAAATGTATAAAAATAAGAAAACTTTGAGGTGAGCTGTCGCTGATTTTACAAACATAGCAGGACTTTCACATTCAAATGAATGTTCTCTTCAAAACATTCACCTTGGAAAGATACATACTTATCTTTTGGAATTATCTTCATAGTTTTCAGGTATATTATTTTGAAGATACTCTGTGGTAGCTATTACATAGTCCGTAATAAGATCGATGTTTGGAAACAGTCTGGAATTATTTGGAACCAGGTATACTGGGCTAACTAGTGCAGCTATGATTCTATTCTTCTTAAAATCCTTCTATGGCTCCCCTTTGGATAGAATTCGAACTGTTGGAAGGTCCTTCCTGCTTAGTCCTCTTCAGCTTACGCATCCCTCTTTCTACTTAACTTTGGCCAGTTCTTTGAAGGGTTCCTACTCTCTTATCTTTGTATTTTTTTTTCTCCTTTACATCTGACATGAAATATCCATTCTCACTCCATCCTAGCCTCTGGCCATTAACTCTTACTTACCCTTCAGGTTCAGGAAGCCTATCCTGACCCACGTAAGAGTTTTGGTCTATTGCCGTGTTTTCATGACGTAAGGCATTTGCTGCACGTAATTATAAGTGAAAAATTGGTTGTCCAGGTCTCTGTGACTTTTGCTTACTACTATGTCCCGTTGCTGAGCATAGTAGCTAATCAGAGTAGGCTCTCAGTTGACATCTGTTGAATAAGTAATAATGAAACAGAACTTTAAAGTTACTGATCTCATCCCATAATAGTGTATCTTTTGAGATAACGGGCATTGAAGTTCAAATTCCTGCTCTTCCTACTTAATCTTGGTAAGCCGTTTCTACATCCATAAAAATGAGGATTAAAAACACACTTCCTATGGTAAAGATTAAATGAAATAAGGTATCAGAAAATGCTAGCTGAATAACTGGCACATTTTAAGTAAAAAAAAAAAAAATGGTAGCTTATGTCCATCTCATTAAAGTAACTGAGGCATTATAAGAAATGGTAAAAATGAGCAATGGCAGACTCTTGAATAGTTTTGTAGTGTAATTTCTCAAGGTGATTGTTTTGAAAGACAGTGTTCCTTTGGATCTTTGTTTTTGTGTGATTGTTTAAAGTCAAATAGGTTGATTCTTAGCCCAACCATATATAACTTGTCATAAAATCTATACTAAATCACATATCTATAGTTTTTGCTCATTTAAGAAACCCATTAGGACTAAAAGAATAACTTTTAATAAGTTTTGAAGTGCATTAAAGCAGATAGGTTGGGAAATAGAGTGGCAGCAGGTGGGAGAATACTGGAATAGGCCAGGACATGATACTCACCAGACATCAGCAGTCTTCTCAGATCCATTTGATTCAATCAGTAGGCTTAGATGAAAGAAAATAAACAAGATTGTTCAGAGGATTTCACAGGAACAATACTGGTACCTCATAAATAAGAATTCATAAATAAAATTGGGCAGCTGATAAATGCAGCTTTACAGTTTATTTTGTTGAGCTGTGCTCAGTTATGTACCAAACATTTTGAAAGCTTTGAGTTCCCTGGATTTGGAGATTAATCTTTTAGATGTTACTATATGCTGATACTTAAGCTGTGGAAGCAGATATCTACAAGGAGAAATTTTCAAATCACTCTTGGAATTCAGCTTGAAGAAATTCTGGATCATAAATTAGTCTGAACTAGTCTGAATTACTGAAATTCTCTCTATATATATTAAAAATAGCAAACACAAACATCTTCATAGATGAAGTTACCCAAAGCCTTGTTATTTCCATTCTACTAGTTGGGTAAAATGCTATTTAAAAAATTCATTTGACTATTCATGAGTACATTCTAATTTATTATAAATTAAATGTTTATAAATCTCCAAATTATTAAGATTTCTGATAATCATTCCTCATTGGATCTAATATAAAACCAAACTGTATTATACTTACCTCTTTCTTTGAAGAAGAGGATTATGTATTAGCATAAACAGGTTCCAGGAGGCTCATTTAATAACTGTTTTGGCTACATTTTATTCAACACCCATCAGCCCCGACCAAAAGGGAAGAGAAGTCATGCTTGGAGATTTGAAATATTATAGTTGGTGGGGAGCTTTCTCTTGCCCACTCATTTTTTATTTAAAATTGTTATTTTCAAATCTAGATTTATATTCCATGTATATAGAAGCTTGGATAGGAAATACTGAACTTTGCATCTCATGTAGTTTTGTTATCAGCTTGATACATTCTTAGTTTCAGATACACCACCACCACCACCACCTGTGGAAGAACCAGTCTTTGATGAATCCCCCCCTCCACCTCCTCCCCCAGAAGATTATGAAGAGGAGGAAGCAGCTGTGGTTGAGTATAGTGATCCTTATGCTGAAGAGGACCCACCGTGGGCTCCAAGGTCTTACTTGGAAAAGGGTAAGTTTCAGAGGGATATCTATGATGGGAAGACACCTCTACGTACAGTTGGAATTTACTGGTACTGAAGAGAATCTTATTTTTTTACTGATAGGTAAAGTTTTGCTTACCTATCAGTGCCTATGCAATGTCTTCTTGATTTAGTTTACAAGGTTCATGATTTTTGAAAGTCACACTAGTAAAATTCTATGACTATCTGATTTTATACTGATGGCTATTTATTGTTCCTACTGAACATGCTTTTTTAATGAGTGGTTTCTGTAAGAGAAGATTTTAAAAATAGACTTTTTTTTTTTCTGGAATGCCTCAGGAAGAGGATGATTTTTTCCAAATTCTTATTTTTGTGGTATCTTCTATTAGATATTTTAGTTTAAATATCTTCATATGAAACTTTCTTCAAAACAATAATGGTTTCTCAATTTCTTTGCAAAGTAGCATTGGGCATTTTTTTTTTTTAAGTGAAAAGTTTCTCTGAATGAAACTTGTCTGACATGACACTTTTGGGACACAGGCTCATTAGACTCACCTGGAGAGCTTACCTTAACAAATACTGGACTTCCATTTTTGGCTAAGATAAAGCAACAGTAATCAGATATACCCTCCCTCCTAAAACAGGAAAGAGTCCAGAAAAAAATACAAAAAATAGTGATTTTCAGATTTTGGACAACAGGCAGTGTGGCAGACTAAGACCCCAGGGAGAAGAAAGTCAAACAAGGTAAACCTTTGATTGTCCTAGCTTGCTAAACTAGGGGAAATTCTTGGGCCACAGTGCAAGGAGGTGGATCCCAAACAGAGCCTGAAGATCTCACTGTATAAACCAGGTAGAGATGAGAGTCTTGGGAGGCCATAGAGAAGTAGTAGTTCCACAAAGACAGAGAACAGAGCTCTGGAGATCTGCAGAAGGGTCCCTTTAAGTCTTTGATTGAAACTGATCTGTGCATGTGTGTGAAGAAACTACCTAAGATTGGAGAAAAACAACCAGAAGTATGCAAAAAGAAAAAAAAAATATATATATATACTGGAAATAACAAGCCTGGGAATAATTAACACACAAGGCAATAATACACAAGGATAGAGAAGAGGCCTCAAAACTGTGTCCCCTTAGTGATGGGGCCAAATTAGCCCTGGACTAACGGTTGCTCTGGGCTGCCCTAACAATGCTTAAATGCAAACCATGAAAGCATCCAACTGATTTCAAGTAACTTCATTGGTTTCCAGAACAAAATCCAACATTGTTCAAAAAGTCCAGTGCACCAAAAAGTGAGACAGTGTCCAGCATCCAATCAAAATTTTCAAGGCATGTAAAAAAAAAAAAAAGGACAGCAAATATAACTAAGTCAGTCAATAGAAACAGAGCTAGAGACGACTGAGATGGTGGAATTAGCAGACCAAGGGTGTTATATAACTATTATAAATGCCCCATGTGTCCAAGAGGGTAAAAGAAAGCATAAACACAAGAGAGAATACCTTTAAAAAAAGAGAGAAATCCACATAGAATTTTTAGAGATGAAAAATAACAGCATCTGAAGTGATACTTCAGAAGAAAAGATCAGCAACTTTGATGATATGATAATAGAAACTATCCAAAATGAGAAATGGAGAAAAAATAGAAACCAAAGACAGAGCAGTAGATATGTGGGACAATATCAAATAGTCTTCATTTGCAGAAGATAACGATCTTTTTTTTTTTTTAAAAAAGATTTTATTCATTTGAGAGAGAGAGGGTGGTATGTGCACCAGCAGTGGGGAGGAGCAGAGGGAGAAGCAGACTCCCCACTGAGCAGGGAGCCCCACGAGGGACTCCATCCAAGGACCCTGGGATCATGGCCTGAGCTGAAGGCAGATGCTTAACCAACTGAGCCACCCAGGCACCTAAGATATGATCTCATATGTAGAAAATCCTAAAAGGAATCCACCAAAACCTGGTAGAACTAAAAAGTGGGCTTAGCAAGATTGTAGGCCACAAAGTCAATGTGCAATCTTAATTGGATCTTTATTTACAAGCAACAAATACTTGGAGATTGACATTTATAAAACCATACCTTTGGTAATTACATCAAAAATATGAGATACTTAAGGATAAATTTATAAAGTATATGTAAGACCAATATGATGAAAACTGTAAAATATTAATAGAAATTAATAAAGGCCTTAAATCAAGACATATATTATGCTCTTGGATCATTATTTAATAATTGGTTTTCCCCAAATTGATCTGTAAATTGAGTGCAACTCCAGAAAAATTCCAGGAGCCATTCTTACAGAAATTGACGTGGGGATTCTAATAATCGGGTGGAAATACAAAAGAAACTAGTAGGATAAAAAAAAAAATTTTTTTTAAAGACTAGTGTTGGAGGATTTTTTATTTATTTTTTAGTGGAGGATTTAAACTAAAGGGTACAGTATTTGGGACATGTGGTGCTGATAAAAGTACAGAAATATAAGTCAACAGGATATGGAATTTAGAAAAAGACCCACACATATTGTTTAACAAAGGTGTCAGGGTAATTCAATGGGGAAAGGGTAGTGTTTTTCAACAAATATGCTATAACAATTGGATATCTACCATCTGGAGAGCTTACATTAACAAATAGTGGACTTCCATTTCTGGCCAAGATAGAACAACAGTCATCAGATTTATCCTACTTAAAACCATTAGGAATGAATCCAGAGAATTTATGTGTATGGTGAAGTAAAGGTAAAAAGTTAATGTTCATGTACTTTCTACCCTTGTTACCATAGACAAAAATTAGCTTGCAATGTATTTTAGACCTAATGTACAACGTAACCTACACAACTTCTGGAGAGAAATATTGGAGAAAATGTTTGTGTTCTGGGATAAGGAAAAAAAATTATACAGAGCACATAAAAACATGTGTGAAAGAAAAAAATTGATAGATTGAAGTTCATTAAACTTTTCTTCTTTAAAGATGCTGTAAAGAAATGAAGGCAAGCCTAGATTGGGAAGAAGTTTTGCAAAATAGTAAGGAGGCAAACAACTTGTAGAAAATACATTTGACTTCACTAATTAGATGCATGAATTCCAGATGAGATGTTTAATATTATTAGTTATTAGGGAAATGCAAATTAAAGCCACAGTGAACCCAACTAAATACCACCACACACCTTCTAGAATGGCTACAGTTAGAAACCCTGACAATAGCAAGTGCTGGATAGAGTATGGTGAAACTGGAACTCTTATGGTTTGCTGGTAATAGTGCAGCATGCTTCAGCTACTTGACAAACAGCTGTCAGTTTCTTATGAAATTAGACATATAGTTGCCAAGCTGATCTGGCAATCCTTTCTTACATATTCTATGTTCACAAGAAGTCTTAAACATTCATAGCTACTTTATTTATAGTAGCTAAAATCTGGAAACAACCCACATATCTTTCCAACTAGTGAATGTATAAACTAGTTGTGGAATTAACTACCATTCAGTGGAATACTGTTAAGCAAAGAAAAGGAACAACCTTACTGATACAAGCAACAGTATGGATGGATTTCAAGCATTGTACTAAAAAGAAATCTAGACACTAAAAACTCATACTTCATGATTCCATTTAAATAAAATCTAGAAGATCAGTGGTTTTTAGGAACCAGTACAGGTTGGAAAGGAAACTTCAATGAACATGAGCAAAACTCATTGAACTCTACATGTAAGTGGTTGTATTTTGTATCTGAATTACACCTTAGTAAAGCTGTTTTTAAGGGGAAAAAAAAAGGAAGTCCAAGGTACTACACTAGGATATGGCTTTGGTCATTGACATGTTCTCAAACTTCTACATGATTTTAACAGTATCCTAGATAAAGTGATGACATTTTTCAGCTCTGAAAAAGCAGCTCAATTATTCCTTCAGAGAAAAACACAATCAAAGAAAGGTTTTACTTTCTAAAATTGTACTCTTCAGTGAACATGTAAAAATCTGGAGAAGTTTGTGAGAGGGAAGTGAGTTGTTTTCAGTCCAATTAACTCTTTAAAGTTTAAAAGAGTATGCCTGAATTGTTCCCTAAGATGTTCTTCAAAGTTTGATTTATCTGTTAAGTTCAGATCTTTTAAAACATGAAAATCAAAGCTCATTCTTTCTGACAAAACAAAAAGACCCAACCATGCTTTGCTTGTGGTTGCTTTTTTGTTTGAGTGTGCATCAGTGTTAAAGCTGCTGCCTAATGACTCATTTTGTTAGCTTAGACTGTAGTAGGGCCTAGCTCTCAACCCTGCCTGCATTTTAGAGTCATCTAGGCATCATTTAATATATCTGCACCTCCAGACCTATGAAACCAGAATCCATGGGCATGCAACCCAGGCATCAGGAATTTTTAAAGTTCTACCATTAATCCCAGAGTTTAAGAACCACTGCCATCGGAGGTGTGGTTTATCTTAACCCTTGATTATTGCCCATATTAGCCAAATGGAGATAATGTATATATGTAAGTATCTTGATTTAACTTGGGTAAGAACAGCTATTTTCATGTATTTATTATGTCCTAGGCAAAATGCAAGGACATACGTAAGGCAGTTGGTGTCCCCATTTTGCAAACTAGGAAATTGAGGTTCAGAAATAATTTATATAACAGAAAATGTTAGTACAAAAAAAGTAGTATATCAGTAGTTATTAATGATAAAAGAAGGTAACATCTATATAGATAGTGTTTATTTATCATAACCAAGGCCCTGGACTGTATCTTGTATGTTCATTGTTTTTTTTAATATAACAATGTTATATTGTTTTGAGGTGTTAGGCCTATTGTGATTCCCATTATTTAATTGAGTAAAAAGCTTAGGAAAGTAAGTATGCTCTGAAAACTTACAAGTGGTAGAGCTGGGATCTGGTCTAGATAGTAAAACCCTACAGCCTACATTCTCCCCGCCCCCCACCCCCCTCCTAGAGCCCACATTCTTACCCACAGTCCTAAGCTTGATCTGGGATGGAATCTTAGCTGAACTCTTTATTAAATTATCTTCCTGGCAAACTTTAACTTATTTGTCAGTGCCCATTTTATATCCCTTCCTTCCATCAGGCCATCTGTTCTTGTGTTCTTGCAGCTTGGTGACGTAACTTCTTGGTAGAAATATAAACAGTGTACTGTAACTTAGCAGATGATATCTCTGTCCTCACAAGACTATGACAGTCCCTGGTCCTGTTCACCTTTGTATCTCTAAAAATCAGCATGGATGCTCTATTAATGATTGTCAAAAAGTGAATAGATAATCCTATCTGGGGATTCTAGGAAGCTTCTCAGAGGACACATTTGTGGTGTGTCTTGAATAATGAGTAGGAGTTTCTCAGGCAAAGAAGAAAGACAAGAAGGGCCGTTCAAGCAGAGGGGATCCTCTAAGTGAAAGGGCACGGCCTTTGTGGATATAGTGAGTAGTGTCACATGCCACATGGTGGTTGTAAGGAGAAGGGTGGGGCATGAGTGTAGGAAGTTCCAGAAGTAAGTTGTAATTAGTGGTGGGAAGCCTTGAATACAGTAGTTGGAAAATTAAAAAAAAAAAAAAGCCTTGAATACTACTGAGGTGTTTGCATTTTTTTTCCTTTTTTTTTTTTTAATCTAATGGTAGAGGGGAATTGTGGAAGATTTTTAAGTAGGTTAATAGTAAGTTCCCATGACTTATATTTTAGCTTTTTTTTTTTTTTTTTAAAGATAACCTGGTAATAGTGTAGAGTAGGCAGTAAGAAAAATAGGAATTGGGAAGACCAGGTTGGATAGCTCCCTCAGCAAGAGATGAGAGCCTCAGCTGAGGTAGTGGTGTTGAAAATCTTGTTCACATTCTTCATGTGGCACTGTCACTCAATTTTTAAAACTCCTTTAGCATTATCTGCCCAAAATCAAATAATGTTCAGTCTTGAAAAATTATGTTTGATCATGTGTCCATTGGTAACTCCAGTATAATACTTGTTAAATTTTGTTAAAAGCAAAAGAGGGGGGGATGCCTGAGTGGCTCAGCAGTTGAGCATCTGCCTTTATCTCAGGGCATGATCCTGGGGTCCTAGGATCGAGTCCCGCATTAGGCTCCCTGCATGGAGCCTGCTTCTCCCTCTGCCTATGTCTCTGCCTCTCTATGTGTCTCTCATGAATAACTTGCAGACAGGTTGGGTCTGATCATGGAGTAATTCTTTAATACCACACTAAGTATTTTGAATTATCCCTTTGGCACCCAGAGCTGTTTTGTACTTTAAGGTAGTCCACAATTAAGGATAAATAGGAAATGAGAATTTTTATGACTGATGTCTCATCTCCAGCAGACTAGTTTTAGGAAGCAGTGTGTGTGTGTATGTGTGTCTTTAATTCCAGTATAGTTAACATATAATGTTGTGTTAGCTTTAGATGTAAGGAAGCAGTATTTTCAAAGTTGAGAATCTAGAAAGTGTCTCTATGTAATTATCTGTCACTCATATTGCTTATAAAATCTTTGGGTACTAAGTGCTATGTGTATTCTTAAAGACTGCTGCCCTGACTAGGGCAGTGACTGGTGATGAAGGAGAATAGGGTTTGGATTTGAGAGATGTAGGAGGTAGAATTTGTAGAACTCGGAGGATATTCTCCTTCTGATTATTTGCAGTGGGTTTGCATTTCCAGATGCATCAAGAATGTTATCTACTCAAGAAAAGCTAAAAATAAGGTTGACTAGAAGTACGAAGTACGTTACATATCTTATATTCTCTTATATTTAAACTTCTGTGTCATCTAATTGTATTTGTATTTAGATGTTTGGTTATATTTTGAGAAGTAGACACTATAAACTCTTCCTAGTTTCCTCTGAAGTACTTTCTGGTATCCTTAATAGATTACTATAATGGCAAATAGAGATTAAGAAAGCCTTTTAATTTTTCAGCCCTGGTGGCTCAGAGGTTTAGCGCCGCCTTCAGCCCAGGGCCTGATCCTGGAGTCCCTGGATCGAGTCCCACGTCAGGCTCCCTGCATGGAGCCTGCTTCTCCCTCTGCTTGTGTCTCTGCCTCTCTCTCTCTCTCTTTCATTAATAAATAAAATCTTTTTTTTTAAAAAAGCCCTTTAATTTTTACTAAAGCATGCCAGAAACCATTAACTAGGGCAAGTTGCACTACATTGTTAAGTCCTTGTTGTAATTTTGTTTTCTTATTTATGTGAGGATTAAGTTTCCATAAGAAACTAACAGTGTTAGTGTATACTTATCAGATTGATGGCTAGATGGAGATTTTATTGAGTGAAGATCTGAGTGGTATAATAAAGGTACAGAGGATCCTTTTATTTAATCTTCCTGTGGAGTTGAGCAAGTTATAAGGTATCCCAATTTAACTAAACTGTAGAGGTCTAATAATTAGCAACCAGAGATTATCTCAGGTATTGTTGAAAGGCCCCAATTACCAAGTTATTTAAACAGTGAAAATAACAGGAGAGCTTACAGGTGTCTTTGTTTTCTTAAAATTTTTGGCTTGTCATTGTGGATATATTAAATTGGCACAACGCAGCATGCATTTTCAAAGAATATATATATCAAATCCCCATCATTGACACATAAAAAACTTGTGGGAGTTCCACCACTTATTCTACTTCATGAATAGGCACAGGCTTTAGAAAATTTGAGTGGATGTAAATCTACTATTCCCTTGTTTTCTCTCATTTGCCTTTTATGGTGCACCTCACTCCACTAGTATAATTCTCATGTTTAAAGATACATATTTTTATACAACACGGTGCTTCAACACAAGCTCAACTGAAGTAGCAGCCATCTTTCCCAGTTCTGGGATTGTGCATCTTTCTTCAGTAAGGTATTTTCCTGTAGGTGCTTGAAGGGTAAGTCTGACTAAATGTGTGTGTGTGTGTGTGTGTGTGTGTGTGTGTTTTTTTTTTTTTTTTTTTTTTGCCATTTATACTGTTTTGAACCTAACCTCTCCAAGATGGGATTCTATTGTATATAATGAGTATTAGAAAAAAATTTTTTCTTTAGTCTGTGTTTAGAAACTCACTGAAGTGCTGCATAAGTTGGGAAAGGACGGACATTCATTTATTTGTTTCTGTCTTTCTGGGGGATGTTATTCTTTTCACATCCTGGTTTTGTTTTTGTTTTGTTTTTTCCCCCCTCCAGTTGTGGCAATTTACGATTATACAAAAGACAAAGAAGATGAGCTGTCCTTTCAGGAAGGAGCCATTATTTATGTCATCAAGAAGAATGATGATGGTTGGTATGAGGGAGTTATGAATGGAGTGACTGGGCTCTTTCCTGGCAATTATGTTGAGTCTATCATGCATTATTCTGAGTAAAGCTCAGCAGCGCTGTGTCCCCTCACAGGAATAGTCAGGTCTTCCCAGATTATCAAAAGGCCCTGGGGATTCCCCTCCAATGAAATGCAGGAAGGATACAAATGACACAAACTATTTGTTTTTTTGGTTTATTCCCCAGTATTAAAAAAGCAAGCTGAATCTGAACAAATGGATCTTTCTGCCGTTATTTGTACTATGCTGAGCTGTCTGGATTAAAATAGACCATTTCTAAATATGTCAGAGGTAAAACAGCATATAACCCTGTAAAACAAATCAGGTTAAGACTGATTCAGAAAATCTGGGATCTTTCTCAGGAATACTGTACACCCTTGGGATTTCTCCTCCTGCAGAATCTGTGGCATTGGATGTTCTCAGTGCCTGTGCTAAAGGGTCAGCCTTGCGGCCTAGTGCCGTACCCTAGCCCCACACTTTCTTCTACTTGTATGAGGAGGAGTGAACTAGTATTTAAATATCCTACTTAACCGTTTTGATAACCATTTCGATGGCTTATTTCTTCCTCTTAACACTGTAAATTCTGCATTCTCTCAGCACTTGAGTGCACCAAGTGAGTTAATGCTGCAGACTTGCATTGACTTCATGTTTTTCAGTTTGTAGATTGAGGATGATGAAATGAGTCCCCAAATATTCTGAGGATGGTTAACAATTGCTGGTTTGATTTTACTGTGCTGCTGCTGCATGAGACTGCACTGCCAGGGATGGCTTGTGGACCCAGACGTGTGGCGTGTGGTAGCTTGGTTCACACACTGAAGTAGGCATTGAGGCAAGGTGTGAGCTTTCTGAGGTTCTGAAGAGACTGAACTGGAGGAAATGTTCTGCTTAGTGGGCTTCCTAGACCGTTGCCTTAGGCACGGTTTCCAGGAATCTAGGAGGTCAGACCAGCTATTTTTTTTACTTCTTTCACTATTTAGGAAAACATTCTTTTTTGAAAAATAGCAGTTCTTTTCAGGTCTCTTGACAGTCACTGGGAATCAAAGGCTTGCTCCTGTGCTCTCTGAATGTTGTTAATGGCCAGTGTTAGCTGCTACTGAGTTTGCTCACTTAGTTCTAGGAAAGGTAAATACTCTCCCAGTTTTGTGATTGGCTTTTGAAGTTGCTGCTCTTGGCAAGAATTTGAACCTTTTATCTCAGACGAAGACTAGTGGGATAAGAAGTATGAGGCCAAATACTTACCCAGTTACATAGATAAAAATTAAGATAACTTTGAGCAAAACAATGATAAATATTTTTTTGTCTGTACAAGTTACAGCTTCACATTCAGTGGAGTTTGTAAGGTCGACGGCTTTAGTCATCACTTCTTTAATTAGTTTAAGACCTGAAAAGGTCCAGGAGGGCTTTGCTGCTCAGCAGCTGGATACTATGGGGAGGACCCAGCTCCATGGGTTTGTCCCAGTCCCAGGGGCTTGGCCAGAAGAGCCATTGGCAGCTAATTACCCAGTTCTGGGTGAAAGGGGGAGAGTCAATCACTGCACTTATTTCAAATCTGAAGGCCTTGAAAAGGATAGTGTAGATAGAGGAATTTGATTGAAAACTGAACAAGTGCACTGGTGTATGAGGGAATTCAGATGGTGTAAGCAAAAGTTAATATTACACTTGTGAATCTGTTATCTGCGCACAAAACTTCATCACCATTTAACTGAGACCCAGCTATAGAGTTCCCTTATCAAGACTTTGTTGCAAAATTGCAGAGGTTTCCCCACAAACAAGTTAGCAGTTTTGCTTTTAGATTTCTTCAACACTTTGAATTTAGCTTTCATTAACTTGCCTCCACTTCATGCTTTTGTCAGGTCATCTTGACATTCTTTATGCCCTGTTTTCCTTTAAAGTGATGGCCCTGAATGTCCTCTGAGCTTCAGGTTCCTTATGTACCAGGACCACCTGCCTGGAGAGGTCAAAGTCATCTTAGCGTTGGCATAGAACTAGGAAAACTGTTTTGAAATCTAGATGTGTTCCAGTTTTTACTTAAATAGCTTTGTCCTGAGAAAGCTTAGTGGATTTTTTAGGCAAGAGGGTATTTTGAAATCCAGTATAGTTCTCACAGCTCACACCTACAGAAGCAGGGAAGATAATTGTGCAAAAAAGTTCGTGGTGGTCAGCTTGCCTGTTGGACGCCTGCTGGATCGTGGCATGCAGCAGACACTGACGCAGCCCTTCACAGGGAAGGCCTGCGGTGGAGGGGGATCCACGGGGCAGTGGACTTTTTCTGTATTATTTAGTACTAACGTATACAATTGTTTTTAAAACACCTGTTGGTTTTCTGCATATTTTAAATTTCTGTACAGTTTTGAATTCTATATATTGTCTTGGAAGGATGCTATGTAATGATGACTGGCCAGGCCTACAGTAATTGGAGACTTTTAATGTATGTAATATTTCATAGATTGCATGCTATTAATAGTCTGTGAAGGTAGTATTTCTTGATTTATTGTAAGTTCCCCCCATTTATCTTTTTATGAACTACAGGATGGTTGGTAGTAGGAATTCGAAATGAATGCAGAAATCTTACAGGATACATAATATTGTGGCAAAGATGATCCAAGTCTAAAATCTGCTGACTAGTAAGCAACCGTTTTAACGGGATAGAGGGACTCTAATGGGAGAGGGATTTTTTTTTCCTTCTGAAGTGCTTCTTTTTTTCCTTAAAAAAGTGACTTAAGAGGCCCCCTCCCCCCTGCCGCTTTGGTACTACTGTTTTAAAGGCCATAGGGAAATGAATGAAAATACACTTCCTTGTTGACCTTATGGCCAAGGCAATAAATCAAAAACCAATATAGTGTGAAGATCTAGACCTGAGAGATTCAGCCTGTTGTATTTGGAATAAATATGAATCTTTTAAGATGTCTTGTTCAGTATTTTCCATTGTTTGGCTACTTTCTATCTCCCTCAGGGGCACCTGCTGTTCCCATCTTAGGGTTGGCAAGGGCCTGCCTGCTACTTTTGCTGTGTTCCTAAACATCACTAGGTGAGACATTCTCATCCCTCCCCTTCTTCTGTTTATTACCCAGCTAGAGGTTCATGCATCTCTACAATGATGTCTGTGATGGAGCTGTGCTCCCCAAGTCTTATGTTGATTACAGAGGAATACTTAGGATTTTTCTGCCTGAGAGGCATCAAAATGATAGTAGTTTGCTTTTATCCTTTTGTCTTCATTTTCTTTAGCAGGTACCTTTCTGCATTAAGAACTGTTCATTTTTTTTTTTTTATTACCTTTTCTCCTGGTGGAGAGAGCATGACATGTCCTGAAGGCCACTAAGGGTTTGATGGAGGAATTGGCAGGTGACTGCCAAGTCTTCGAAAAGAATGGGGATCTGAATCACTTCCCATCTGTTCACTTCTGAACTTCTTTGGCCAGGAACTCCTGACTGGTGTTAAGGTGATGATTTCCCTCACATGATATACTTAGAATCATAGAATTTTAGAGCTAGCTGAGATTTTAAAAATTTTAGTTCATTTTCATTTTAACTGATAAGGTTAGATGTTTCATTTCAGGTAACAGCTGGTTAACAACGGTAGAGTTCCTGACTCACACCTGTGCTTTCTACAGCTGTCTTAACTGAATGTGCTGTATGTTTCTTTAAAAATTACGAGTGCTACTTGATGTCTTCAGGAAGATACTTGAAAAGATATGCTGTTCCAATAAATACCATCAGTGTTCAAACTGTTTAAAGGAGTGTACTCAGCGCAACCTTAATTAGTGAAAATAATCTTCGTGTTAACCCCTCTACTACTACACTCAGTACTATGTAGCAAAAATAGGTAACCTGATTTCAGCATTGGCAGGAGCACAGCAAACAGCCTTATCTGAGAGAGCCTTATTTATAAAACAGTTCTTAAACGGAGGCGTTGTGCTTATAACCTTACGTTTACTTCATGCTGATCTTTGGTCCTGTTTCTTACTGAGAATGTCATAATTCTTAAAAAAATTGACAAATGACACGATAGGGCCTAGCTGTGTATAAGTGATCCTTGCAAAATGTTTTTTTTTTTTTTTTTTGTAAAACACGAAAACAAAACGTATTTTCACATTATGGTGAAAATGTCTTTTGCAACTTCAGAACTCTATGGAAAAGCAATTTTTCATATTTTGTGTCCATGCATCTTCTTTCTTAAAATGGTTTACAAAAAAGAATGTTAAACAATTTGTGATCTGGCCAGTTGTATTTTTAAGCTCCTGCAGGGAGGGTTGGTGTTCGGAGTTGAGTAGAAATCATGCAGGAAAACTTGAGGGAGCAGTCTATTGCCAGTAATGTTTCTCGTGTGTGCCATTAAGCCACCTCCAGATGAATGGGGGAATATTCACTTTTTAATTTCAAAATTGTGATTTGAAATTGTTGCTGTGTACTAAGAACTTGACCTAAATAAAATTCTACAAAGTATGTCCAAATGTCTTGTGAATGTTTTCAAAGAGGTTACTAAGGTGGTAAGTCGAAGTGTACTGGAGAAAATCCTTCCCTGTTGCTGTAACTTAACTTGAGGGTTTTCTGATCACTTGCCTTTAAATACAATTCCTTTAATACAAAAAGGAAAGTGTTGGGGTTTTTTTTTTTTGCTGTAGTTTGGCAAATGATGATAGTGATTTGTGACTACATTATAAATACACATCTAGGGACGTCCAGGTGGTGGAGCGTCAGCCTTTGGCCCAGGGTGTGATCCTGGGGTCCCAGATCGGGTCCCAGATCAAGTCCCACGTTGGGCTCCCTGCATGGAGCCTGCTTCTCCCTCTCTCATGAATAAATAAATCTTAAAAAACCCACATTTACACATACGTTGACATGGCAGCAGACCAACCCATAATTGTGATACCAAAGCTTCAAAGCAAAAAGCATCTTTTTTGGATATGGTCGTACTTTGTTTAAAGAAAAAAAAAAATCTTAGCCAAAGCTTAAATTTGTTCTGACCGCATACCTTATTGGACACCCCAACATAAACAGCAAAACCAAGTTCTTAATGATGCTGATCCACAAACAAAGTCCAGTCCCCGTGTTTAAATGAAATCTATGTATTCTTTTTATTAAGGATTGGGTAAGCTGACATAATGAAAACACATAACTGAAAACAAATTTACACTGACTGTATGACTACTGTCCTAAGCCATTACAACAGTTCGCTGACAGTAACTGGTAATTTGGAAAATAACTTAATCCAGCAGAACAAAAAAACATCGTCAGTAGTACTGAATATATCTCTCTCATATATATATATATATATATATATATATATATATGTATCTATATATAGGTTTGCACAATCAGGGAGCAAGGCACATAATGAAATGAGAGCGTACATTTAAGCAGAAGAAAATAGCAACAAAGCTGAAAGAAAAATTGTAACTTCACCTTTACTGAGCTGTGCATAATCGCTTGAATAATGTCCCCTCTATCAGGTACTTTATAATGCAGTTCCTTTTGCCTTCTTTTTCATGCTTTAAAAAACTATATTCCTACATTGTATCTATTTATTTATGGCAAAGCTCCCACAGCCTAGGTATCACTGTAAGCCTTGACTCCATTTTTCAAGAAATGGGAAAAGGAGCAATCCCAGTTAAATATGTGCAATTTTCCTTTAAAACAGTAAACAGTGTTTTTACAACATTTAGCACAAGCTGATGATATTGTACTGTACATTTCTATAAAAGGAGTTCACTAGTGGCCAATGATGAAATTAAGCAAAATTGTTTGAAACATTCCAGTTAATGCTTATTTTCTAGGAGGGATTATTTACAAGTACAAAAAAAGATACAGGAAGTAGGTAGGAATCATGAAAAATGGCAGTTTTTGGTATTAGGTTACAATAAATCTGACAAACAATGGACAGTTCCCAAAATGCAAAGACTTTCTGTAAGTGCTGCAAGCATGTTCTGCCTAAGAAGAGGTTGAGGCTTCAACAGTAGAAAGCTTGGTATTAACAGCCATCCGTGATCAACACGGTCACTTCTGAACTTAGCCATCTTTTAATATGTAGCATTTGCCATCACCCTGACTCGACTCACTTCTCTAAATGTCTTTGGTAGAAAGCGGCCAGACCCCATTCAGGTAGATGAAGCCATCTCTTGTGAGACAGACGCTTTATCTATTTCTGCACAAACTACAAATACTCATCTTCCTTCTCTTTCATTAGCACCTCAAAGTTTGCTTGTTGGATTTTTTTTTTTTTAATGCTATTTCTCCAAAAGAGTTCAAGGCACTGGGGATTATAGCAGTTAGTGTCTTCTCTTCAACAAAGAGGAAACAAATTGGAGATTTTTTTCCCTTATGTGTTTATCAAGTATATTGTTTTTATTTAGCAAATTTATTCTACAGCTAAATTTTAGGTTTCTTTTACATATAGACCTTCCAATGGTACATTGAGAACACAGAACTTGTTTAGTTGGAAGGGACAGACTGGTAAAGGTGTAGAAATGTTCTTCTATTGGATTTTTAAAGGAAAACAAATCTTAAAAGTTAGTGGGATATTTATTCGCATCTCTCTAATTCATCACATCAATTTGAATGATCACATACTCCTACAGGGTTAGGGATAACCCACTTTATATAAATGATGTAAAGCGTATAAAACAAAAGTCCAAGTGTTGAGAGGTACTTGCAACCTAGCAGGGAGTTCTAGAAATAGACCTCTTCTAGTATACAAATCCGGGTTATTATCCTTACTTCAAGCAAATCATTACACCTGTAATCAAACAGGAGGACCACACAGGCTTAACTGGTCTGAACCTGAATAAAATCTGAGACATTATATCAGTTATAATTTATTAGCTCTGAAGGTATATGAAAAAATTAACAAACTAGGGAAAGGTTTTTTGTTTAAAATCACCTGTTTGTAACAAATTGCTTTTAGCTGAGGAAAAAAGGTGACAAACAGTTCTGTTGGCTTGACAGTCAAATAAAACCAATCTATACCATTACCTGACACTTTTTTCCAGGCTAATTTATATTCTTACACCCTTGACACAAGTTTATTAGCAGTTGTATTCTCCCAGAAAAGCAGCTTCTGAAACTCTAATTGGATGCAAAGCTTGAGCTCTCTTAATCTTGATCTTTAGTTATTGCTCTATGGGAATTACTCATGATCTAATTTTGTTTAAACTTTCTTGATAAACTCGGCATTGTTTTTAGTGGCAAATAAACTTTCATAGAGAGGACTTCCAAGATAGTTCACAGCTTTAGCTGAGCATGCCATCAGTGGGCAGGAGCTCCTTGATATTAGAGGGCGATAAAACACCATCCTGTCTACGTTACTTTGAAATTTTCTGATGAAAATTGTTTCCTGTTATTTTTAAGTCACCAATCTTTAAGAAGTCCCAGAAGTTGGAAAAACCCAATTTATGTTAAGTGGGTACCTATAAAAGCCGTAAGAATATTTTTCTTAAGGGAAAATTATAACATCTGAAGAAATAATGTATTTGGGTAGTAAAAGCCCAGATGAATAAAATTTCAATACAGAATAGTCTAGCATTTAATATTTTTTATCTAGAACCTAGTGTCTGTTGTTTTATTAACCAAATAGGTTCTGTGCCCTTCAGAGTTGGTGCCAAAACTTTAAACACAGGGTGATCCGATTCTGAAATTACCTGTGGTAAAGGTTAAGGGTGTCACTAGCTGAAACAGGCACCTGTTCGCACTGCCCTCGACAGCAGGCTTTTCACTCTTCAGTACAGCCACGTCAGCTGTCCAGATTTTCTTCTCTGACCAGAAGCAAGACACATGGGGCTGGAAGAGCTGCTGAGCAGAAGGCAGGAAGAAGGCACAGTACCAGTGTCCTCTGGCAGTAGGTGTTCTCCACCGGCGCACCAGAGAGAAGTTACAAAAATAACAGAAGTCTGAAAAGAACCCCACAGAACTACATCCCAACAAAAATCCCACCCTACTAGGGAATAAAAAGCTAGAAGTATAATCTAATGTATTATTTTGGTCTTTTTTTTTTTAATTATTCAGCGTTTCACATAAAACAAAGGGAGAAAAAGTTGATGAATAGCCTTTTCTGTCTTTGGAGAAATGTAAAGGCTTGTTTTAGACAAGCCACTGGACTGCGGTATAAATGACATAGTTCCTCCTCTGGCCCTGCTCTCTGCTTGCTGCCATATTCTAAAGGATGTCTGCTCTTTCCGGAAAGTTGTGCATCAGAAGCATTGGTTCGGACGGCTATTGGGACCGACAGAAACCAAGAAGTCCTAGGGAACCCCCCACTGAACAAACCAAGGCTGTATCTTAGGGCTCAAATCATGGGTGAAAGAAGACAGAGAACATTATTGGTTTTCCCCTACAGGAGAGTTGAAGTCCACCTTCATATAAAATAAAGACCATCACCACAACAAAAACCCTAGGGATGAGTATTTTTATCATTGGATTCCTATTAGTAACTTTACCCAACAAATTAAGGGTGATTCTTAGAATATAAAGCTGTAGGCAGAAAGAACACCATGGGAAACTACATCACTCATGAGTTACAGTGGAGCTTGGCAATCCGTCTCAACGGAGATTGCTGTGCATGCCTAAATTAACAATGCAGATGTGTTGAAGGTCACTTCATAAGCCTAAGAATATCAAGCACACAGAACTTTGAGAACAAATGAAAAGATCCAAAAAGTATCTTTTAAAGAAGCAGGGCTTTGAAAAATGCACAATGGTATTCTTATTGCTTTATAACCACCTGAATTGCTGACCAATATCCTAGAGATAGGGCGGGGGGGGGTGCCACTTCATATTCTCGATGATGCAGTACTTTTGGAGGTGGGTTTATAGGAATGCCTTGTGTATCTAGTACATGTTTTGCTTATTCTTAAATTATTTACTATCTCTGCCCCACTGCACTGACCTCACTTTTTCTTTATGGGACAATGTCCAAGATTTTTGCAGTTTCCACTGGTAATCCTTATTCACAACAGGTAGAGACTTTCATTACAAGATGTGCTCATTTATCACTGCTGGGATGGCTAGTTCTTATTGTTTTAAGAGCAGCTCTGAGGTTGCATTTCTAACAGTCACTTTATCATCATAAACTGATGAGACACATTTCTCTCATATACCAAGAAAAACTCTCAGGACAAAAAAAAAAAAAAAAGAAAAGAAAAAAAGCATAAGCATAGCGTGAATTGTAGTGTGTCATTAGAGCCAGGATTCCATGTTCTACCAACTGCACATGCATAATATGTAATGTCACTGATGTACTTGACTACACTACTCCATCGGAACACCTGGTAACCTGGACAAATCTCCACAGCCAGGCTACAGCAAGCAAGAATCCTAGTGTGCTCCAGTAGCTAAGGATGAAATTGCCAAAAACCTCATTTTCCCCTCCCTCTCCTACAGTCCCATACTTAAATGAATTCTTTGTTCTACACAGCAGTCCATACACAATGATACCCACACAGGGGTCAATTCTGTTTTTTTCCTAATCACCCATCCTAGAGCAACATACAAAAACACATTTCAGAAGGTGATTTTGTTCTGTGTAATGAGCACTGTGTCAGACATGGGATGTGTATATTTGATACAGCAATTGTCTACAGATCTCTACTATCAACATCTACCTAAAGCACACACTGTAAGATAACTGGTGACCCAAAGACATACTGGGATGGAGCATTCCAGGGGTACTGTGTCAGATATTCTCTTCAACAAATCAAAACAAGGATCACGAAGCCAAGCTTGATGAGGCTTCACAAAGCTCATGAAAAAGATTCCAACAGTACAAAAAGAATTATCCGGGATTACAGCACTCCATTATCCGTGGATGGCAGGCAAAGAGCTTACCTGTGACTGAACACATCCTAGATACAGGTGTGATCATGGCAGCACGACTCAGCTAGAATGCCTTAGTTCCATGACCTGTTTACTCTGTGCCCCGCCATGGACAGACGCAGCATCTGTGACGACTTCCCCGTACTGTGCTACTGACCCACCCACGATGCTGACAGTTTCCTGACTTAAAGTGCCCCTTCACGTATGAGTGATGAAGTGTCAGCCAAGCAGTTCGAACGTCAGCCAACTGGGGAAAAAACAAACACAAAAGTCCCATCGATACACCAAACATTCTGTTGTCTTCTCAAACTGAGAAACAGCACATGATACGTCTATTCCTTAATATATAATATACAACATGCACAGAGAAGCTGCACATGGACACTTACAAAATGCCTTCTAAGTAAGTCATTAGAAGTTTTTGGTCCAATCCACATGATAGATAATAGAAATCATAAGGGACAGGACACACATCCCCTTCCATGCCTCTTCCACCCAAAATACACTAGCCCGTTTTCAGATTAGGAGCGAAAAGGAATAAATAGACTCACTCTCAGCTATATATATACATATACACAAACATATATGTATACATATATATATACATATACACACACACTATCTCTATATATGTATAGCTCTGTGTGTCCACGAACATGTACACACACACATAGCTGGATACTACCTGAATACAAACATCATACTAGGAGGCTCTGAACACCAGAATTCATAGGTGATCAGTTGAGCTGATTGTAGAACTGATTACAGACACCATGAAAATAAAGTCCTATGGTAGCAACTACCAGTCTCTTGAGAGCTTGGTATTCTGGTCTCTCTTGGGGGGAGCGGGAGGGGGTCCTCTCCGCAACGTTGCATAGCCCGATATATGACTACCTCCGTAACTAGCTTTCTGTTGATCAGAAAGCAGCTCAGGGGGGGGCGGGGGCAACGCCATGTCATCCATGGTGGCTGTGGGTTCTGCTCTGGATACCCGGGAGGAAGAGAGCGAGCCATGCCGAGTGATGGACTTCCGTTGCAGTGTCCTGTTGAGGTCGGCTAGGAATCCAGGCTGGACACTAAGGCTGGATTTGGGAGAGGTGGGCACTTGTGGCACAGCTGCGGCCATTGCCGGCTGCTCCGAGATCTCCGCTTGAGTGAGGCGGGTGCTGTCGTTCCGCTTGGGGCGTGTGGGTGGAGGCGCCTTCTTCATGGATGTTTTGGACCATGGCTGTGGTTGAGGATTAACAACTGCCACTTTAGGCGAGGTGTTTCCCGAGAACACAGCTGGAATCTCTATGGGGGGCAGAGGAAGGTCTATTTCAGGTGGAGGGGGTGGAAAGTCAGAGTCGGATGGAGGAGAAGGAAACTCTACCACAGAGTCCTTTCCACGCCCACTCAGAACAGACGCTTTTGTCGACACACACCCTTGCTGGAGAATTCCGGGAAGGTTGACTCCAGAAAGATGGAGTTTTCCAGGTTTGGGGGGCGCTGCTGGAGGTGGTGGGGTCTCTTTGCTGGGAGACCCTGAGGGTTCTGCTGGCGACGCAAACTTGCTCACTAGACTGTCCACTGAGGGTCTTTTAGGCTCAGGGTGCTCTGTACAACTGCTGGACTTAATGCTGGAGTTTCGCTGTGGGGTTGGGGGAGGTTTCTTTGCCCCAGGGCTGGATGTCTTACTGGTCTTTTTGCCTGGAGATCCACTTTTGTCCGAGGCAGGAGAAACTGTGGGTGTAGTTGTCAGGGGAGGCGGGGCTGGGGCGGGGGCTGGTGGTGGTGGCGGCGGTGGTGGAGGAGGGGGAGGTGGAGGAGGAGGAGGTGGTGGAGGAAACACCAGGCTGCTCTCAGGAGGAGGAGGAGGGAAATCCGGAGAGGGGACAGGGATAGAGCTGGGCTGCCACTTGGGTTTTGCTTTCACAGCAGGAGGGGACTGTGGGGCCACATTTGTGGAGGGAGGCTTGAAGGGTGGCTCCCCAGGGGGAGGGGCTGGAGGGGGTGGAAACTGGCTGGCTATCTGCTTCACAACGGAGGGCACGGAGGGCACGGGGGATAGAGGAGAGGGAGGTGGTTTTACACAGAAGCTCTGCTGCTTGGGTAACGTGGGTGGGGGGACCGGACCTGGGGGAGCAGGGGGAGAGGGTGGAATATGGGAAACAGGAAAAGCTGGCTGCTTCTTTGCTGGTGGGGCTGGAGGAGTAGGTGTGGGTGGCACAGCTTGCGTCATAACAGGTGGCACAGTCTTGGCGCTGGTCGGTGGGGGCAGAGTCACAAGGGGTTTGGGGGGTGCTTGGGGAGGGAGGGGCCCGGGGGTAGGAGGGGGTGGTGGTGGCGTTGGAGGAGCCACTTGAGTGGTGTGCTGAACGTAATGAATCTTCAGTGGAGGAGGTGGGGGGCTGAACTGTGGGAGGGACGGGGTGCAGGGTGCTGGTTTGAGCTGGGCCATAGCTGAACCCGGGGTGGGCGGTGGGGGTGGAGGAGGCGGTGGGGGAACGACTCCATTGGGGGGCACCAGGATCTGAGGCTTTCCTGACTGTGAGGTGGAGGCCAGAGACTGCATCACTGAGGGTGCAGGAGGCTTGAATAGGGGTCCTGAGTGCTGAGAAGCGTTCTGCAGCCTGGTTATTGTGCTGTACTTGACAAACATTGGGGCTGCTGAGCCCGCAGAAGGTGCAGATTGGCTGGGCAGGGGAGGGGGAGGTGGGGGGGGCGGGGGTGGGGGCGGAGGGGGTGGTGGGGGTGGGGGCGGTAGAGGTGGGGAAGGCTGTGAGGCAGTGTGGGGCGTGACCAGTTTGGGCTGTGGGGATAAAGGGGGCACAAGTGAAGTGTAGGGTCGATTCATAGACTCCATTCTGGCCTAAAAGGAGCATAAAAGGGAGGTGGGGTGGGAGAGAGAAAACACAACAAACACCAGTTACAGAGGTAAGCTTTGACTGTGTAAAACTAAACAGCAAGGAATCTGGGACATGCGAGAAAGGACTCAGCAGCAGGCCGGTGTCAGGAAGGTGAAAATTAAGACTCCCTGGCAACAAGGGCACAGGGAATTTGTTCACTCCGCAATACTCTCAAAGGGCAAGGCTGACTAACAACCTAAGAAAAATGTCCTGCAGGTCAGTGCTGGGAGGTCTGATTTCTGAGCCCTGTTTTCACACACCTGCACACTGACCCCACCCGGACTGTGGCCAGGGGGGATGTGATGGCTCGAGTTCACCTTTCGGTCCATTGCTGCATCCACATCAAGCAGATGCCATAACTGGGTTTAGGAGTGCTGGCGGAGGGCCTCCCGAGGAATGAGGATGACTTTTTGATGCTAGCAAGCTGACACGTGAGAGTATGAGAATGTTCAGCAGGCGTGCACAGTCACACAGGAATGAATGAGCTTGACACACACACTCGTGTTCGTGTGAGACACTTGCATCCAACATGCACAGAAGTCCAGCAATGCAGGTAAAGGGGGGGCATTCTTTACATTTGTTTTACTGGAAAATACATAAAGAAATGCTTTATAAACATTACAGCAAAAGATTATAAAAATGCCATACAGAAAAAGCCAGGAGAAAATGACAGGAAACCTTAGAAAACTAAAGGAAATATATCAAAAAATGAGAGCTAGAGTTTGCCAACAACCTGCTGACCAGCCCCTCTGGGCACCTCTGGCACTGCCCGAATTAGCACACCTGGGCACTTGTGTCATGGAGCCACTCATGCATGAATGTGGTTCAAGTATTTTTGAAAAGCGCAAAGGAAGGACCTTTGGTTTAATAAGTTTAGGTACACGTTTTAGGTTCTTTGAAACAAACTGTGAGGATCCAAGATAAACCATTTGTTTCCAAACTATGAATGATCTCTAATTAGCATCAAGAACGCTCAGGTTAGTAGACTAGAAGGCTCGTTACAGGGCTGAATTCTAATACCCATCAGGACACTCACATGTTTCCTTAAATACTGCACAAAGTAAAAGCATTAGTCTGCGAGACTTGGTTACAGGAGTCACCCAGGTTAATGTTTCCAAAGAACAGCCCCTGACCTTAACTTGACCCTGTCTTGGCTGCTGCAGGGATGCAGACCTTAGCTGTGCTGGCCTTCTCATTTGGCACCTGAGGCTGAGGTAACAAAGAAACACAGGTGGGGGTCAAGACAGATGGACCATCACTGCTGCATGGCAGGGTGCACGCTCCTTCTAAAACTACCAGACCAACTATGCTGCTTCATCACAGAGCATTTGGACTTTTTATGCTTTTATGTTTCTCTTTTCTCTTGGCCTTTCATTTAATATGTGCATGGTCATTAACACTATTAAAAATTCAGTAAGGGAGAAGACTTTTCTTTAAATATCAAAATTGCATAAATCTGCCTAACTACATATACAGAGTTAGTTATTAGCACCGGCTAAGGCTGTTTCATCCAAATTGATTAAGTGGGGAAAGGGAGACAGAATTAGTTCTTAAAAGTCTGAGCCCCTGATAAGGGAGTTCAACAAACTGTCAGTGTTTTGAGAATTCAGGTCATTAGGACCAATTTTCAAGTATTTATTTCTAAGACAAAGTGTTCCACCCCCACAATGGGCTAGTAATGCCTCTTGCTGAGAGGCAGTTAACACACCACTTAATGCAAATAAAGGAATAAATTAAGGGAAACTATCTATTTAATTCTCATTGATGAGTGTACTTGTGTAAGTGATTCAGACCAAAGGGGGAAAAAAAAATTATTGGGTAAAACTACAATGGTCAGGCCAGTTGTGCCACTGACCCCCAGTGATGGGTGAGCTATTCCTGCTGGCAAGTACAGCCAGAACACAGGGCTGCCCACAGAGCTCCAGAGGCAGTCTGATGTGATGTCTCTCACCCAGACTAAAGAACTTTTATATTTCTAAATAGTTCTGCAATAATTATAACTTGTCCTTCAGTGTCACTGAACAAGCTACCATATGAAGCTCAGGGATCCAAAATTTTAAAAGGATTAATTTTAATTTAGTCTTCTGCATGTACTAAAATTTGAGAAAATTCATCATTGTGCAGAAAAATGCCAAAAGGCATAAAAGAAGACAAAGGAATGAGTCTGAATAAATCACTGAACCATGAGCAGTTTCTCTGAAACAAAGTTAGGATGCTGGCACTAAATGGTATTGCTCCATCCAAATTAATTAACAGTGAGAAGGAAGAAATCATTATTCCTTACACATCTGAGTCATCGATAAAGTCATTAAATTGCCAGTTTGAGATCTTAGGTCATTAGAGCCAGTTCACAGATATCCCTTTCTGAAGAGAAGTCAAAGTAAAAAATACTAAAATAGGGCCAAGACAGAGTCCTAATAAAGGAATAAAAGAGCAACAAACTAAACCTATGGAACACCAGAGTCTTTTTATGTAAGTTAACATAAGTGTGTTACCTACCTTGCTGGACTCTTCCAACTGAGTGCCACGTTTCCAGGCTTCAGAGAAGATGGAGCTCACAATACTCTGGGAGCGGATGTGTCCTGCTGGCTGAGTATCAGACACTCCACTGTCAGATTGATTAGAATGATTTGACTGAGACTCTGTTTAAAACAGATTTTCAGAAATAGTATTAAATAAGTCGTTATTCCGACAGTGTGAATATGTACATTTAGAGAGCTCTTTTACACAAGATCAGATACTATGCAGAACTGCACAAGTTACTTTTACTCAACTGTTTCATTTAAACATGGTTTGAACCTTCCTCTAGAAAACTTCCCTTATCTTAGGGCCAGTAGGAAATCTTGATTCTTTTTGAACAATTCACCGTGACTGAGAATTACAATGAAAGGTTCATATACACATTACTGTATATTTATGTATATATATATATGTATATATGTATATATATATATACATTATACCTGACAACCCTGAAGAGGTGTTCTTGCCTTGCCTGGAGACCAGGCTTTGGTGTAGCTGCTGCTTTGTGGTGCCAAAACCCGAATCCCTAGAAAACACTTCTCACTTGAGTGTAAGGTTGCTGGGAATGGTGGAGGATATACTGCAATCTGCCTGGCATTCCAGGTGAGGGATGGGGGAGATACTGTCACTGGACCCCAAGTCAGGTAAAATAACCATGCAGAAGGAAGCACCTAGTCCAATGGCTGACATCTGGTAGAGATTCAGATGTTAAAGCTAGTCCCATTCAAGGACTCTGTGGAGGGGGTATTATTAGATTGCTTTATCAAGTCCAGCCAACAAGCAGTACAGAGATGTAGCCACAAACTCCTTTGGATAAAATTGAGACATGTCCTTAGGCAAAAAATACAGGATAAAACCCATGCAGTTTTTTTCTTCATCATTCAATTGCTGAGTCTTTTTTAAGTCCAGTATAATTAACATAGTTATATTAGTTTCAGGTGTACAATATAGTGATTTAATAATTCTATACATTACTCAGTGCTCATCGTGGTAAGTGCACTCCTTAATCCCCTCACCTCTTTCACCCCTCCCCCTCAACTCACCTCCCCCCTCCAGTAGCCATCAGTTTGTTCTTTATAGCTAAGAGTCTATTTCTTTCTTTCCTTTGCTTGTTTGTTTTGTTTCTTAAATGCCCTATGTGAGTGAAATCATTTGGTATTTGTCTTTCTCTGACTTATTTTGCTTATTAGCATAATACTCTCTAGCTCCATCCATGTTGCTGCAAATAGCAAGATTTCATTTTTTATGGCTGAACAGTAGTCCAGTTGTGTGTGTCTGTGTCTGTATCTACATCTACCACGTCTTATCCACTCATCTATTGATAGACATCTGCGCTGCTTCCATAGTTCTTCCATAGTTTGGCTATTCTAAAAATGCTCCCATAAACACAGGGGTGCGTAAATCCTTTTGTACTAGTGTTTTTGTATTCTTTGGGTAAATACCCCTGTAGTGTGATTCCTGGATTGTAGGGTAGTTCTATTTTTAATTTTTTGAGGAATCTTGATACTGTTTTCCACAGTGGCTGTGCACCAATTTGTGTTCCCACCAACAGTGCACAAGGGTTCCTTTTTCTCCACATCCTCATCAATACTTGCTTCTTGTGTAATTGCGTTTTTTTTTTTTTTTTTTTTTTTAAGTTACAACTCCACTAGCCTCCTGCATCCCTACTTAATTACTAACCGGAACAACAGCCTATTAGATAGGAGGCTGGAACGTGTGAATCCTTGCACTCTCTTCAGCATTTATGTATATGATTTTATAATTTATATTAAAAGTCTGCATAATACTTAACACTGTATAAGGAAGGTTGATGCTGAACTAGGAAAAGGCACATCATTTCATAAAATGTGTGGAAGCACCTGCATTAAGGCTTTATGAATTTAAAAAAATATTATGGCATCTTTTTTCCTCAATCTTTCCCTTAATTTCTTTTTCTAAAATCTTATACTCTTATCCTGCCTTTCTCAATCCATCATCTCAAAGTGTCTTCCTCCTCTTTAATAAACATTTCCAGAATAGTCTTAGATTTATGGAAAAGTTGCAAAGCTAGTACAGAGTACCTATATACCTAGAAACCAATTTACCTCATTATTAACTTTCTACATTACCACGGTACATTCGTCACAACTAAGGAACTGAAACTCATACATTACTATTAACTAAACTCTAAACTTTATTTGGATTTCACTAACTTTTCTGTAATGTCTGTGTCTGTCTGTCTGTCTATTTATTTATTTAGATCCAGGATCCCATCTAGGATACGACATTATACTTAGTTGTCATGTCTCCTATGATGGTTTCTCAGGCTTTCCTTGTTTTTGATGACCTTAACAGTTCTGAGGAGTACTGGGTCAGGTATTTTACAGAATGTATCTCAGTTCTGATTTTCTCCTGTTTTTCTTTTGATTAGACTGAGTTATTAAATTTGGAGAGGAAGACCAAGAGATGGAAAGCACCAATCCCATCACATTATGTGAAGGGTACATGCTATCAATAGAATGTATTACTGAAGATACTGACCTTGATCACTTGACTAGGGTACTGTTTGTCAGGTTTCTCTACTGTAAAGTTACTCCCCCCCCCCTCCAACTATCCTCTTTGGAAACAAGTCACCTTGCACAACCAAACTTAAGGAGGTGTGGAATAAGGTCCATCTCCTTGAGGGCAAAATGTCTACATAAACCATTTAGAATCTTCCATAGAGAAAATCTGTCTCTCATTCATTCATTCATTCATTCATTCAATAATGTTTATCAGTACGGACTGGTGGCTGTTAATTTTATAATTTGAATTATAACCTTATACTATGTTCTTCTGTTGCTCAGATTGTTTCATCTTTGGCCCCTGCACATTTCCTCAAGTTGGCTCCTGTGTCCCTTTCACACAGCTCCATCACTGTGTCTTTTGAGTCATCAGAAGCTGCTTCAGGTTCATCTTATTCTCTGCCAGGGCCCTAAATCAGCTATTTATCAAAGAGCCCTAGTTCCTCTTTTCTGGGAAGTGGTATTAGAAAACCAAGATCAAGGTATTCTGTATTTTCATTGCTACTGAGGTGTCACAGCTCCTAGTTCTCAAGGGACAGCACTAGGAAATACATTCACGTAAATTAATCCATGTATTACACATTCTTCATTTTGCTCCTTCTTAGAGATGAGATAGTCCTACAACTTTTTAGTCAACTACTTCTTTTTGAAAAAGTCCATGTTTTTAAAATAGAATTTCCTTAGGGACACCTGGGTGGCTCAGGGTTGAGCATCTATCTGCCTTTGACTCAGGTCATGATCCTGGCTGGGGTCCTGGGATCAAGTCCTGCATCAGGCTCCCCACAGGGAGCATGTTTCTCCCTCTGCCTATGTCTCTGTCAATAAATAAAAATCTTAAAAAAAACAAAAACAAAAAAGAATTTCCTTAAAGCGTATACACATAACCAGGTAAAAACATACACTAAAATATTAATTTATATGTTATACTAATAAATAATGAGGGTTTGTTTGTTTTTTGTTTTTTTTTCAAATACTTCCTAAAATTATTTCTTTCATGAGGTATGATGTCAGATCAAAAAAATACTCTGCTTTTAGAGGACATAGTTATCATTCATGGAATACTCTGAAGGGAAAGCAGCCTTTATTTTTAAGGTGTGATAATAGCTAACTTGTTTAAGGATGTGGGAATCTGAAAATAAGCACCTTTTGAGTATCACTGATTTCTTGTGAAACTTTAGTAAGTTTAGTAAGTTAAACAGCTTCCTTAACTGTGATACTGAACCAATTCTAGTTATTTCTACTCTGCTGAAATGTCAGGAAACCTGTGGGGAAAGCAGGTAGTTTCATCACGGATTCTGAATATGGAGACTTTCTCCAAGCAACTTTTCTATCCCCAATTATGCATCAACAGTTGTTGTTTAGCAGTATGATGGAGTTTGAAATAAACTTTACAAATATATATAACAAGACTCCTGGATTTACAATTCTATATACTGGTGTTCCATATCAAATATAGTTGTGAACTAGCCCATGATACTGTCCCCTCTAACCACCAAAACAAAATTTATTTTATAATTTAAACATTAGGAACGGCTCTGGTTTTAAGAACCTTGCTGAAATAACCAGGCCTCGGGTCAGTCTATAGAATGTCTTCATATTGGCTTTCAGCATTTCAAAATACCTGGGATGCTTGAAGAACTGGATCCTGATTTAATGCTGGAGCTGGATAAGGAAGTCCAATCATAAGCTGACTCTGTCCTCTTCAAGGCTTCTTGATAGTTCATGTAGAGCTGTTTCCCATACTAAACAGAAAGCAGTAAATGAATACATCTGAACTTTACTGGATATGATACAGATGGACAAGGTAAGAAAGGGGGATACTTTTTTGTTTGCTAATTCATAGTTTACATTAAAATTAATACCTATAGTACTTCAAAAATTATTTTAACACCAGTAAGTTACCATCTACTCTTATTTTTCCTCATTTTAAGAAAGGCAGCAAGAAGTTAACACTTGATTTGTTCACTATCAATATAAAGATTTGTTATTCCTAAGGCAATTTTGATTTTATAGCTATAATAAATTTTATTTTTGCTTAATGCACATAAATATTCCCTTATATATTATGTGTAATCATCTTCAAGGTATCTTAAAATTTTTTTTAAATACTTTCTTTTTTTTATAATGGTTTTAGGTTCACAGCAAAATTGAGAGGAAGGTAGAGAAATTCCCCAAATGCCTCCTGCCACTGTCTATGCACAATCTCTCTCATTTATCAATATTCACCACCAGAGGGTGCATTTGTTTCAATCAATGAACCTACATTAACACATAATAATCAAAATCCACAGTTTACCTCAGGTTCACTCTTGGTGTTGTACAGTCTACAAGTTTGGAGAAATGTATAATGACATGTATTCACCATTACAGTATCACCTACAGTATGAATATTTTCACTGCCCTAAAAATCCTGTGTGTCTTGCTTATTCATCCCCCTAACTCCTACCATGAAGTGATTTAAATCTCAAAAAACTTCTTTTCCTTAGGCTAACCTCTGCTATATAAGAATCATATAACGTGTTCTTCAGAGCCAAAATAAATCACTCTGATATACACAAGCATTTACCAGTGATATTATGCCGTGTATACCAACCCCGCATCAAAGAAAAAAGATGTTAAGACCTAAAACTTAGGCTTCAGAAAACACTGACAAAATAATAAAATCATGAACCTGACAATCAAAACCATATCATGAAACTTCATTATCCTATCATCAAACTGAAAAAAAACCCACCCTACCTTTGCAATGCGGATACCATTGACCCACTGATGCAGGGTCCTCACATCATCACAACAAAGGTACTTGATGTATTGAGATTTCTTCTGGATCTGTGGGTGCTGCAAGAGTAAAGGCAAAGTTCAATTCAGTACCCTGAAGAACTAAAGAAAAATTCTATCAAAACTCTGTCAAAACTTAAATACATCCTGACAAGTCATAGGCTATCAGAGCTAAGGCCAAAAATAATTTATACCACTTATATGGCCATAAACCCAAATAAAATGGCCCATAAGTATTTTTACAAAATAAACTATAGAGCAGAGCTCTAGGTGGCTCAAGTTGGCTGAGACCAACTCTTTGTTGTTGTTGTTGTTAAAGGTTTTATTTGAGTGAGAGACAGAGGGAGCGGGAGCAAAGGGGAGGAGCAGAGTGAGAAGGAGAAACAGACTCCCCACTAAGCAGGGGACCCAACATGGAGCTCGATTTCAGGACCCTGGGATCATGACCTGAGTTGAAGACAGATGCTCAACCAACAGCCACCCTGGTGCCCCTAGGAGCCAACTCTTGATTTTGGCTCAGATTATGATCTTAGGGTTATGAGATTGAGCCCCTGCTGAGGATTCTCTTTCTCTCCCTCAGTCCCTCCCTCTCTAAAAAAATAAATAAAAATACATTTTAAAAACTAAAAAAAAAAAACCCAAAACTACAAAGAAACTTGTATTTTAGGTCAAGATATGCAACTTAAAAAATACCTTTATAGCATGGCAAATCTCCAAATACCCCTTCTATATTTCAGAGAAACAAAGTCCATCAAGGTTAATAAAGTCAATAGAATTCTTCATCAAGAAGAGTATGAAAAGGGAAGATTTTGATTTCACCTCAAATCCACTGGAATTAGGAATTCAGAAGACTCCAAAATGAGAGGGTGTTTGATAAAGCTTCTAGTGCTTCTCTGGGGTGAACCAATGGATGGGGTGGGTGGAGTGCAGGGCACAGCACCTGGGCCACAAGTGGGTGCTCACACCTGATGCAGTGGTGTCCCCTGCTGTGGACTAAGCACTGCTCTGCACCCGTCTACCCTCTTAGCACATGCCCTCCAAGGAACCAGCAGTTTTTCAACTGCATCATCAGATTCAGTTTTCACAACCCAATATACTTTTCAGCAGCAGTTTGGATTGGGATGACTGACTAGACCAACTACACAATGCAAGAGCTAGAACAGACTTAAGGTATTTTAACTGTACTGGACCACAACCACTAGTTCCCTGGAAAGAAAAACCTTAAATCACACTTGGTTCTGGATGTAATGGTCATTAATTATTTCTCTTTTCAGTTATTCTGAAATCTTATTTTATTATTATTATTTTTAAAGGTTTTATTTATTTATTCACAAGAGACAGAGAGAGGAGAGGGAGATGCAGAGACACAGGCAAAGGGAGAAGCAGGCTCCACACAGGGAGCCGGATGTGGGACTCAATCCTGGGACTCCAGGATGATACCCTGGGCTGAACGCAGGCGCTAAACTGCTGAACCATCCAGGGATCCCCTGAAATTTTTTTTTAAAGGCTACATTTTACCTGAGGAAATATTTAAGATTATGTTCAATTATACGAGGCTTTAAAGATTCTCTAACCATAATTGTAGAAATCCTTGCAATCAATAAAATAAGCAATTTGGATAAGTTCTTAATGCTGTAGAAATAGATGGCCACCCATATCTGTATTGTTAAAGATCAGTCTTGGGGTGCCTGGGTAGCTCAGTCAGTTAAGCACCTGACTCTTAATTTTAGCTCTGGTCATGATCTCAGGATTATGCTATTGAGCCCTAAGTCAGACTCCATGCTAGGTATGGAGTCTTTAAAATTCTTGCTCTCCCTCTGCCCCTCCCTCCACCCTGCTCACTCTTGCATGTGCTCTCTAAAAAAATAATAAAATAAATCAATCTCTCTAATCTACAATGGGAGAAATTTAAATCCATTTATTCATTTGTTCTATTGTATACATTGCTTTATAGAGCTCCCATAATAAAACATTTAATACCAAAACTGATTTAGTTATTAAAGGCTAGAGTGAAAGTTTTATTTTTTTTTAAATTTATTTATTATTTATGATAGTCACAGAGAGAGAGAGAGAGAGAGAGAGAGAGAGAGAGAGGCAGAGACACAGGCAGAGGGAGAAGCAGGCTCCATGCACCGGGAGCCCGATATGGGATTCGATCCCAGGTCTCCAGGATCGCGCCCTGAGCCAAAGGCAGGCGCCAAACTGCTGCGCCACCCAGGGATCCCCTAGAGTGAAAGTTTTAAACAGTAAATCCTCAACAAAGATTGCAGCAAACAACATGGATGGAACTCGAAAGTATTATGCTAGGTGAAATAAGTCAATCAGAGAAAAGACAAATACCACATAATTTCACTCATACATGGAATTTAAGAAACAAAACAGATGAACATGGGAAGGGAAAGAAAAATAAAATAAGATGAAAATTGAAAGGGAGGCAAATCAGAAGAAACAGTGAACTCTAGAAAACAAACTAAGGGTTGCTGGAGGGGAGGTGGATAGAGGGAAGGAATAATTGGGTGATGGGCATTAAAGAGGGCACTTGCTGTAATGAGCACTGGGTGTTGTGTGTAACTGATGCACACAACTAAATCCTATACTTCTGAAACTTAAAAAAAAAAGGTTAGCTAAACACTGCTTAACAGTTTTCTCTCGAAATACTATAGGTTCCACAGCCTTCTCTTGGAATATATTCCCTCGTTTTTATTAAATCACATTACAATAAACCACCACAGCAATCTTGAAAAGGCAGAGGAGGACAGGTGAAGGAAATGTATTTTTTCATAGAAGAAGGAAGAGGAGTTTTATCTCATTCATTTATGCAACAGGTATTTATTAAGAACTATTTGCCAGATCTTTAAGTAGGTATTGGGATACACTGTGAGTAAAACAGAATAATTCCCAGTTCATGCAGAAGATAAAATGGGATGACTGAGAAAGGGCTTTCATATTACCAACTAGGGCTTGAAGAGTAGGTGTTTTCCACTTCCTGCATCACTCGGGCACCACCTACAGGGCAGGGTTTGGACATCTGAACAAGGGGCTACAGGATTGCTCTCAGCGTTTATTACCACTCCCTCTCTTTATGGTGATTCATACACCATTCTTGACTTACTCCTTTCATTTCTTGAGAACAGAGTTACCTACCATGCATGGGTCTTCAACTGTAGCAGTGACTCTGCCTGTGTTCTACTCATTCTATACACTAAGGGAGTGTTTTTATCAACAATATCAGACAGAATCAAAGAGAAATAATCCTCTATGCTTTTCTCCTCATTTCTCTAATGTGGGAATCCAAATAACACCACAAAGAATACTATGATAGGATTAAAATTTTTTTTATTTATTTAGGAGAGGGAGAGAGCACATGTGCAGGCAAGCAGGGGTGGGGCAGAGGGAGACAGAAGAGAATTCTAAGCAGGCTCTGTGCTTTAGCACATATGGGGGTCATGAGCACATCTCATGACCCTGAGATCACGACCTGAACTGAAATCAAGAGTTGGACACTTAACTGAAACACCCAGGCATCCCTACGTCATGCTTAAGTATTTGCGGATCACTTGCTAGTTTAAAGTTTATCTTAGAACCCCATAACTTGTCTTTTTCAACGTCCCACCTAATAAAGGCATCCTTTCATTATGGTCACCCAGGCTCTGCACCAATTCCTCAGGCAATTGCCTATTCCACCAATATATTATTTCATTAAAAGTGACATTTATTGGGACACCTGGCTGGCTCAGTTGGTAGAGGATGTGACTTTTGATCTTAGAATTGTGAGTTCGAGCCCTACACTGGATGGAGAGATTACTTTTAAAAGTGGCATTTACTGAGCACTTATTACATACCAGGCAATATACTAAATACGTCACATATATTAATTAGCTCATTCCCTCCTCAGGAAAACCCGATGAATTACATATTACATATTACAAGATATTACATATCTTCATTCTTAAAGATTCCAGAGAGAATACATAATCAAATTGTTCCCCTGAACAAATTAGTAGCTATTAAGAAAGAAAGGTCATTTCATTTTTTTAAATGATGCGGATTTGGAAAATCTGTATTCTCTGGTAAAAGGTAAAAATCCTGAGAATCAAAAAAACATTTGAGAACACAGTAATTCCAGATTACTACTAAGCTAGCAGATATTATGTAACACTCTATCCTATTACTTCTACCATTATCATATATAAAATCTTTCTTTTAAGTAACAGTGTTTGAAAAGTTCATGTTCATATTCTACCTCTAAATTCTATTTTTTTTTTTTTACTTAACATACTAAAATAAATTCCTTTCCCTCATTTCTTTAGGAATGAAAATTTAGACCTGGCTAAGGTGAGCTGTATTCCAACCATTACTGTGATATATGTATTTAGCACAGGTATCCTTTAAGAAACTTAGATTCATGCATACACCTTCCAACAACTACAGACTTCTTTCAGATAATCAATAACATGTCCTATTTATTCCCTCATTGCCATATTTCATGAATAAGTTCTCATTTTTTTAATCCTTTTTTAAAAAAGATTTATTTATGATAGACAGAGAGAGAGAAAGAGAGAGAGAGAGAGAGAGAGAGAGAGGAGAGAGAGAGGCAGAGACACAGGCAGAGGGAGAAGCAGGCCCCATGCCGGGAGCCAGCTGTGGGACTCGATCCCGGGTCTCTAGGATCGTGCCCTGGGCCAAAGGCAGGCACCAAACCGCTGAGCCACCCAGGGACCCCCAGTTCTCATCATTTTTATTACTAATTACTAATATCTCATTTTTATTAGTACCCTTAAAAAAACTAATTACTAAACCATGTGTTTTATTACTTCCTACAAGTGTATTCTATTTCCTGTATCCTGCATTTTACTGGAAGAATTTAGACTGGGTTGTTATAGCCCAAAGCTGATAAATAGGATCAGATCCCATAAATATTTACATTTGTGTAGATCTTGTGTGGCAGCATTTTTTTTTTGTTAGAATTCATATGCACAAGAATAAAAATACTTACATAGGCAAAATCTAGTATAGACTTTTCAAGAAAAAAAGGCATGTCTTAAATACTAATATTTGTGTGGCCTCAAGAACATTGATCCCTCTAAACCTGTTTCCATATATGAAAAATGGGGACTCTAGAACAGATCTGTGACACTGATGTGCATAGTGCTTCTAGCACAATGTCTGTCACCCTAGAGTTCTCCAATAAATGATAGCAATTATTTTTACTATTTATGCCTAATGATATAGTTTATTTCAATACCTTAAATATTTCTAAATATAAACAGGCAATATGAATATGTGAATTTAGCTTCATTTACCTTATCAAAACCAAATATGAAATACATAAATTATTATATAAACTAATAAAAACTCCTTGGAACAAAAATATTCCTAAGAATTCTCTGAGTTGCTAAAAGGATTAAAATAATAATGGTCATAATTAATTCTGGCTGTAACATATACTGGTTGCCTTCCCCACAGCTATACCTCTCTCCTTCCTTCCTTTCTTTCTTTCTTTCTTTCTTTCTTTCTTTCTTTCTTTTTTTCTTTTTTTGATTTTATTTATTTATTTGAGAAAGTGATTGAGAGACAGAGACAGAGCAAGCAAGCACAAGTGGGGGCAGGGACAGAGGGAGAAGCAGACTTCCCACTGAGCAAGGAGCCTGACATGGGGGGCTTGATCCCAGGGTCCTGAGATCATGACCTGAGCTGAAAGCAGACACCCAACTGACTGAACCACCCATGTGCCCCACTACTTCTTTTCTTAAAGAGCTCCAATTTTGTTTGGATATGTGTCTACCCCTGATTCTGAGTAGCCTAAATCGAAACACTGGAATAAACTTAATCAAGGAGGTGATAGACCATACTCCAAAAACTGTAAAACATTGATAAAAGAAATGGAAGATGATACAATGAAATGGAAAGACATCCCATGCCATGGGTTGGAAGAACAGGTATTAAAATGCCCATACTACCCAAAGCAATCTACAACTTTGATGCAACCCCTATCAAAATACTAATAGTATTTTTCACACAACTAGAACAATACTACTAAAATTTGTATGAAACCACAAGAGACCCCAAATAGCCAAAGTACTCTTGAAAAAGAACAAAGCCGGAGTTATCATACCAGATTTGAAGATATACAACAAAGCTGTAGTCATCAAAACAATATGGTACTGGGCACAAAAAAGACACATAGATCAATGGAACAGAAAAGAGAGTTCAGAAATAAACCCATGCTTATAAAGTCAATTAATCTATGCCAAAAAAGGCAAGAATATACAATGGGGAAAAGACAGTCTCTTCAACAAATGATGCTGGGAAACTGAAAAGCTACATGTAAACAATGAAACTGGGCCACTTTCTTACAACATCCACAAAAATACACTCAAAATGGATTAATGATCTAAATATGAGACCTAAAACCATAAAACTCATAAAAGAAAACATAGGCAATAATCTTTGGACACTGACCCTAACAATGTTTTTTTTAATTTTTAATTTTTAATTTTTTTCTAACAATGTATTTTTGAATAGGTCTCCCCAGGCAAGGAAAACTAGAAAAAAAAAAAAAAAAAAGACTACTGGGGCTACATCAAAATAAAAAGCTTTTGCACAGCAAAGGAAATTATCAATAAAACAGAAAGGCATCCTACTGAATGAGAGAAGATATTTGCTATTGATGTGTCCATTAAGGAGTTAATATCCAAAGACATAAAGAACTTACATAACTCAATACCCAAAAATAATCTGATCAAAAAAGGAGCAGAGGATTTGAACAGAATTTTTCCAAAGAAGACATACAGACACATGAAAAGATGCTCAACATCACTCATCACTCAGGGAAATGTAAATTAAAACCACAATGAGATGTCACTTTATACCTGTCAGAATAGCTAAAATGAAAAACAAAAGAAATAACAAGTGTGGGCAAGGACACAGAAAAACGGGAACCCTTATGCACTGCTGGTAGGAATGTAAACTGGTGCAGCCACTGTACTAAATAGTATGGAAGTCCCTCCCCAAATTAAAAATTACCATATGATCCAGTAATTCCACTACTCGTTTTTTTTAAGATTGATTGATTGATTGATTGATTGATTTCAGACACACACACACACAGAGAGATAGAAAGAGAGAGAGAGAGGCAGAGACACAGCAGAGGGAGAAGCAGGCTCCATGCAGGGAGCCCAAAGTAGGACTCGATCCTGGGTCTCCAGGATCACACCCCGGACTGAAGGCGGCGCTAATCTGCTGGGCCACTGGGGCTGCCCCCACTACTCGGTATTTACCCAAAGAAAATAAAAACACTAATTCAAAAAAATATATGCATCCTTATTTTTACCACACCATTATTTATAATAGCCACACTATGGAAACAACCCAAATATCCACTGCTGGATGAATGGATAAAAAAGATGTATGTATGTGTGTGAGTGTGTGTGTGTGTGTATATATATATATGTATGTGTATGTATATATGTATATACACATATATATATGTATGTGTACGTATATACACATACACACAACAGAGTATTACTAGCCATTAAAAAAAACGGGGGGGATCTTCCCACTTGCAACAACATAGATGAACCTAGAGTATATAATGCTACGTGAAATAAGTCAAAGACAAATACCATATGATTTCACTCATATTGTGTCTTTATCAGTTTCCCATAGATTAAAATGCACTAAAAATATCAGTTCTTAAAAAAAATAAAAATAAGAGTTCTCAAAAGCCAGATATAATCAGTGTGAGAAGCTCAAAAGTCTGAATAAAGGAGGAAAACAACCTCACTAAAAGTAGCTTAGATATGCTGTAATATTGGCTATCAGGGCTGTGATTTTGCTGGAAAACAAGTGACAAAAATCATTTCTGGACCAGATGAGAGCCAGTCCACTTTGAAATTAGGCACAGTAACCTCTGATGATTCTGCTGAGTAAATACAGTAAAAGAATTAAAAAATACGTATGTCCCACTTCTGGCTTTGATCTAAGTTTTCCTAAAATAAGCCTGCTATTAAATAAAAGTCTCAAATTTAAAATCTAACCTGTTTTACATATTCTGACCCAAAGCTTCTCATACAGTACTCATTTCTGAGTAGCACTAATCTAATTAGGGCTAGAGTTCAACTATGGTGTAAGCACATACTTCTTTTCCTCACCATTCCTTTAAAAGCCTATAGAAAGAGCAAAACCAGTATACTTGATAGAGGTACAAACTATTCTAAAATGCCCAATAACTCACTCTATGTCTAACACCAATTAAAATTCCTAAAAAGAGAAACGAATTTACCTTTAGCACCAGACAATAATCTGTAGGTGCTTTGTATTTGTTCCGGTAATCCTGTCCATAATAAACATTGACATGATCCAGCTGGAGAAAGCACACCAGTTCCCGAGACAGCTAAGATTTAAAAAAAAAAAAAAAAAAAAACCAAAATACTGAATTAACAATAATGTACAAACAAGTAAATGTCATACCTGGTAACAGGTTCTAGTTGAGAATAAAAACTTAAACAGGTGGAAACCAGTACTATTTTGCAGATGACAAGACAGTGAGATTCTCTATAAATGTGCCTCCTTTAACCCATGATGTAACAAAAAGGCAGTCCATTTCACTTACTGTCTGCCATTCACAATGAACACAGACTTGCTTGGAAAGGGTGGAATTTTAAGGAGACTCTAAATATAGTACATTAAATACAATATAGTATAATAGAACTCTGGAAAAAAAAAAAAGAAGAAAATATCATGTAGTTCAGTGCCCATAATGCATATCTCAAGTACATTGATTCTCAAGTCAGGGTTTCCTTACCTTAAATAGAGGCAACAATATATGCCTCTCAGGAGGGTGACAAAACCTGGATGAGACGAGGGCTTAAGGAGTTTAAAACAGTGCTGGCCCCCACTAAACACAGAAGTGGAGCTACCAAGTGGGCCCTCAGTATGAGCATATTATCCAAGCAAGGCTGAAATGCCTTATAATCCCAGAAAGCTATTCTCCCCAAACAATAACAAGCAAAAACTATTCTGACACAGTTCTGAACATGATACATAAAAGTATGATTTCATATGTGGCAAAGAGAAACTGAGATGGGCCCAACGAATGACCAGAGAGTGACCACTTCCAGATTTCTTCTCCTTTATAACAGATCAATAGATAAAGCAAAACATATTCTGTGTGTCCTACATGAGTTGAAACAAATCAGAGCATGGATTCATTTTGTCAGCAAACTTCCTATAAATTAAAATCAACTATCATAAGGAAGAAGGGACACACCTTTGCTTTTCCTTTAGGGACATAGTAGATACCAGATGCTCGCAAAAGAAAGTAACGCTTTTTCCAGGACTTTTTGCCATCGTCTTTCAACCACAGGACTCCTTCAATTTCTGGTACAGTTACAGAACTTCCACAAAAACATTCCTAAAATAAGAAGATGATTTGGAAAGACGTGATCTTTGGATTCACAGAAAACAATTGTGTTTAGCCCTGTGAAGTTCATGATACTATAATTAAACCAAAATGGCTTTAGTATTAAAGCCACATTGCTAATTTTACCTCAGTTAGAACTTTCCATTCTAAACATCATATAGATTCATTTTGAAACTACTATGGCAATTCCTATGAACTTTCACCAACACTGGAAGAAACTAAGTTGAATTGTCAACTGAGCTACATACAACAAGATTTAAATGCACCTGTAAACATCACAGTTAACAGTAAATTTAATAGAAGTGTCAGAGTTAAGCATCAGACTTTATTTTTCTCCAAATTAAGAACACATTTAGATTAGCTATCAAACTAAATTTTAAAAGAAAGCAACATGCTAATGAGTAAATGCTCATAATTTAAAAACTGTATTAATTGGTATGATTCTAAAACAGAGCACATTTATTCTTTCAATATTTAAAACCATGTTGAAAGGAATGTAAGTAAACAAACTCAAAATTATGAATTCTAATGTCCATACTTAGATAAAAACGTAATTAAAAATCAAACATGTATTTGGTAAAAGAAAATCAGAAATCCTCACTAAATATTAATATAGGACATTTTAAGTCTAAATTAACTTATCTCTTCCCAAAGTACAGAGGAATCAAGAATTATAAAGAGGATTTTTAATTGTAGCTATTATCACTATGAAAAGCTGAGTGCTGATCTTCATCTTCCTAATTGCCTTGTTGCTAAATAAAGAGTTTATTCTGAAAAAAAAAAAAAAAGTTTATTCTGGCTTTCAAACATATTAACTTCTTAAAATCAGCAAAGGACCAAAAGCTAAAAATTGAATTATGCTTCAGTTTGTTTTATTAAAATAAGGGAATGTGTATTTTTAAAATGATCTTTATGGGGAACCCTGGGTGGCACAGCGGTTTGGCGCCTGCCTTTGGCCCAGGGCGTGATCCTGGAGACCCGGGATCAAATCCCACGTCAGGCTCCCGGTGCATGGAGCCTGCTTCTCCCTCTGCCTATGTCTCTGCCTCTCTCTCTCTGTGTGACTATCATAAATAAATAAATATTTAAAAAAAACATTAAAATGATCTTTATGATTTTTAAAATTATTTGAGTTATTTAAAGCTAAGGCTTGATATATTTTGTAAATAACTAAGTATACTCAAATTTCTCTCTGGGTAAGCAGATAAAGTACCACAATCACATCCTTCATTGACCAGCCTTTTACCCCACTTGTTGCTTCTCACAGCTTATGACTTCTTTTAGTCCACTAATATATTACTTGGCAAAACAACAATTTTTAAGAGGTTCTTTAGTGGCCTAACATTCACATAGCTGAACTCTCCCCCTCAGTCTATGGAGGAATACCGGCTTATCTAGTTACACGTATCATTATGAATATACAGCATTGGCATACTTCACCTCAAAACAGGTGCTTAATATTTTAATACTATAACGTGCAGGAAGAGAGGGGGTGGGGGAAGTAAACAGTTATACCTCCAATAGCACTTCCTTGTTTCTATCTGCCATCTCAGCAGTTTCCTTTTTCCCCAGAAGGTAATTCTGGAAAAATAAATAAATGAAAGTTAGAGAGAAATCCACCCTATTATTTCCTTGGCACAGGTGCATATATGATTTCTTCTAGAAATATAGCAACTGTGTCTGTCTAGAATGAAAGGAACACTGCTTTGAACATTAACTTGTGCATGTGCATCATTGCTAAAATGCTTAATGCTGGCCGCCTGCTTACTTTATCCATTATCTTGAATTATTCCATAAATTGTCCTTCCCCAAATTCTGAGATGATGCCACATCCAATAGCTGACAAATGTTCGGTACAACTAATGAAAGGACCTGAAAGGTTTACAAATTAAGTACAATGAGTAAGGCAGATTTCCTTAAAATATGCTAAGCTTAACTGATCCAGATGCAGAAAATTTAATCTATGTTCTGGCTTTGAAAGAAGAAATCCCCAATTCTCTGAGACTATCATAATATCACTTGCCAATTAATATTTGAATTCTACCTATTAGCCTTATAAAAAACTTTTTTGCAATCATCTAATCTATTGGTATTCCCAAATGTGTATTATTCACTAAAAAGATCCAATAAAGATGTGTCATGATTAAGCTGTCTGAAGGGTATTTAATACTCTTAATATTGCTAATATGTATCATCATTACTACTTTTCACAGCGAGGTTTTCTCTCACCTGATTTTTATAAAATATTTGTGTATTAGGAAGTACTAACTCAAATATTATTATGGAATAAATAAAGATGCCAAATAAATCAAGGTAACATATTAAAAGTGGAACCATTTATAATCAAGGGTATTTATTAATCTAAAAAAAGATATTAAAATCTAAAAAGAAGATATTAAAATTAATTGTGAACTGGATAAATGAAGTAGAGAACTAAAAAATAGAAGTACACTTCTTTGATGGATGAGAAGCTCACGAAGCAAACAGGTGGGCTCAACAGTTCTGGACAAAACAGAAATCTAGAAACTCCCTGGAGTTACTTCTGTTGCCCTAAGGGCTCACGCCATCTGGCTCTGGATGACTAGTAACCTCTTTGAGGCCTGATGCCTGGGCTCAAGCAGACTTCCCACCTCAGCAGTACTAAATGCTCCCATGGGATTTTATAACTGCAATGCTCCAACCAGGTGGTTGCCAGTTTTTGTTTTTTTTTTTGTTTTTTTTTTAACTCTGTTAACTTAAAAGTAATAGAATAAGGTGAACATTTAAAAATCCTGACCTCTCTAAGGTATTTGGTCTCACCTGTGGGTTTTTGAAAAGTGCATATTTTTCTATACGTTCCATAAATATAAGCTTGTTTTGGCTATCTCTTGTCCAATTAAGAAGATTTTCAACCAAGTTTTCATGATCTTCAAAGATTCTCTCTGTCCCAAGATAAAATATCAGTATTTTGTTAGTATTGATCAGAACTACATCAAAGACATAAAACTTGTGAAGTAATTCTAAGCAAAACCACAGAATTTTTTTTAAAGATTTTATTTATTTATTCATGAGAGACAGAGAGAGAGAGAGAGAGAGAGAGAGAGAGAGGCAGAGACACAGGCAGAGGGAGAAGCAGGCTCCATGCAAGGAGCCCCATGTGGGACTCGATCCCAGGTCTCCGGGATCACGCCCCGGGGCTGCAGGTGGCGCTAAACCGCTGGGCCACCGGGGCTGCCGGAACCAAAGAATTTTAATTGACATTATAGCTCTTGGCCCTTAGAAATTATCTGGTCTTCCCTCTATTTTCAAATAAGGAAACATGCCCAATGGTGTTTGTTAAGTGACTTCAGCAAAGTCACACAGCTGTTACATGGAAGAATTAGGACTAAAATCTAGGTCTTCTGTTAGATCTTTCTCAGCCTTCAGTCTTTTTCTATCTACCTTTGAAAAAACAAAAAACCAAGGGTGTCTGGGTGGTTCAGTCAGTTAAGCATCTGCCTTTGGCTCACATCATGATACACTCCTGGGATCAAGCCCCTCCTCCAACTCCCTGCTCAACAGTGAATCTGCTTCTCCCTCTGCCCCTACCCCAGCTAGTGCTCGGGTATGTGCATGCACCCACTCTCTCAGATAAAAAAATAAAATCTTAAAAAAAAAAAGACCATAGGTATAAAACTATAAAAGGTATAGAAACTATATAAAAGGTAATAGAAAAATATAATATTACATATGTGGGTCATTAACCTAGACATGGACATACTAAAAACATTATCATCTAAACATGTTCTGTGTACCATGATGCCACATGTATGAACTCAAACCTTTGTAATTCTCTAAGAAGAGTTATGAGTATTATAATAATATTATAATAATATTATAATAATACATTTTATAGATGCTAATAAACTAATAACTTATGGTTTAGTTTGGGGGCTATGTATGTGCAATTCTGAGACAAAAAGGTTAATAATTAAATTTTTATTTCTCTGGAAACTGCTGTGAAATATTTAAATATACAGGTAGTAAGACCAATGCAAATACTTTTTAAAATAAAATACAAAGTTGAAATTGATTACTGATTCAAATATACCTTATTTTATTAGGTATAAAATAACAATTGTTAAAAATAACAATTGCCAGGTTGCTAAAATCACACAACTAATATTAGAAACTTTTTAAAGAATCAATGATGGCATTAAAAATGAGGGATTTTTAAAATTAGAAAACACCACACTTAACTACAAATCATAGGAAACTAAGATTTAGTACATCTAGCTAAAAATAAAAAAGATAGGCTTTATGTTTTCCCTAAAAGTCAAATGCTGGTATAGGGAATTCAAAACAAAAGCAAATAAATAGAATGGTCTTAGTAAATGTGTCTATGCAGTTATTTGAAGGAAAAAGCATTTTATTACTTAAAAAAAAAAAAACTATTTTAGCCATAAGAAGATCTGAAGTGAACTGGAAATGATCTTGTATTCAGAGAAATCTCAAAAACTTAGAGGGGGAAAAAAGATAATGTAAAAAGCCAAGGCTCCATATACATAGGGGGGAAAAGATGACTCAAAGTGCTTTACTTAACATGAAAACTGTTAGCATTGCATAGTAACAAAAAAGTAAATAAAGCAATTAGATTACTAACCCATTTGTAATTCAGAGATGGTTTCTACCAGCGACCAGTCTAAACTATAACCGCAGTGGGATTTGTCCATTAGGTTATCCAGCACTTGTCTCACTGTCTGCCTCTCATCCACCATCATTGTTTTAGAACTATCATCAGACATGTGGACTCTAATCACCAACTACAATAGGTAAAAAGGAAATTAAATACAAGCCAAAAAATAGGCATTCTAGTAATTTCTTCCAATATCAAATAATGTTTTGAGTAACATTCTTAGGTAAATATAAATTAAAACACAAATAATGACTTTATTATGCAAGAAAGATACTCTAAAACTAGGTATCAAATAACCTAAACAAATTTAAAGCATTTTTTAAATGATGATAACAGGTAAGATTACTGTAAGACTATTTTGTTTCTCCTATTTTAGGAGAATTTAAAGCAGTTCTTTCTAATACATTTTATCTACAAAAAAAATGTGACAAATATATCAAGAATACCCTTCTCTCTGTATCTTGAAGGTATGTTATATAAACAAGGCAATTCTTTATAAATCTGATTTTAAAAACTGATTACAAAAAATCCCAAACGAGGAAGAAGCCCAAATATCACCTTTTTCACTTGTGCCTCTTTAATTTTCTCCAGGGCAACTCTGATCTTCTCAGCTTTCAATTTTGCTGCCTGTTCTTCCTGTGAACACAAAGCACTGGAGATAAACGAACGCTAAAATAATGAGAATTTTTGAAAAGTCTTTTTATCTTAAGGATGTTGCCACCATTGGATTTCAGTAAGAATATAACTTCACATACTTATATAGAGCACATTTAAAAATAACCTGTTCAAAAAGTGAGAACAGACATAGTACAAAGGAACATTTTTAAGATGCAGGCTTCAGGAACTCTTATCAAGACCAGATTCCATCTTCTAGAGAAAAAGAAATCTGTGATACAGCAAATTAGTGAGTTTGATTCTGTCAATCTGAAGCAAAAGAATTTCAGGCTCCAGGCAGGAGAAACAGGGAATGTGTAACGGGTTATGTGATGGCCTGACAGTTTGCCGCACCTGCACAATGCCTCAACTCTGAACTTATGCCTGCCTCCAAAGTATGGATAATTTTTGCATACTAATGTTTTGTTCAGTTACACTGAAAATGTATCATCACCATAAAACAGCAAAAAACAGTATCAATTTATAGCTTTGCAACCACATAAAAATCCTTAGTAAAAAATATAGGTATGTTCTCATCAATTTATCAATGCAAATGGAAGTTGCACTATACTTTAGGTTTCATTATGCTTTGAAAAGCACACAATACAACCAATGTCTCATGTCAGTAAACTCATAGTTATTTCTATTAATTCACTGATGAAATTTTTAAAATGCTAAATATAACTTTCCAAATATTTAATTTCTAGTAACTTCTTTGTAAAATTTAGATTATAAATTAGTAACACTATCAAAAACTATAACTATACTTACTCTATTTTTTCCTAAAATAACGTATAGTGCTATAATACCAGTACTTACTTGTATTTTCCAGCAATAGGCCATTGTACACTGTAGCCTTAACCTCCAGTTGAGAAAAACTCATGTAAGTAAATCTTCGCTTATGAAGGATTACTTTCTAACTCTAAGTTTTTGGTTACTCTGGAAAATATCTAAGAAAAATATACACTGCCATCTTATATATTCCTATATTCAATAGAAGACTTAAAACAAAAGAAGGACCTAGTTATATTAGCCAACTTTATCTGCTCTGGATTATGATTAAAAACCACAAACCATGTGTTATTCTTCACAAAATAGCTAAAGCTTCCTGAGCCAAAAACAAAAATGAAACTTCAATTCATTTAATAGATATGGTCCCTGTTCTCCTAAATTCTGCTGGCTTTCTTGTTTCTGAACTGTTCTCTTTCCATTTCATACTAAATCTTCCCCCATTTCAAGCTTAGTAGTTGCTACTCTGTACAACAGAGAAAACAGTAGTTAAGAGAAGACAGTAGGCTTGTTTGCTAGAAATCGGATCCTTTTCAATGAAAGGAGCCAGTGAATTGACATAATAACCAAGGTGTGGAAATACTATCTGTAAACCCAATTAAACTGAGAACAAAGAACTTTTTTATTTTAACAATGGAGGGGGTAAAAGAAGACTTGATTCATAGACAATTATAGATATATTCATTTGATTAAAAGATTAAATAACTGTATCCCCTTTTATGCAAATAAATAATTGTAAAATATGTTACCTGATTATTTTATTTTTTTAGAAGACTTAGAAGATTCTATTTATTTATTCATGAGACACACACACACACACACACACACACAGAGGCAGAGACATAGGCAGAGGGAGAAGCAGGCTCCTCGCAGGGAGCCCAGTGTGGGACTTGACTCCCAGCCCTGGGATCATGCCCTGAGCCAAAGGCAGACTTGCTCAACCGCTAAGCCACCCAGGCGTCCCTAATTAGGCGTTGCCTAATTATTTTAAAGATTTTTTTTTTAAATGCATGCTATACAGTAAGGAAACTACACTACTCTCATTAATACTCCCAGTTACTAGAATTCTGTTTCTTAGAGAAACAAATCATTATTAGTTAAATTACCAAATCCTGTGTTTCTGATGAATCTAGCACTACTCTAGAAATGAATTTTGAATATTAGCATTTCCCAGTGGTTTTATGAAACCAGTTATTTAACAGGTTTTTTGTTTTGGGTTTTTTTTTTGTTTTTGTTTTTGTTTTTGTTTTTGTTTTGTTTTGTTTTTTGGAAAAGAAAGAGGGAAGCAGGAGTTTTATGATTTTTTTTTCAATGGGATAATTATCTTCTGTTTCTCATGGCTCATTTGCCATATCTTATGTATTAGTATGAATGCCTACTACAGAGAAGAAAAATTTACCAAAGCATATTTGCAAGTTTTATTTCATGTCTCTGAAAAGCAAACTTAAATCTCAAAGTCTGATGAGTAAAGATTGATATGTAAAATCAGTGTTTTGTGTATTTGGAATATAAACACGAACTTCTAAAAGGCTAATTTTTTTAACATTATAATTATTCAGCAGAAGTTAAAAAAATTGTCCCAAAAGCCAAAAAAACATTTTGAAGGCAAAAAGAATATTCAGGAGAATAAGACAAGACACAGACTAGGAGGAAATATTTGCAATTTATCAGGCACATATTTGCAATTTATCAGACATCTGATAAAGGACTATTATCTAAAATATATAAAACTCAAAATAAAATGAAATAAAATACATAAAACTCAAGAAAATGAGCATTCCAATTAAAAAAATGGGTAAAAGACATGAACAGAGAATTTACCAAAGAGGACACAGAGACCGCAAATAAGCCCATGAAAAGATACTCAATATCATATGTCTTTCGGGAACACCAAATTAAAACAAGATACCAGGTTATACAACCTATTAAAATGGCCCAAATCCTAAACACTGAAAACATCAAATGCTGATGAAGTAATGGATCAAAAAGACCTCATATACATTGCTGGTGGGAATGGAAAATGGTACAGCCACTTTGGAAAATAGTTTGTTGGTTTCTTATAAATCTAAACATTCTCTTACAATATGATTCAGTAATCATGCTCCTTAATATCTACCTAAATGAGGTAAAAACTTACCTCCACCCAAAAATCTGCACACAAATGCTTCTAGCAGTATTATCTATAATTGCTAACACTTGGAAACAACCTAGTAGGTGAATGGATAAAATGTGCTACATCTAGACAGTATTACTCAGTGCTAAAAAGAAATGATTAGGCCATGAAAAGACACTGAGGAAACTTAAATGCATATTACTAAGTGAATGAAGCCAATCTAAAAGGCTGCATACTGTATGACATTCTGAAAAAGGCAGAACTATGGAGACAGTAAAAAGATTAGTGATTGCCTGGGGTTGGGGAGAGAGAGGAATGAATAGATGGAACATAGCACTTTTGTAGGAGTAAAGCTATTCTGTATGATATTACAATGGTAGATACATGTCATTACACATTCGTTCAAATCCATGGAATGTACAACACCAAGAGGGAACTCTAATGTAAACTGTGGATTCTGGGTGATAATGATGTGTCAACCAAAGCTCATCAGTTGTACCAAATGTACCACTCTGGTGGGGGATACTGACTATAGGGAGGCTATACATGTGTAGGGGCAGGTAGTATATGGAAAATCTTTGTACCTTTCCCTCAATTTTACTGTGAATCTAAAACCACTCTTAAAAAAAAGCTTATTTTAGAAAGGAATATACAAATTTAAATATTACATTCTAATATTCATTATAAATATAAAAATAGTATTTTCATACTCCTATTTTAGTATAATACTATTTGCCAAATACAAAAGAATACAACCGGTGCTATCTTTTAAAGGACTGATACAAAAAGTCATTCAATTCTAAGATTAAGTTTCTGTTTACAGGCTAACAGGAAAAATGTTGACACACTGGAAGAAATGATTAAAGAAACGAGATTCAGAGCAACCATTTAACATACATTAAACAAATAGATTTCATAGCCATCAATTAAAAAACCATCTTTATGTAAAGCATCTAACTTTAAGGCTATCTTAACATCCAAACTTAGTACTTCCATTGCTCAAAATACTACTCTTTAATAACTACATAAATTGCTCTGTTTTAAAACTGTATCAAATTCAAATTTAAGAGCTATGTGCCTAATTTCAACCTAGGCAGTTTTGTACTCCTCCAGTTTATTAACAAGGATGATCCTTGCTAGAAGCTTTCTGAAGAAACAACTGATCAAGATGCCTCTTACCTTAAGAGGCTGAATATCATCATTGGAGCAAAACTGAAAATAAAAATATATCAAATTGCAAGATTCATAGTATTTTATGTTTCCTATGGATAATCTCTTCCTCAGAAAGTTTAATTTTTACCTACATTACCATGGTAGATGGTACAACCTCCTAGATCATTACAACCTAGGAGAGGAAGAAACTGTTTTAAGCTCATAAAGTGCACAGTAAAGATCAATAAGTCTTTGCTGATGTGTTTAGACTATATAGTAAGAAGACATCTGGTAGTTTATTTATAAAGGCAATGCAATGTCTGCAGCCCAACTTCAGTACAAAGAACAAAGCTTCATTCATTTCTTGTTCTCTTCTTTTTGCTAATGCAGACAACCTCAGGTCTTAAGCCTTCTGTCCCCTTATCTTTTGAGTGTCCCTTTCTTCATGTTGTTTGTCCCACAGCCATCCTCAACATAACTAAAAGATATCTCACACATATAACAACTTTCTCTTCTACCCTATCTTTTAAAAGAGCAAAAGACAACCCATTTTCTACCTGAAAAACTCCTGTGCGTCTACCAATAACCGTCAAATGCCAAGCCTCCTCAAATTTACATAAAGAACAAAAACTCGGTGAAGATCTTATGATTAAATGAAAGTCAATGCTGTGGTTACAAAGTGTTAAAGCATTCTCATGAGTGTAAAAATTAGAATACTCAAAGAGTGACAGTTGCTAAGAGATGGCTAGTGAATTCCTTCAACTAAGAAATTAAGGCTTTGTAGGTTCAAAACAAATCCAGTTAAAATTAATGGGCTAAAAAGTAGCAGTTTCTTTGAGATTTAGGTTCTTTCACATTTTACAAAAATTTTTTTTAAATTTATATAAATTTAAAAACGTTCAAAGAAAACCTGGAGTGGTAAATAGTTCACTGTCCATGAAATGCTCTACCCTATAAAATTACTTAGGGCCAAAATAATAATAGTAACAACTACTTCACTTTCCTGTAGAAATCATGACATTGATGGCATCTCACGGAGAAGAAAACTAACATCAAATGAACCTAAAACTTGCCACACACTTTGAGGTGTGTTACACACGGTATCTCATTTAATTCTCAATAATGCAAGGCCAATATCATTATTACATACACTGTACTGATTAACTAAGGCCCAGAAAGACTAATCTTTCTAAGATCATACAGGCAGTTACCAAATGACTTATCATGTGCTCTCTCCACTGTGTCACAGTTCCTTTTGTTCATAAGGGTTATAGAGCAAACTTAAGGGATAACAGTAAATAAAAACTGTCAAAAATGAAAGACTTACAGTAATATAATAGCACTTTTATAACTTTTCTGAAGCACAGAAAATGGTGGTCAACAGTACAACAGTCCTTGAAGGTCACTAAAGGACCATTCTGTGACAGATGTTTGGGGAGACTATGTAGGCTTGGGACTAAGGGCAGGGTATATGGGGTATAGGGTATAGGGTACCTGCTTTCGAGGAGCTTACATTTAATAAGAGACAAGACATAAAGAAATAGATGTGTGGTAAGTCAGTCTGGGATAAGTCCCATCTTAAAAAATAAAGCAGGGTAGAGGAGTAAAGAGTGAAAAAAACGCACTGTTAGATAAAGTGCCAGGGAAGACATTCAGAATGGTTCCCAGAGATTTAAGGACAACAGATCAACAATATGTCCTTTGCCCGTGGCACCCATTTACGGTACTAATGCCATTCCTAGAAGAAACTGTTTGGTATTGTTTTTGCAGAGGTTCCCAGCTCAGAGCTGTATGTGGGTTAGTTATTTCATTAATAGTGGTATAGTGACAACTAAATTTATGATGGAAAAAAAAAAAACCAAAAAACCCAAAACACTCTTTTGGCTGCTGCCTTGGCCTAAACACAGTGCTACTATGCTCATTCTATTGTGTCCTAACTACTAGGTGTTACAATATCCTAGTTTGGACAAGTGTATATGAGGCACTATGCTTTTTTGGGTAAGGGGAGCCAGACTGCCACACAGGCGGCACACAAGACGTGTAAACCCATTTTAGTTTCAAAACAGCCAAGTGCTCCGGGATTGAGGACACCGACATTGAAAGGCTCCTGCAGCTCAAGTTAGGAATTTCTGCTACCTCCTTGACTCCACACCCCATTCCAACCTAAATGTTTTCATTCTGTGCTACTGAATCACAGTCCTGCTCAAATTTCCTGTATGTAAACAGAGTAGTATGTAGGAGGTAGCTGGAGCCAGATGTTGGTTACATACACCAGCAATTCCAACACTTGGGTCATGGGAGAAGAGCTGATCCAAGCAGAGATGGCTCTGATGCTGTAGTTGGTATCACTGTCTCTTTCTTGGGTACAGGGAGATGAGAAGTTACTGACTGCATTTATCCATAACTTGCAAAGAATAGCTCTCCCTGTGGTAGGAACTGCAGTATCTCCAGGGTTGTGAACATGGTAGTATTCAGTAAACATCTGCTAAATGGATGAAGTTATTCTCTTTAATGATTTGCCACTGCATTTAGAAAAAAATACAAACTCCTTAGCATGCCTTGAATAATCTGGTTCCTGCCTGCTTCTCCAAACTCAAGACATTCACTCCTATCTTCATTCAACTACTGTGGCTCCTGCAACATAGCTTCCCTTCAGCTTCTCAAACTTGCTAAACTCTTCTCCCTGGGCCTATCTACATGGAGCACTAAACTTCACCTTCAAGCTGGCTTTTCATCCTTCAATCTTTAGGTTAAATGTTGCCCCCTTAGAAGGGCCTTTTCTGATCTTACCATCTAAAGGAAATGTACCCCCAATATTCTCCCTAGTATTGCTCTAATGCTTTACTTTGCTTCCTCCATGGTATTTAACATGGTTTAGAATTTGTTTATACTTGCCCATTAATATTTTTTATCTACCTTCCTAAGTAGACTGTGAGCCCTGAGGGTAGGGGGATATATCCATTTTACACAAAGTTATGTCCCAGCTCCAGGATAGTATTTGACTCAACAAATATTTGTTCAATAAACAAACAATGGAAATGGTAAGCTGTTACATCTGAGAGCAGTGTACAAAATGGACTGGAGGAAGGAGAGGCAAGAATGAAGAGACAAGTGTGGAAGCTTTGATAACAGATTAAGAGCCTATTTTAGGGCAGTGGCAATGGGAACTAAATGGATGGGTGAACTTAATCCTGCAGATTCTTCACTGGAGCTTTAAGATAATAACTGAGAAGAACGGCACCATGGGTGGTAGAGTGCTCACATCTGGGTAACCAGGAGAGTAACAGCATTCTGAGCAGAAACAGCAATGTCACAAGGAGGATATGAATTGTAAGGCCCCAGGGTGAGTATGGGTATGGAAGCTAAAGATCTGTGGGGACTGGAGGTGCTGGTAAAATGCTGGTTATCTTCCAAGAAATACCTGACAGCAACCTGGACATATGTTACTCTTAGGTAAAGAGATCTGATCTAGAACAGAGATCCTTTTTGAAGTTATGAGTGTGGATTCCAGGGAAAGAGAGAGTAAACAGAGGACAAGCTGAGGAAAAGGAAAGAACTCTGCTATTTTTATAAAGTATAATACGGCTATTACTCACCTAGACTTCTACATTTCCCTGATCTTAAGCACTACTCTATTTCTAGGTCTATTTTAAAGAGAAACTCAGGGGATCCCTGGGTGGCGCAGCGGTTTGGCGCCTGTCTTTGGCCCGGGGCGCGATCCTGGAGACCCGGGATCGAGTCCCACATCGGGCTCCCGGTGCATGGAGCCTGCTTCTCCCTCTGCCTGTGTCTCTGCCTCTCTCTCTCTGTGTGACTATCATAAATAAATAAAGATTTAAAAAAAAAAATAAAATAAAGAGAAACTCAGGCAAGAGAAAGGGTTTCAATGTCTCTTGGGTCTTCTCTTTGAGCTACTTCTCAGGGAGATTTTAATTATAGCCTTATTACCCTCTTCTACAAGTTTATAAGGTTAAGTAATAACTTTTTTAAAAAACCTCAGACAGTAACTTACCCATAATCACCATCATATTCACAAAAAACTATAATGACATCTGATATTCTTGAATTTAACATTACTTAATTAAGATAATGAAATAAAAACATGACTTGAGGTCAAAATCTATTCAGTTTCCCTATTCTTTCTTAGTTAACAAGTGACAATAGATAATGAAATAAAAACATGACTTGAAAATCGGTCAAAAATCTATTCAGCTTCCCTATTCTGTTATTTCTTAGTTAACAGTGACAATACGTAAGGATTTTAAATTGATGTAAAATATTAGCCCAATGAAAATCCAGTTGGACCAATTCAAACCATTCTGAGGAGAGAGAAATGAGAAATTAAAATTGCAGCCTTCTTTTACAATTTGATTAAGCTAATGTAAAATAAGATTGTTTAAATAAATGTTTTAATTAGCAAGATGTTTGTAATATAAACAAGAATTAGAAAACAAAATTTGCTGAAGAAACAGCATGGATAACCACTACTAATAAAAGTTAAAGCTAAAGCAATGTTTTCAGACTTTAAAATGAAGTAAAATGTTAAACTAGAAAAAGTGTAACATACTTGGGAAGATGGTCAGGCATTTACAATATTTTCTGTTATTGAGAGTAGAATATTAAGTCATTATATCTTAACTCATTAAGATCAGTAAACAATTACCTCAGTTAAGAGAGGAAAAAAAAAAACTATTAACAACAAAGATGCTGAAATAAGAAAGCACAATCTGAGACATCTGAGAGCACAATCAAAACCAGAAATTATATTCTACCTGAAAGACAATTAAATATTTACATGCAGGTGGAAAGAAGAAGTATCACCTTGGTCAGCAAATGAGAAGGTTTTCCTGCAATGTTTCTCAGAAGAAGGGAGGTTTCCCTGTCCAGATAGGAGTGCTTGTGCAGAAAAAGAGAGAGAAAAACAAAAAAGGCAACAGAAGTCAGTGGAGGTTTTATGTGTTTAAAATATAGACAAAGAATGATTCTCTATCATTAATCTCATGTCTTTTTCCTACAGTGAAATGTGTCAAGAAAACTTAAAAAAAAAAAAAAAAAAAAGATGGGAAGGCAGACACCATCTATACCAGTAGGCATGCCCTAGCTGACTCCTGCCAGTCCTTCACTCTGTGAAAATGGATCATGCACTGCACAGATCACAGAGCCAGCCTGTCTTCTAGGGCAATGTTTGTGAATGCTGTGCGCACAGTACAGATAAACAGGTGTTGAAGACCAATGACTAAACATATTCCTTCCCTTTGTTAAAGGCTATAAAGACCTATATAGCTTTAGGACTAGTATATTCTTGTGAAAACAGAATAAGACTTTTAAAAACCTTTTAAAAAACTCTGCAAGCATCTGATCAATTCAATGATAGCCACACTGAGAAAAAAAAGTCCATAAATATTTTGCCTAATGGATATCACCTGTTTTCAGTAAAATCTTATTAATTCACTCATTATATCAGAATACCAGTAAGACTGTATTACATGGTAAAGGACTTACATAGCAAACAAAGGACATGAACAGTTTAAGAAATTGGTTCCTTTAAAAATTGATTAAATTCAAGCAATTAATGTATTTTCATGAAAATGATTTGTCAATAATCAAGGCCCTAACTATCCTTTTCCCTCTTAATAACTTTTTAGTAACATGTTCAAGGTAAGTTTATGCAATTGTATTTATACTCATATAAATTACAGCTATTTCCATATAAATGTAATTCAGACTTGCTTATCCCTAAGTAATTCTGAATTAGCACTTATTTTTTTAATGCTATGAATTACTAATCATCATTTAAAACAATATACTGGCAGGGTGCATATGAGTGCTACAGTTGGTTGAGTGTCCCATTCTTGGTTTTGGCTGGGGTCCTGATCTCAGGGTCGTGGGATCAAATCTTGCAAAGGGGCTCTGTGCTCAGTGTTGAGTCTGTTTGGGACTCTCTTTCCTTCCCTGCTCCCCCCACCCTAAAGTTGTTTTGAGAAAAAAGTCCTTTGGAAAGAAACTCCTTACACATTTAGGTAAAATACATAGAAAATAATTTCTAAAAAACCTACTCCTATTTCCTTTATCTTACGCAAAGATTAGTTTCTCAGAAAAAGATCCCCCCAAATAAGTAGAATACCTAAATTCAGATAATTATATTACAAATTAAAAAAAAATAAATCTGCTTCATGCCATGAAAACAAACTTTTTGGTATATGTAATACCAGAGATCAAATTCAAGTTTAAACTTAAAAATCTTACAAGATTTACTCAATTCATCCTCAAACTCAATTCACCTCGACACTTCATTCAAATCACTGAAAAAAAAATCTGTGATCTGATCAGTAAGAAACAATGATATCTAACTGTATTTGTTTAAAGACTCAGAAGTAGAAGTTATCCATTTAAAAATATTGAAAGCCTAAAATAAAAGGAAGATAATCATTAAATTACTATCGCTAGTGTATCAAAAATAATCCACATCTAAAAAAAAATAAAGACCACAAACAATAGCTGTATGTGACGATAACTTGTGTGGGACAGTCAGGTAGAGCTATTCACTGCTTACTCATTAGCAGAGAGGGAAGCCAGGCCTGCATGTTTCCTCTATCTAAACTACAGGTATATGCAGCAGAAAAATGAAAACTTAGAAAACATTAGAAGCAAACTACTTCCTTCAATAAATACCTTACTTTATCTATTGTCCCCTAATGGTGCCAGTCATATGTTGCTCTAGAATTCCTCAGAAAGGGGGCCAAGGCGTTGGGATAATTTGTTACTGGAGAAAGATACAAGAGGAGTGAGAAGAGTGGTATGCAGTTGGAGGACTGAGAAAAAGCAAAGGACATTGCTTTGGGCATGTCCTTAAATCAGCCTTCTGTCTTGGTACATGTTGCTGATAATAAAAATGTGTATCACTTCATTTAAATAGGGCCTTCTTGCATTTTCTTTCACTCACTACTAACAACATGAAGTTTGTGGCTTATTTTTAATCCACTTCACTGGTTTATTAGCCTATTTTCTTTCTCTCTTCCATTTTCCACTTTATTTTTTCAATTATTTATTAGGTTTCAACTTTGAGCCTGGATCCATGCAAGGCACTGGGGATGTAAAGGTGACCAGGATAGACATTTCTTACTCTCACAAAGTTTAGAGTCTAACAGGGAGATTAACTGACATCTATAATACAATGTGTCAAGTGGTATAGAAGCAAGTAGGAGGTACAGTACTTAAGACAGAATCAGGGGCTCAGGGAAAGTATTTCTGAAAAAGCTTAGAGTCCTGGAAGTTGTATAAGAAGCAGCAAAAGTCCCACATCACACATGAACTTTTATTGTCTTCATATGAAAAATCACATAAATGGGAAATGCTGTTCATAACAATGTGGGCTTAGAATCTAACTCCATTTTACATGTATGATGTATCTTAAATACAATGTATTTCTGTATGATTTTTTTTTTAAGATTTTTTTTTTTTTTTAATTCATGAGAGACACACAGAGAGAGGCGGGAGACATAGGCAGAGTGAGAAGCAGGCTCCCTACAGGGAGCTCGATGTGGGACTTGATCCTAGGATCCCGGGATCATGACCTGAGCCAGAGGCAGATGCTCAAGCCACCCAGGTGCCCTCTGTATGATTTTAATATTCAATTACTCTTCTGAGAATGCCATTACCCTATAAAACAAATTGAGAGAAGCCTACAATTTCTTTTGTCTGGAATTTACCAAGTTATTCATTATGTTGGAAAATCATTTCACCAATGGAAAAACAGCTTGAAGAGCTGCCAATACCAAAACTGGCAGTATCAATGTGCATTCTGTTACATGCAAGTAAATGACAGGAGACATTTGGAATTCCTTTTCACAGAATTAATAAATACTAGTAAAATAATGAAAAGACATGAAATGCAAGAATTTGAGTTTCATTAATAAAGACTACTTAAAAATAATGCACATTATTATGTCTTATATAAAACAGTTACAGCACAATGAGAAATCTATACTGTAAAAATAAATATCAAAGTCATTTTATCACTGCCTCATCCAAAATTATAAGTTAGGGAATGGTTTTATTACAATTATACATAAGACTTGGGCACCTGGGTGGCTAAGTGGCTGCCTTTGGGTCAGGTCATGATCTCAGGCTCCCTACTCAGAGGGGAGTCTGCTTCTCCCTCTGACCCTTCCCTCCTTATCTCCCCCCACCATGCTCTCCCTTTCTCTCAAAAAAAATAAAATCTAAAGAAAAAAAAAAACAAAAAAAATTATATGACTCATTTGTAAAATTTCATATTTCACCATTTTCTTTTTCAAACAAATTTCTATAAATTGTCTCAGCACAATATACTTACTTCAGTTAAGGCTATTTTCTTTTTCTATTACCATATACAGATATGTTTTGTCTGCCAGTATTTGTCACAATATGTTTTATTTCCACCCACATTTCTGCTTTCTCTTTCCTGTAAAAAATGACTTCTGATCTTTTCACTTGTCTTGTAAGTGGGTATATGATTATGTCATTGTGTCTTTTACTGCAGTGGTGGCCAAACATTTAAAAACTGAAATACATTATATTTAAATTACTTTTTGATTATTCTCCTTCATCATGGGTATTAGAACATTAAATTCATTTTTAAAAATATGTACGTAGGTTAGACTATCTATGAATTTCATTTGGGACAAAACTAGTGATTTAAATTATGTAAATAAAATGGGGGTACCAGGACTGAAAGGATTAGGAACTAAACAAGCAGATGACAATGCAAGTGTTAAAGTAAACATGGCTGATGCTTGAGAGTGTAAGGAAGGGGCTGAAGGTGAGGTAAGAAAAGTGTTTTTCACATACCGGATATGACCCATTACATTGTGAAATCAATTCACTGGGTTACTGGGTTATTACCAGGCAAAGGAAGGGAAGGAGGATCAGAGGGAATCAGATTCAGCTGGGTGGGGGTCAGGACCTCAGGGTTTTTTATGCTTTATAGATTATTCTAAACAGCACTGTCCAACTGAATATAACACAAGCCACAAATATAAAATTTTCTACTAACCATATTAAAAAGAAAACGCCAAAATAAACATTAGTATCTTTTGTTTACCTGAAAATATCCCAAACAGTATAATTTCACAAAATAATAAAAAAAGTATTAATGATATATTTATATTTTTAATTACGGTCTTTGAAATTCATTCTACATTTTATCTTTATAGCACATCTCAATTTGGATTAACCACATTTCAAGTCCTCAATAGCCATATGTGGTTAGGGCTTACTATAAGCAATAGCACAGCTCCGAAGAATCCAGATTTGTAAACCACTGACGAGAGGATACATTTTTGAAGGAAGAAATTAAGTTTACAGTGAAGCATGAGAACAGAAGAGTTATTCTACTTGATAACTCCATTCTGAAGAATAGCTAAATTTGTTAGTATCCTAAGAAATTTACAAAAGCCCTTAGCTTCAGAATAGAAAAGAAAGCATGTGGTTTTAGATTTTGATACATCAGGTATGCTACCACCTACATAATCTTACCATAAGTATTAATATTCAATCGTACTGTATCATATAGTTGCTCATTTGTTTTCTGCTCATTTATTTTTTAAACTGGTTTAATTTTTGTTAGAAAAAAAAAACAGGTATATGACCAGGTTTCATCATCAGGAGTTCTAAAGAATGCATTCTTCTTCACTGCTATTTAAGTAGTCCCATGGACATGTTTACAGAACTTACAGGTGTCAGCTCAGCCTGTTCTTCTGTGAAGTCAATATGATGCTTGGCCTGCTTGCTGGAACATCTCAGAGAAATAGCATGCTGTGAAAATGCAGGAAGGAAGAAAATGATAGGTAAAGGAGGTGGAAAAGGGCCAGTCTCACTATCATGCAGGAAGAGAAAAAGATCACTGAAATGAATCATTGAAACAAAACAGTAATGAAAAGTTGCATGCATCTTTCATTATATTATGCAAAAATAAAAAAGAACCAGATGATCCTAATCTAACCTACCCTTAAGTTAACCTCACTACTTCTTGACAGCAGAAATCTATGGGAGAAAAACAATTCCAATACCAATTCCTGCTTCAACTGGGCCCTGACTGCTGTTTGTCAGGACGATTATTACTCTTTTCCCCTCACTCCCTAAGTCATTCCTTTTAAGCTCATTCTAAATAGTTTCCAAGTTGGTCAAGCTTCTAGTTTCACCCTCCTACCTCTTCATATGACCTCACTTCCCATTACTAAGAACATGATGTCCATCAAAAGGATTTTCATCACTAAAATGTATCCTGTAACTTCAAGACCCCATCCTCATCCTTCTTTCCATTTCTATATGAGTAAGTTATGTATTCCCCTCTAAAGTTAAGCATGTCCTAGATCCCACTCATTCCCTCCCATTCTCAATCTGATATTCAACTAGTCCAGTCTATTGGGAGTGAGAAGGACAGAAAAATATTCAATACTTCTGGGCACACATTTCTTGTTAAGCTAGTGTTTTCTCCTTTTCACTGCCAAATTTCCTGAATTCAGCTAGTGTACCACCCTCCACTTATCCCTCAATTTTCCACAATTTAGTATCTATCTTTCATCTCCAAGTCTGCATCCTTTGAGTTGTAATGCATTCTGTAATTCATTCTCAAAGTCATCAATGACCTTTAATTGAGGTTTTCTGTCTTTCCTATCATAGCACTCATCATATTATACTGAAATCGAAATTGGTTGTCTGTGTTGACACCGTCTCCTCACACTATAAATTATAACCTCATAAGGACATTGTGTATTATGTTGTTTTATCCCTTACAGCCCAGTGCAATGCCTAGGCACTCAAATATTTATGGCATGTGTGAATACCTATTTCTTTTTAAGATTTTACTTATTTATTCATGAGAGACACACACAGAGAGAGGCTGACACAGGCAGAGGGAGAAGCAGGCTCCAATGCAGGGAGCCTGATCTGGGGACTCAATCCCAGGACACTGGGATCACGCCCTGAACACAAGGCAGACGCTCAACCACTGAGCCACCCAGGCATCCCGTGAATAACTATTTTTTCTTGGACTTCATGCCAGGGCCATAAGCTTGCCCAGATCAAGACTGATTTTGCTTTGCCTTCTCTACATTACCTTCTTAAATATATTCTATAGCACTGTGTCAATCACTGTATCAATGGGAGGCCTATCAAATCTATATTGTCAATATCCTCATTCTTGGGAAATAAAGACTGAAGTATTAAAGGCTAAAGGGGCATGACAAATATAACCAACTCTAAATGATTCGGGAAAAAAATACACACATACACACACACACATATATATAAAGAACAATAAAGCAAATGTTGCAAAATGCTAAAAATTAGTGAATCTGAGTAATGAGTTCTTTGTACTATTCTTCAGTTTTTGAAAGTTTCATACTATTTCAAAACAAAAAGTTTAAAATCTCTTCTCTGTAAATTCAGTCTCATGAAAGTTCCCATATTTCTAAATACTTATTGGTTAATTTTTTAAGTATATAAATCTGAAGTGTTCAAAAAAGATGATGCCAATATACCATGTTATTAAACAGTAGGATGGAACATTAGTTATTAAAATTCAACACATCCTCACCAAAAATGAATATATGTAGGCAAAGTGACAAAAACAGTAGAAATAGTACATGTGCAAAGATTAAATGTTGTTACATTATTAAAGATAGAAAGGGATTACGGATGCTTAAACATTAAACAGTTTTTCACTATTAGGTTCCATTTCCACAAAATATTTACATACTTTCCTATAAAAAAACTCACCAAATCTAATTTTTACCTCAAAAATGAATCTGGAGGTCAATTCTGTACATCAATTTTGCTCTAAACATATTCAGTTCCAAAGAATTTTGTTTGCTATCAAGCTATCAAATTCTCCAACCCCTCAAAAACTCCAAAAATCTCCACAAAGTTAGTTACGGATCATCATTTTCTTGAATTGAATCTGTACCATGTTAGAATGGAGTACTACTTACAAGCCAGAATCTTGTGCTGGTGCAGGGGGCAGGGGATGGCAGGTGTATAGAAAAGCACTGATCTCACATAGAAGCCAAACCATAATCAAGAAATGGCCTTATCCCAAAGAACAAAATAAAACACTTACTTTTGATAACTAATACCTTAGACTACAGCTAGAAAAATGACGTGGAGGTCTGTGAAAACACATTAGTGTTTCAGTAAAACAGATTTACATTCATCCTTTACTGACATGTCTGCATTTTTTCATAAATATTAAAAATGAACACTGATGGTATAAAATGTGGACCCTGGAGCTGGAGTGACTGGGTTTGAGGCTCAGGCTCAGCCATTTACTGCCAATGTGATTCTAGGCTTACTATTTAACCCTGTTTCCCTCACATGTAAAATGGAGGGATAACAGCATTTTCTCCAAAAGTTGCCGTAAGAATTAAGTGAATAATATTACTATTACAAAAGTGGGAAACCACCAACCTTCACCTGAATTTCATTTAAGCTTCAATTCATTTAAATTAGAACCAGTTTAGAGTTGTTAAATTTTAACAATACGGGCAGCCGGGTGGCTCAATGGTTTAGCGCTGCCTTCAGTCCAGGGCCTGATCCTGGAGACCTAGGATCGAATCCCACCATCAGGCTCCTTGTGTGGTGCCTACTTCTCCCTCTGCCTCTCTCTCTCTCTCTCTCCCTGTGTCTCTCATGAATAAATAAATAAAATCTAATATATATATATATAAACAATACATGCAGAATATACTAAAACACAATAAATAAAATCTAATATATATAAATATATATAAACAATACATGCAAAATATACTGAAACACCACAAGATGGGGATGTTACTGCATAAATCTCTTTGCCCTTTTTCTTCTGCCCTTGCAGTTCTGTCTCTAGGTCTGGATCTAAGAGCATTGGCCAGTCTAGCCTTGTCCTGATTCTCTTTCAATGCTGTGATGAAACAGCATGGTATTGCAGTATGAACTCTACAACCAACCAGACTATCTGGGTTCAAATCCCTGGGGAACTAAATTTGCTTTAGTTTCTTCCATTGTGAAAATGGAGGTAATAATATCTATTCCATGAGGCACTGTGCAGATTCAGTATGTTGTTAAGCACAATGCCCAACAACAGAATAAGTACTCAATAGAGTAGGGGCTATTATTTTTCTATTTTTCTCCCTCTTCTATTCCTCTCCTTTTACTAGCCATTATATATAGCCAGTAAATGTCTGAATTCTTTTTAAATTATTTCTTCTACATTTTATAGTCCTTATTCATTTTTTTAAAAAGATGAATACATTTCTATTCTTATTCAAAAAAGGTCCTCTACCAGCCCTCCATAACACAACATTAAAAAGAAATCCAAGACAGACCTAAAATCAAATAAAGATGCTTTTTTACTTCTTCAGAGATGAAAAATTACATAGATTCCTAAGTAATACACAAAAAAAGAATCAGAGCATATATGCCAATGTTGACTGGGGTAGCATATTTGAAAAGTATGAGTAAGAACTAGACTTTCACCCTAGTTTTCACCAAATCTTCACCTCTTCTTTCACCTGATACCTGTTCTTTCTGCTATTTATTAACCTCCCCACGCTGGGGACATCTGGAATTATATACCAAGTGGGTACATGTGAATAAATCTCAGTAAAGTGTAGCAACGGAGCCATTAGAATTTTAAGAGAAATGTAGCTGCAATAATTTGAGAAGTCAATTAATAATCCTAATCTTTTTAGATATGTAGGCCTCTTAAGGTTGAGAAAGCCCTGTGCTCCCACTGAGTTATTACTTCAGACCAAAAGGCTGTTTACTAAGAATAATTTAGGACATAAATGCCAGTGGAGCTTCCCCACCTCCATTGCTACAATAAACACAATTGCTATTTTCTTTCCACTATCTAAAAATTTCAGCTCACATTAATTCTTGAAATAGTCCTGAAAAATGAAGGAACTGGAATAATTTACTGCACTGAACCTATGATATGCTGTTGGCATATCATAAATTAAAATGGTATATCCATGAAAGATTTCATTTAGGGAAAAAAAAACCTATAAATATGAGGAAAACAATCATAACATTCAAAAGTTTCAGTAGCTCAGATACTAAGCAATTTTTTCCAATCATAATATTTATAGTACAATCATCAAGTATTAGTAAGATTCAACAAAACCTTTTGAATCTGGCATAAACTACAATAATAGCTTTTAAAAGCATTTTCAATTTTAAAAGTACATTTTCACGTATAAAATTCCAAATTCAGAGGAATCATTAAAGTTTAAATCTCATAAGAAAATAAAGGAATGTGTTAGCATTAACCTTTTATCATTGAATCCTATTGTATATAAAATTTATAAATGCAATTACCATTTATATTTCCAAACTGCTAACTGAAAACTACTGTTTTATCATTTAACATGAATAAAAGTATCATAACAATGCCAGGAAATCAGCCTCAACATTTATCTCACATTAGGTAACATACAAAGAGATCTTACTAGAATTTATTTTGACCACACAGAATTCCAATTTAAAAACTTTTTTTTTTTTTTTGGAAAATTTAAAACTTTGTAGACGAGCACTACTAATGGATTTCAAGAGTATTGACTGAAATTATTCTAGAATCCATTTTAATGCTTATCCATGGAAAATATTTAAACATTCTTTACAATTTAAAAAAATAATTATTTTTTAACCATCAACTTCACTTTATTTTTAAGATTTTGATAAAAACTGGGAGGCAAATGTAGGTTCATAATTCAAATACAGACTTCTCAGTTACTTGGCCTATTTAATTTCTTCTTTGGAATACGCCCCTACCA